AGTTCAAGGCCTTGTTGAGAACCTGAACAAAGTTTGGTCAAGGAGAGAGTCTCTGTCAGTGGGAAGGTAGAACCCATATTGTCCAGTCTACTTCTCTGCCCACCCAGGTTTGGGGATGGGCCAGCAGACTTGAGGTACCCTGGGGCTGGTGCGGTCCTAGGCTGTGCCTTTAAACATGCAGGTGTTTTTGCCTCAGAAAGGGGACTCTGGGTCCTTGGGGAGGATGCTGAGTTATCCAGGCTTCAGGATCTCTCTGTGCAGCAGGGATGGGAGACACAGGGGTGGGGGAAGATGCACAGAGGACTCTGCTCTGGCCCAGGATGGCAGAGAACAGGCCTGCATGTGGCAGCAGGGGGACAAGAACTTCTGGAATGGTGCCCAGGGAGGCGGCATTCCAGAAGTGGACTTCTGGCCTGTTTGATAAATACCAGAGCTGCAATTAAGACAAAATACTGTGAATATGACACCTGCTGACAGCTGCAGGAAGGCCCCGGAAACCTTTATTATGAATTAGATTTTGTAGGCCATTCTGCTGTGGTGAGCTGGTGCCTGGGCCAAGGAACTGGAGGGAACTCAGCAGGCCAGCTGCCTCGAGGGCACAGGATGGCTCACTGGTGGAGAAGGGGAAAGAATGATCTTCTATCTCTGTCCAGGGCCCTTAGAAAGGACCATTTAAGTCTCAGAAATCATAGCCCCTCGTAGAAGCCAGAGCTGGAAAGGGCTCAGAGCTCATCTGGGCCAATTGCTCCCATTTTATATTTGGGGAAACCAAGGCCCAGAGGGGAAGTGAATTGTCCAAGGTCACACAGCAAGTTACTGGCCACACCAGGGCTGGGGACCAGGATTCCAAATTCCAGGCTGACATGCTTGGCTAGAGGGCAGTTAACAGTAGTCGAGCGTACATCTAGGCATTTGACTCAAGGAGTTTAGCTCTTAGTGCTCGGAGAGACAGAGAATGTGACAGAGTCAGAGGCATAAAGACAGCAAATGAGACAGAGTCAAAGACATAGAGACAGAGAGAATGAGACAGAAAAGAGAATTGCAAAAGGAGAGCAACATGGAAGAGACAGAAAGAGACGTTCATGGGCCTGAGTCATTAGGTTCAAAATAGAGATTCGAACACCAGCAGAGTGGCACAGGACTCAGGGACCATCTAGACCAGTCTCCTTTGTTTTTACAATAATCGAAGTGCAGCTGAGTGGTTTACGTGTGTAAACCTCTTTAGGAACAGTATGATGTTGAATGGTAAAAAGGAAATGGCTTGCTAAAAAGTGCTTGCTAAAAAGTGGCAAAACTTCCATCTCCAAAGGTTTTTGAATAGGATTCGAAAAATGAAGCGCTGCGGGAATATGACCCAGCACAGGGGAATTTGGGAAAATGTGATGCTGCTGATATTTCCACAACAGTCTGGAATTTAGGACTGAGCACTCCATGCCCTCCGTGCTTTCTCTGATGTCTTAGCCTCTGTGTTTCTGAGAACAGAGGGAAATGCTTCAGAGAAGGAACAGAGCCTGAACCCTTTCCTCCCTTACTCCTTTCATCTTGGTACCAGCAAATCTTCTCTGCTTTCAGAGTTCAGCTCACTTCTTCCAGGAAGCTTTCCCTGATTTTTCTTCCCTGATTTCTCACTTACATCCCTCCCCCAACTGGTACCCATCACTTCCTGCTGTAAATCCCTCCAGACATCCCCAGCGCCCTGTTAGCCACTTCTCTTTTTGCTTTTTAGTGCAAAGTAGTTATCTCTGACAATGTCAATTAAAGAGATCCTATTCTATTCCAGGAACTCTGAAATCCTTAGCTCTAATCCTCACAACAAACTAGCAAGGTGGGTTTTGCTTTACCCATTTTACAGATAAGAAAATTGATGGGCTCCTGGGTGGCTCATTCCGTTAAGCGTCTGCCTTTGGCTCAAGTCATGATCTTGGGGTCCTGGGATTGAGCCCCATGTCGGGCTCGGGAGCCTGCTTCTCCCTCTGCCTCTGCCCCTTCCCCCCTACTTGTGCTCCCTCTCCCTCTCTTACTCTCTCTCTCAAACAAATAAATAAAATCTTAAAAAAAAAAAAAGAAAGAAAGAAAATTGAGACTCAGAGAGAGAGAATAACTTGCTCAAGGTTATACAGTAGTAAGTGGCAGCCTGGGTAACTCTAGACTGGGTTTGCCTGACTCCAGGGCCTATATTCTTTCCACGACACTGAATGACACATGCCAAGGACAGGCACTGTGTCTAGTCATTGGGTCTTGCATACATTTGCCATTCAATGTGTGTTTCTGAATGAATGAAACAGTAAATGAATGAATGCATACAAGGAATCTCCTTTCTTCTGAAGGCTCTAGCTCAGGAGTCAGCCAGCTACAGTCTGTGAGCCCAATCCAGCCTGCTTCCTATTTTTGTAAATAAAGATTTAGTAGACATAACTATGTTCCTTTATTGTCTTTGGTTGCTTTCACATAACAGTAGAGTTATGTTGTAACAGAGACCATGCAGCCCACAGAGCCTAAAATATTTACTATCTGGCCCTTTCCAGAAAAAGTCTTCTGACTCTCACAGTAGCTTATGATTTTTACTAGAATTTTGTGTGTGTGTGTGTGTGTGTGTGTGCATTCTTGTGCATTGGGTATGCCTATCAAGTTATCAGACAGATTCCACATGTATCTGGTATATGCCATTTTGTTATCTTACAGGCAGGCTTCATCTAAAAAGGTTTGCTCCACAAGCTGTTTGGAAATATATATATTTAAAAAAGATATATATGTATATATATATATATCTTTTTGAAATTTGTATAATTTTAAAAATTAAGTTTAGCTTGCTGGCGGCACCTTGGCACAGACATGATTCGAGCCAAGACCCTGGTGACAGAGGTCTTCCCTGAAGTAGAGGAGGGCAGATTCCCCCAGAACAATTGCAGTGGGGGTGGACTTTGAGGCTTGCCAGAACAGTATTGACAGGGGCAGTTTCTGAGCTAAATGAAAAGCAGCCTTTTAGACAGATTACACTCCCATTTCCTCTTGGCTGGCGGGGGTGATCAGGATTCCGGGCTCCCAGCCTCACCTCCTTCCCTGGGATGGGGGCACTCTTCCTCCCCCAAGCTGCCCCCCAGTGCAGCCTCTTGTGAGGCCAAAGCCCTGCCTACCTGTTCCTGCTCCCGGGAGCTGAGGACTGGCCTCTGGACCCCTGGCATCTGGGCCAGAAGCAACACCAGAGCAGGGATTGGCTGACTCCCACCCCAAATGCCCAGCTGGGAGTGCTCGGAGGCGTGACAAATCTCAGCCTGTCGCCTGCGTGTGTTCCCTGGCCAGTCCCTCCTTGGGCCTTGCCCACAATGACCGGTCTATCACTCAGCCTCACTCACCTGCTCACCATTTCAGGACTGCTCTGTTCCTCAGCTTGCTGCTCGGGTGAGTTTGTGTGTGTGTGTGTGTGTGTGTGTGTGTGTGTGTGTGTGTGTGTGTGTTGTATGCCTGCATATGTGACGTGTGCATGGTTTTCGAAAAAAAGGTTTGAGAAGCAGACTTGTTCTGGGTGCTTTCAGCCTTCTTTAAGTCTTAAACTTCTCGACCAGTGTTGGAATTGCACATAAAGGCGTTTGGCGGTGGAGTTGGTGGGGACCTTGACATACACACTCGTGTGTGTGTACCTGTGTGTGCCCCTCCTGTGACCTTAACTTTGAGGTCGCAGGCTGGCAGTTGCTGCCCCTTTGGCTTTGAAGTAACATCACGTACTGTGGTCTGGGGCCAGGCATGGTATTGGGTGGCCGAGATGTTGTCCATTATTCTCCAGGCTGTTGGCTTGGGTCATGTGGTTACTGCCCCAGAGACAGTAGCCACCAAACTGCCAAGTCATATTCTCTGCAAGGTTGTGCCCTCACCTGCTCCCCATGCCCACACAGGGCCCAGTTGCCAGGTGGCAAATTCCTACCGTGATCTTTCAGAGACGTTCACATACCTTCAACTTTTAGGATCAGAATTTGCTTTACAAGGTGTGTGGGGTACGTGAGTGGGGGTTGGAGGAAAGACGTAGGGTGTAGCCCTCTCTGGAGTCAGTGTATCAGGGAAGACTTCAAGCAAACTGAAGCCAGCTCTCATGAGAACTTCGCTGCAACTGAGATATCCAGCTCATAGTCAGGACACGCGGTGCTGCATGGAGCACGTGCCCTTCAACTCCTCTCCTCTCGTCCTTCTGGTACAAGTTCCAACCGGCAGGGAAGGGCCCCAAAGCGGGAGGAGGCAGACGTAAGAAGTTGGGTACTCCCCCAGCTTTGTGAGCAGTGACAGAATAGTTAGCATATGGCTGCACCTCAAATCTTCCCACCCTGCAAAGGAAGGAGGTTTAGGGGACTTCTTTCCTTTGGTGGCTTCTGATGATACATTTGCTTGATTGGGCAGGGGGTAGGGTGGGGGGTACTGCTTGCTGCAGAAACAGGAGGCAGAAACAGAAAGGCTGTCTCTCCGTACCCTATGGATGGGCTGGTCTCATGAGTGGGAGATGCAGGTGGACACAGTGGTGATCCTGGTGTCGTATGTGTGAAAACAGAATTTGGAGATGGTTTGGGCCAAGCTCCTTGTGGTGTAGGTAAGGAATCCTCGTCTCAGCAAAGAGTCGTGCCAGGTCACGTGGTCACTTGCACCCAGACTACTACTCTTTTTTTTTGTTATGTTAATCACCATACATTACATCCTTAGTTTTGGATGTAGTGATCCATGATTCATTGTTTGCATATAACACCCAGTGCTCCACGCAGAACGTGCCCTCTTTAATACCCATCACCAGGCTAACCCATCCGCCAACCCCCCTCCCCCCTAGAACCCTCAGTTTGTCTCTCAGAGTCCATCATCTCTCATGGTTCGTCTCCCCCTCCGATTTCCCCCCTTCATTCTTCCCCTCCTATCTTCTTCTTCTTCTTCTTTAACATGCAATGTATTGTTTGTTTCAGGGCTACGGGTCTGTGGCTCATCAGTCTTGCACAGACTACTACTCTTTGATTCAAGTCCTTATATTTCCAGAAGTTCGAGTGAATCACACTTTCCAAGGATGTGCCCCAGAGTCAAATGGGTATTGAGTGCAAAGGGCAAAGCCAGTACCTGCAGCGGCAAACAAAACAGAAACAAAACCAAAAATCCAACATTTGCCACAAACCTGCATTAGACCCAGCATTATTTCTACCCATGAATTGGCGCTGCAGCGGCCACGTACAGTATGACTTCAGTGTCTTGAAGTCAGGGCAAGTGGTCCTGAAATTCCGTGGGAATTGGCATTTCCAAGGCAGCTGCCTGGGCCTGAGCCACGCGGCGCACCCGGGTTTCTGCAGGCCCCATGTTCCTACCCACGTGGTTGTTTCCATTACCACAGAGCCTGCTGGGGCTTTACCAAGCTGGACCCTGGGCTCAAACACGAGTCCATGGAGGCAGCCTAGTCCTGAATGAGACCCACAGGCCACTCGGATGACACTAAAATAGACATGTGAAGTCCTGGCTTAGTTGACGGGGAGGGAGGGCCGGGAAAGCTGTTCCCAAACACATCCACCTGATGGAAATATCCTGAACTGGAATGAGCCGTAAATAAACTAGACTGTGCTAAAAACAAACATCTCCAGGGAGTTGTGGCAGGGGTGGGCAGAAATAGATGCTCTTCACCTGCTGAAAGTGAAGTCAAGGTCAAGGGGGAAAGGGCGAGGAGGGATGGGGAGAGATGAACAACGCAGATGCCTCAGCGGGAAAAGCAACTGATAATTTATGTTCACCGAAGAGTTCTCCAGTTTCCAAGAAGAAATAAGAGAATTGCTTTAAATGATTCAGGGTCTCTCATCCGTGGAAGTCCACAGAGAATGTGGGGGTGAAGGGAGGGCATATATGGTCTGCAAAAATCAATGGTGAGGAGTACACATTAGCCACATGAATGTGCCAGCCTCCCAGGTACTCCTGGTGGGCGGAGACTTTGCGAAAAGCCACAACCTCAGCCCTTAGCTGTCGGCTGAGGCCGAAGAGCAGGAAAGGAGAAAGTGCCTCTGGGGGGGGGGGGGGGGGGGGGGGCGTTGAGAGGGTTCTGGAGGGCTGGTGTGTGGCTGCCGCCTTCACCCTGCACCCAGGGCCGGGGGGCGCCATGGAAGCTGCCCTTCCGAGCTTACGCAACACTCTAGGAAAGACACTTGAATGAATTTGAAGAGGAATATGATTGGCATTGATGTCAAGTTTTATAACAACGAAGCTGTCCTATTTTACCCCCTGAGAGAGAGAAAGCAGCCCATGACAGGTGGAACGGATCTGCCGCTCACACCTAGGCCCCAGTGTTCCTGTTGGATGAAAACCATTTCATAGAACAGCATCAGACAAAGGCCAGTCTGCGACTGTGACAGCCCATGACAAAAACAAGACCACTGTGTCACAGTATCTGACACAGACAAAACAAGACCTCCATCCAACTGCAAACATGGCCAACCATCCCTCTGTCCTTGCTAATATGAGTGACGGCTTCTGCTTTATCACCCACAGCTTCCGTCTCCCTCTGCTCTTCTCTTCTAGATAAGAATTAAGGTAGTCATAGGGGCCCCTGGGTGGCTCAGTCGGTTAAGCATCCGCCTTCGGCTCGGGTCATGATCCCAGGGTCCTGGGATTGAGCCCCGCATCGGGCTCCCTGCTCAGTGGGAAGCCTGCTTCTCCCTCTCCCTCTGCCTGCTGCTCCCCCTGCTTGTGCTTTCTCTCTACCTCTGTTAAATAAATAAATAAATAAAAATCTTTAAAAAAAAAAAAAAAAGAATTAAGGTAGTCATAGACTAACTTCCCGACCACATCCAGTCCAGAACGGAGCCAGACTTCGCTTCCTCAAGAGTCTCCCCCAGCATCACCTAGTGAATTCCCCAATCCTAGAACAAATCCTTTCTAACACCCTCTTACGAGATGCTGCACAGTCCCCTGGGGTGTATCCTCCCTCACGATGAGCCAATTGGGCCAGTTTTATGGAACTATACGTGTGCTCCTGATGGCGTTTGGTTGGAAGCCCTTGATACTATATATCTCAGGTAGTTGCTATGGGAGCCCCTTGCCGCCTTCTGAGCTCCTGACCTGTATTTCCACCCATATGTGGAAGAGTGTGGAGATCAAGAGGAAGAACCCTGCCAGTTGTATGACCTTGGGCAAGTTGCTTTACCTCTCGGCCTCAGTTAACTGATCTGTAAAGTGGGGGTGATGATAACAATAGTATTAACTCTCAGGGTTGCTGTGAGGATTAGGTGAATTTATATGTGTGAAGCACTTCAGTGGTGCCTAAGCATGTGTTAAGTGTTTGGTTTTGTTTTGTTTTGTTTTAGTTATTATTATGAATCCAGCAAGCATTTGTGGAATATCTAGTGTGTGTCAGGTACTGTGCTAGAACCTGGGAATTGAAAAAGCACTGTAGTGAGGGAGATACAAGGAAACTGTTTTATCCCACAGGTAAGAACTAACATGGGGGTAAACGCAGGAAAAAGAATATCGCAGGACTCTCAACCTTGGCCTGGAAAGTCAAGGAGAGCTTCCTGGTAGAGGCAGCACCTGACAGTTCTTGATGAATGAATGAGTCTCCAGGATTAGGCTGGGTGGGGATGGAGGGGACGAGTGGGCTATCGGAAGGGCTGTGGCAGCCATTCAAGCTCCAAAGGCCTTGCTGACTGCAGGTCTGAAGCACTAGTCAGGCATCTTTCTGTACCCGCCGCCACCCCCACGGTCTGGCCCAGTGCCTGGCAAAGCATGTGCTCAAATGAACAAACGTCTAACACCAAATTTGACAGCTTTCCCCACAAACCAGTACCTCCTCTGACTTTTCCATCTCCTACTCTCATCACTGTGGTCCCAGGTCCCTGCAACCTCAAAACCACCCTTGATTCTTCCCCCTCTTGCTCTCCTATGACCCACTTCTCCCCTGCGCCTCCTCAGTGGTGTTTGCATCGGTCCCTTTCTTTTTGCCCTCACGGCTTCCGTGGCCCCTGGCAGGCCACCCCCACGTCTGGCTGCTGCAAGATTGTATTGATTTTTTAAATTGTGTATGTATGTTGTATGATTTATGAATTTCATGTCAGGATCATAAAAGGGTCTTCACAAAATATTTCTTACAAGAGGAGGCACTGGGTCAGAGAGGGCCGAGGATCTCTGGCACAGGCTCGTGGAATGCTCCTCCATCGGGGAGTGATCGTGTGGGTGTGCACGGGGCTGCCATTCCTGAGGAGCACCCCCCGGCTGCCTGAGGTCCGCAGCCAGGTCCTGGGGCCCAGGGTGCGAACTGTAGGCAAGCACGGGCCCCCGAGAGAGAAGACTGAAACTGCTGGGTTCAGGGCCGAGAGGCATGCGGTGAAGTGACCTGCCCATATCCTGTGAGGCCAGAGGTTCAACGAAGGGGTGGAGGTGAGGGTATCATCATGAGACCCAAACTGGACACTGTCAGGTTACAGCTTGTGGCAATTATGGGTATTACTGCTGTGAATAGTCTAGTACACGTGTTTTGGTGAACATAGAACCACTTGTCTGTTGGTAAGCACCTAGGAGTGAAGTTGCTGGGCTGTAGGGGATGCCCGTATTCAGCTTCAGGAGACAATACCAAGCAGTTTTCCAAGGAGGCGGAACCAAATTACACTCCCCCTGGCCACTGTATGAGTTCTGTTGGTTCCACGTTCTTACCAACATTTGTTATTTTCTTTCCTCTTCAGTTTAGCCATTCTGGTGGGGTATGTAGTGGTTATCAACCCAGTGTTCAGCAGCTGTGGAATGGATAAGTAGACTGTGGTCTAGTCACACAATGGAACTCTATTCCACATTAACAACCACAAGCAACGCCCAAATGACCCACAAACGCTATGTTGAGCAAAAGAAGCCAAACACAAGAGTTCATATTGTCTGATTCCCTTTATATAAAGTTCCAGAATAGATACAGTGACTCCCAGGGGTTAGAAGTCAGGATGGTGAAGAGGGAGGAGTGCAGAGATTGGACAGGAGCTTATGGGGCTTGTGGATGCTGGAGAGTTGTGTGTTTTGATCCAGGGGCTGGCTTCGAGGGTGTGTTCACTTTGCAGAAATCTATTGGGCCGTAGACTCATGATTTGCATCCTTCTGTAAGGTATACTTCAACATTGAGCATAAACTAACATTGAACTAGGGCAAGGCCCCATGTTCAATGAAGCTATCAGGGTCCAGGGCCCTCCTTCCATCTCCTCACACCCATGTATTGAGTCATTAGACTGTAAACTCGTTAGTGAGCCTGGGTGACACCAATTGTGTGTGTGGAGTCTAGAGTCAAATAGATGTCTTAAATCGAGGCTCTGGGTCTCTTATAATCAATGCCACCTCGGGCCCTGGCTGCCCCCTCCCTGAACAATTCCCTCTGAGCACACTTTCTAAATAATTACCAAACACTTCCTTCTCCTCAGCTATTAGAACGCATTATAAGTCTGAACTTTGCATTCCTTGTCACATCTACAAAATGACAAGTCAGTCCCTGAAGAGGGAGAAATGGACCTTATTATGGTCACAGTGTCCATACCATCTGCTTGTTTATTAACCATCTTCATTCAGCAAAGGCTGGGGGAGAACTGCATCAAGCAGCAAACAGAAGGTGCACTCATATCTAGTGGGTTAGAAATCAGATTCAGAATTCTGGGGTGTCCACACACACCCCAGTCTCCCTGGGGTTCAGTGGGCATGACAGAGGCCCCGGCACTAATGAGCAGCAATTTTCTCTGCACAGCCCTTCCTGGCCTGGATCAAAAGAAGCGTGGTGGCCACAGAGGATGCTGCCTCCTGACGCCCCCTCCACCCCCACTGTTCCCACCACCATTCTTCAGAGGGGGCCGAGGTCTGGTGAGTACCTTAGGGCTTGTGAGAAAACAGAAATGCAGGCTCCCCAGTGCCCGCCACACAGCCCCTCACATCCCCCCACTTGAGGTGAGCGGCCTCCAGATCCTTCTTGAGGGATCCAACCCTTTACTTTCACGCAGCAGGCTGAACCCTAGAATGGGCATTTTGCAGTTTCTGGTGTGTGTCTTGTTCTCCCACTGTCTTAAATAAGTTATGGAGGGAGATTCTTCTCAGCAGGAAATTGAATTTGGCACAGCGTCCCATCTTCCTGAGAACAATGAGGTGAATTTAGAACTTTTGAGGCTCCCTTTAGCTGCTCAGATATGGAATTTCCCCTTTCTTCCCAAGTATTTATGAAATTCCCTTCCACAGCCCATACTGAATGTAGGCTGTTTCTGTGAGGGGATGCAAGACATGGTCCCTCGATAGCCATACTGAGGTGTGAGAGGGAGCAGAATTTGGGAAGAGGGAAAGAGCAGGATTTGGGAAGCTGAGCGAGAAGACAGTGGGCCAGGATATTCTAGGGACTTGGGATTCTCAAATTTTTCCAGAAATTCTAAGACCTGTACTGTCCAATGCAGTAGCCACTAGCCATACGTGACTTAAACACTTTTCATGTGGCTAGTTCCAGTTGAGATGTGCTGTACGTATGGAATACACACTGGATTTTGAAGACTTAGTGTGAAAAAAGAATAAAATGTCTCATTAATAATTTTTAAATATGGAATATATGTTGAAGTGATAATATTTGGGACATATTGGGTTAAATATATTATTAAAATTAATTTCACTTCTTTCTTTTTACCTTTTTTATGTGGCTACCAGAAAATTTAAAACCACATATGTGGCTTGCCTTGGTGGCTTGCATTTTATTTCTGTCGGACAGTGCTGTCCTAGACATTGGATAAAGGCCCCTGAAATGAGCTTCCTAACTCCATCCAAAGTGGCTATTCTATCTCTATAATCCATTCAAACCAGGTATGTCTCAAGACAGAACAGGAACTGGAGGCCCAGAAGGTCATCTTCTTGGGACACTCTTCAAGGTGTCAGGGAAACACCAGTCTTGAGGACTGGACTGGGGAGCAGGACTGTGTCCAGGTGGTGATCCTTCTTCTGTCCCCCAAGTCTGACCTGTCACCATGTGTTGCTTTGCATTGAAGCTTCTCTCCCCAGACATGAAGAATCTCATCCTGGAACTAGAGACCATGCAGTCGTCATGTGCTCAAGGATCGCTCGGCTCCCCTGGGCCCCCTGGCCCCCAGGTTGGTGCATTTCACCAGATCCTCTCCTGCTGTCTTCTGTTCAGAGCAGTGAAGCCCACTGGAAAGAGTCTCTCAGAGCTGCCCCTTTTAAAGTGATATGGGGGCTGTTTTTCCTTCTCTAGCTCACCTCCAGCTCCAGAGCCATGTGGATAGCACACTGATTCTTCTTCTCTGGGTGAATTCTGGCCTCCCAGCCTTGATTTCCTCATCTCTGCAATGGAGATCATAATTACCCCTGCAGTACTGGATTTTGGTGGTGGTGAGGAGTCCAAGTGAGCTGCTACCTAGATGGATGTGATTGTTACTATAATTATCATCAAACACTTGGCGGCAGTGGGTTGCCCCTTCTGTGACCATTGACCCTTGCCAGTAGCCCGAGAAGTGCCTGCATTTGGTGCAGGAAAGTGGAAGTGATGGGGAACTTGTTACTCTGAACTTCATTTGGCCCCCAGATCCTGCAGCCAGGCAGCCCACCGCTCCCCACTGAAGCTAAAGGGCAGAGTGAGGAATAGGCACAATGGTAGAGAAAGGATTTTCTAGGCAAACAAGAGTACCCTCCAGAGACCCTGTCCCACAGGCCGTGGTTCCTCTGGCCTGCCTGGCAGTAGGAGTCCATCAAGGAGGAGCACCCCCTAGCCTGGGCCTTGGGGTCTGCCATGGGGAGGGGAAAGAGGGTATAAGCAGCAGTCAGTTGCCCACATGCCTTATGAATTCTGTCATTCCTTTCTGGGTAATCCCCTCCTATGGCTTCCCATCACGGGAGACTAAGAGCCAAACTCCTCACCCTGGGTTACAGAGCCCCCCCCTCCGCCCCCAGAGGACCCTGCCTGTATCTCTTGCATCGTCTCAGACCACCAATATTACCCACCTGATGCGCATCTCTTGGGTCCTGAAGCATGTCAAGCTCATTCCAGCCTTAGGGCTTTTGCGCCTGTGCTTCTGGCTGTGTGGAATGTTATTCCCTCTGATTTTCACCACAGCCAGCTCCTTTGTCAGAACAGTTTACAGGCCAGGTCCTTAGAAATGCCTTCCTCAACCACCCAGTCTAAAGTAGCCTTCCCCATCACTGTCCATCCCAATGGCCTGTTGTAATTCTCTGCATCATTTTCTCATCTCGTTGTCATGTTCTTATTGGTTTTGTTATTGTCCCTGGTCTCTTTGGTCTTCCCTTTGTCAAATATAAGCTGTCTGGCAAGAACTGACCTACTGTGGCCTACAGGTCTGGCGGCCGCCTGTTTTTGTAATCAAAGTTGTACTGTCTCGGGCTGCCTTTGTGCCACAAGGGCAGAGGTAAGTGACTGTGACAGAGATACTATATCCGAGGCAGAGTCTACAATATTTGTTTGCCTCTTAACAGAGACAGTTCGCCCTGGTCTTGAGAGCAGGGACATTGCCCATCTTGTTCACATGTTGTGCCCAGCCCACACCAGGGCACGGGTTGTCGTAAGCTCTCCATACATATTTGTCAAATGCAATAAAAACAGGCCTTTGGACCCAGAATTAGCTGGAGGCTGCCACAGAGGGGCTAGGAAGTCTGCAGAAAGGCAGGATGGGCCCCCTGAGGGGCACCTCCACGGAGGATTTCCATCTTCCCACGTCTGGCAGTCTCCTCGGGTCTCAGCATACACACATGAGGACCCTAGGGCGTGGGAAGGAAAGGGGGATTCTCTGCTGACTTCAGACCAGCAGCTGTCCAACCATGCTTGTACATCTCGAACCTCACGCAATCCCTTTGAGTCGTGTGGAGATTGTGCTGCCCAACTGGGGGGTGGGATTTGCAGCCCCCTCCATTGCCTTAGAACACAGCGTAAAATGCTGTTCCCAAGCAAAATGAGACCCGTGGACCAGTAACATTGGCATCACCTGGGAGCTTGTTAAAAATGCAGAATCTCATTCTCCCCTCCCCCTACATACACACACACCCCTGCTATCTGAATCTGCATTTTAACAAGACTCCCCAGCTGCATTATCTAAACATCACAGATTGAAAAGCCCTGAGCTAGAGCACAATGGCCTGATAATAAGAAATGAGAGAATGGAACAGTATTCATTCATCCTGCCTGGCATGTGCACGGTCCTGGGGCTCTCTGTCACCCTGGGCTCCCAGGCTTTGGGGAGTGGGGAACCTCTGCCCCTCTGAGTCACACTTTCTGGGAGCACTGGTGCCCCCTGGACTTTGATCCTCGAGGACTTGTATACCCTGCACCTGTGCTATCGGCCCAAGCTGGCCCACGCAGCTCTGAAGTGAAGGGGTGCAGCACTGAGGGCCAGGTGGTGGGGCCAGTGCAGTCCCCAGTGGGTCACCAGGTGGGTGGGTGGCTGGCGAGGGAGGGTGGTGAGGCCGCCCTCCCAGGAAGCCCTCTTTCCACACAAGGGTGCCCAGACCAGGAGGAGTGGGGAGAGAGAGAAGTGGGGAGGAGGGGAAGGTGGGAGGGTGAAAGAAGTGGTGTGGTGGGGGGGGAGGGGAGGGGGAGAGTAGGAAAGGAAGTAACTCTCCCTCTTCCCCTCCCCCCTCCCCAAACAGGAGTATAAACCAGAGACTGTGGTTCCCAAACTTATCTGTTCATTAGAATTCCCTGGGAACTTCAAACATTCCTGAGGCCCCTGTCCCTCTCCTTGAGATTGTGATGTAATTGATCTGGGGTGTGCCTTGGTCTTGGGGATTTTCAAAAGATCCTCAGGGGATTCTAATGTGATAGGTGTGGGAGCCCCTGAGGGGGCTGTTTGGTATTTGAACAAGTCTCACAGGAATCAGATTTCAAACAGGCTCTGTGTTAGGCGTGTTCACCTGCAGATCTTGGGGATGAAGTAGTGGCCTGGTGGGGGTTGATGGATTTCCTCTCTGCTATACTAGGGCATTTGGAAAGCAGTTAGCCTACTGAGCATTTCATAGACGTGTGAGCACAGAGTAGCTGCATTCTGGCTGTGGATGTGCCAAGCTTTAGTGTAGTAAGTAGGTGCTAGAATCCCTGAGCTGGAGTCAGCCCTACTCCTGTGGCTGGACAATGGGACAAAAATGCTCCATTGCCAATATTCTTCACATCTTCAGGAAGGCTTTCCCTGAACCTGGTGCCCATAGATCCAGCACAGAAATTTCTAAGTTGGCTGCTCCTATGTGCAAAGCAGAATGTCCCCTCTGTAAGGGTCGCAGGGAAACTTGGTGAGAGCAGCTGAAAAGATAAGAGAGGTGGTAAAGCATCTTGTTTTCAGCAAACAGCATTTCTTGAAGACTCTGTAGTTATAACCATGGCACCACTGGAAACATAGCTCAGAGAAAGCTGGAAGAGGACAGGGAGCCTAGGTTGGAGGGCACAAGGGGGTCCTTCACGGGGTCCTTGGAGCCCTGAGTCTGCACAGGGAACCAAGCTGCTGGAGGAGCCTCCCTCCCAATCCTGCCTCCCTCACTACCTGTCCTTGCCTTGGTTTGATATATACTTTTTCATTTCTTATCTTGATGGTATAGGGCCCACCGGGACTTCCTGGCAAGATAGGACCAAAGGGAGAAAAGGTATGAGCCACTACTTTCTTCAGTCCACCTCTCCTTGGTAATTCCAGCCTGTATCCTGGGGATGCCATGGAGAATTTTCTGGTTGAGATTTCAAAGCATGTGCTAATTTTGCCTTAGTGCATGAGGATGGGCTCCATAATGATGGGGCTGCTGGTGCAGCTGTGAGATCCCACTGGTGTATTTCAGCTTGGCCCACTGACATGGCAGGGGTGCTGTGAGCGGCCAAGCAGCCAAGCCACATGGTCATGCCCAGTCATCAGCCCTACTAAGCTCTGTGCTTCCAGAACTTCTCTTCCAAAGAAGCCTCTGCTTACCTGTCTTCTTCATCCACAGGGGGAGCTTGGCCTACCAGGAAGGAAGGTATGGTCCATGCTGTTCTGTCAGCATTACCTGGGCAACTGTGCACTGTGGGTGGGGGAGGGGCGTGTGCCTGGGCACGTGCACATGCACTCTTAGGGGTAGGGGGGGACTAGCAGTGCACTTCCTTGGGCCACAATACCCAGGTGGACAATAATAACACTGCCATTTTGATGATGACAGTGGGCTCTTTCTGCCTGTTCTTTTGCTCAAGTGCTAGAGCCTGCTACTACCAGACATTTGGACTTCTCCCAGGGGCTGCCAGGCCTGGCCAAATTTCCCCCAACCTCAGACCATCTCATCCTGCCACCCATTAGAGAAAGGCCCCAACCAGTGGCACGAAATGACTCTCACTGTCTATTTGATTACACTGGAACAAAGTGCAAAACAGAAGCAAATGGCTTTTGCCTTTTGGCCCAGCTGAAATAAGTGGGAGTTACTTAAGGTCACAGGCACTCCGAGTGAACCAAACACATGTCATCAAGACTCTCATTCATGTCAGGAAAGAGTAAACCAGCAGCCACTCACTGTGGTCAGTGGATACTGGCACTGAAACTGTGGGTCTCAGGGGTAGAAGGAGGTGCAAGACTTTGGCCAAAAAAGATGTCCATGATTCTAAATATAAATTACTATTTTTCTGGTTACATGTTTTACTCAAATGGTTTCACTATCAACAGAAGCCTCAAACAGACCTTTGCAAAGCAAAATTACCTCCCTCCAGGGCCCAAATCACAGCTCCACCTGAGGCACAGTGGTTATCTGAAGTGCTGGGCTGGAAAGGATTCTTGGATGGTCTCCATACTCAGAACTAACAAGGACCATGATTGATCATGGGCTGCCATGAACATCATGACGTCTGCCATGAACAGGGGTGGCGAGAGCAGAAACCAGTACACATGCCAGCATTTGTGATCTCTGGTTTAGGGGTTGAGCCTTCCATGTGTCTAGCTAGGCTAACTGTGAAATTAGCCAATGGTTGCAGAGGTTGGGATGGACCCCAAGTCCCTGCTCCCCCTTTTCTTGTAAGGCTTGCTCTGCCATAGCTCCTGGCTTAGGCTGGTTTCCCTAGAAGCAGAGGTAGAGGCCACGTGTGCCATGTGCAAGCGAATGACTTACGGGAGCGCTCTCAGGAGGATCCTGAGGGGAAGGGGAGCTGGATGGTACAGGGGAAGAAGCCCAGCTTGGGCACGGTGTCAGACGAAGTCCATCTTCAGCCTCATTCCTAGGGGAGCTCTGGAGTGTGAACTGCACCACAGAGTTTGTCCTGCCTTGAGGTAAGGGAGTTGGGCTGTTGGCTGCAGGGAGAACAGGTACATAAATTGCTGGGCAGCTCCAGTTGCCCATGGGCAAATTCCACAGTTGCAGGTTGCAGGAATGAGAGGTGGCAACAAGGCAGTTAGCCCCTGGGGGATGGGCACAGTGAGCAAGTGAAAAAGTTTTTGAGGGAGTACCAACAGCATCTCCTAGTGCACCCCAAACAAAATCCTATCCCATTCCACACTATATCCTGGGGGAGAACCTACTGCAATGCAAGGAACATTTGGGTGGGTGGAGGTGACAAAGCTCAAAAACCAAGAAGTTTAGAATCCCTTCTCCAGGGTGCCTGGGTGGCTCAGTTGGTTAAGCGACTGCCTTCGGCTCAGGTCATGATCCTGGAGTCCCAGGATCGAGTCCTGCATCGGGCTCCCTGCTGAGCAGAAAGTCTGCTTCTCCTTCTGACCCTCCCCCCTCTCATGCTCTATCTCATTCTCTCTCTCAAATAAATAAATAAAATAAAATAAAATAAAATAAAATAAAAAAGAATCCCTTCTCCACCACCTTCCTTTCTTTCCCTCCCACCTTCTATTTCTTGGGTAGAATAAGGTCTTCTGTGTTGACATAATGTGATGCCAAGGACTTGAACTTATATCTAAGTAACCCAACTTCCGAGGCTATCAGTCTTTGGAAGGTGAACCCAGAGGCCATGCTTAGGGACCCCACAGTTCCCTTTGGACCCCCAAAACAAATCTTATTTCCTGGAAGGAGGGAAAGAAACCCAATCACCCTGACTTTCGTTGTTCATTTTTGAAGGGTAGACCTGGCCCCCCAGGTGTTCCTGGCATGCCCGGGCCAGTCGGCCCTGAAGGACTCAGGGTAAGTTTGGCACACTCTCGGGGCTCGTGTGGTATCAGAACATGAGGGAGAAGATGTCAGCCCCCCTGGCCTTTGGCCCATAGTGAAACTCATTTCCTTGAGAGGAGGAAGGAGAAGAGAAGATGAGGATTGCCCAGAGGTCCCCAAATACTTTCTCCTTCACCTGGACTATAAGACCTTGGTCCATGCAACAGCTCTGCTCCTGTTGGGGGGAGCAATGAGGGTCTGCTCCCCTCTTTTGCAGGGGCCCTGGTTCTCCTTCGTCCTCAGAGTTAGCATGCAATTCTTTCGTTTCCCCAAGATGACCCCAAGAGGGTCTTGGGTCTGGAAAGCTATTGGCAGGAGACTGGGGGTTGAGGGGTGGGCCCTGGCTAGCTGGAAAGACTGGAATCCTACATTTAGACAGGGATTGCCAAATGCCCATAAAATCCCATTCTTCAGACAGATTATGGGAAACTGACACATTCACATCCACGCCTTTGTTTATATTCTTCTACTTTGGTCATAAACTGTTGGGTGTAGATTTGACCTGCAGAAATCAGGGGTGGGCAGGTGAACGTCTATATACTCTGATTTACTTACCAGCTGTATTTATTATGGGAATAGAAAACTGTGTTCCCAGCGCTCTTAGGAAAAGTTCCAAGGATATTTTTTCTAAAAATCCACTGTGTAGAGCTAAACTGTCCAATATGGCAGCAACTAGCCGTATGAGTCCTTAAAATGTGGCTGGTACAACTGAGGAACTGAATTTTTTATTTAAGTTTGAATTTAAAGACCTTTACTCAGTTCAGTTATTTGAAAATCTTTACGCATGTTTGGAGCAACTTGAATGTGTGAATCTGCTTTTTCAACTCTAAATTTTATGAAATCTAAATACAGATCAAATATGTATGAAAATTTAATGCCTGAATTGAGATGTGACTTAAATGTAAAATACACAACAGATTTCAAATATTTATTATGAAAAATAGAATGTAAAATACCTCACTAATTTTATATTGGTTATATGTTCAAATGCTAATTAGATTAAATAAAATGTTATTAAAGTTAATTTTACCAGTTTTAGTGTGACTTCTAAAAAATTCTTAATTAAGTGCAAGTACCTTATATTTCTACTTTTTAGCCCTGGTATATAATTTTTAGCACAGACGGTACAGAGCCCACCCATGAGTCTTAGCCCCCTGTCTCAGTAATGCATGCCCAGAGGCTGATGTTCACTCTGTTTGGCTGCAAATCTAGGATGAGAGTATATGGAAATGCCTGAAAGGCCCTCCCTATGCAAAGAACAAAGCAGGTGAAGTTTTTTAGGGGGTGCTGACACTTAGTCCTATGAGGCCCCAGTGCCCCCATGCTCTCTCCCCACCCTTTCACAACACACTCCAGGAATAGATGGAGCATTTATAGCATCTTAGCGTTTAGTTTGGAGATCTGCTCTGCCTGGGGCAATTTCATTTTATGTTTAGTCTCAAATACCAGAATGAAATGTGGACCATAGAGCCTTGAACCCCTGGGAGTGAGCAAGGGGGCATGTGGGGTCCTCAGATTCACCAGCCAGCCCCAGTGTCCCTAGTTCCATCTTAATCTTGCCCATGATTCTCCTGGTTCTGTTTCTCTAGTAAAAGTCACTGTAGGTCCTTTCCCCTTCTTCTAATTCCCACAGGGTGAAAAAGGTGACCTGGGTATGATGGGCTTGCCAGGGTCAAGAGGACCAATGGGCTCCAAGGTCAGTGTGTTGGTCCAGGTGGACATTCCCAGGTCTTCTCACTAAGGTTCTGGAACAGCTGCTGTCCACAAAGTCGGGACTGGGTGGAGCTGCCGTCCCAGGTTGGGGGAACATCAGAAATATTGGAAAGCCCAGTGCCAGAGTGCTTGCCTTTATCAGCCCTTTGGGGGACATGATGCCTGGGACACAGGGCATGGAGATGACCTTCTCCTGGGCAGGGAGAGTCCAGCTTCTGAACAACAAAGCAGATGGAAACCTTTGTTCATGCCTTTGTGGTTAAGAAAAGCAATGTTCTTTTTAGGCCTGGTATAAACATAACCCTCAGGGACATCTTTGTGTTTACTGTTACAACCCCCACTAAAACTTGCAGCACCAGGTGGGGACACACCTCACCATCATATTCAGGGATTCCTTCTACTCTTGCACCAAACCCAAAGTTCCTATAAGGCTGATCCTAAATGTACCTTTTGCTTTCTTTTAGGGTTACCCTGGATCCAGAGGGGAAAAGGTTAGTGTTTGTCTCTGGTGGCTTCCCAGAACCTGGTCTGGGCTATTGGCTCTGGGATCAATGATAAGCAAAGGACAGGCCCAGGTTTCTCTTAAGTTAGTGACTATAGTGACCATTCCTAGATATTTCCCTGTCCATCATTGGGCTGAGAGAGCAGTGAGGGGTCTCCTGAGGCAGGGCATGGGCAAGGGAGGAGCTCCAGTGGAGGTAGAGGCCTCTCACATGGAGCAGACGAGCAGTTGAAGGTTTTGCCCGGTGGAGAGGGAACACTGCTTTGGCGGGTACTGGAAGAAGATGGCTGACGTGTGTCTTTAGACTAAGCTTCCATCACACAACCCTCTCATCTGTCAAAAACCAAACCAAACAGAACAAAAAACCCAGCCAGAAACTGGGGACAAATTTCCTACAGGATGAGAGAGGATCTGGGACCCAGAATTTTCTGTGAGTTGTCTTTCATTAATGCAAAGGGTCTTTGTGGTCCAAATAAAAGGTAGATCACAAAGCATTCCTTCCTTGGGCAAGTCACCTAATCTCCGAGCCTACTTCTTTGCCTGTAAAATGAGGGTATTGGCTTAGGGAGATTTCATTGTGAAATGCTCCAATTTTCCCCCCAGGGTATTAACTCTGACTCTCTGCTGTGGTTTCCTCCTAGGGATCCAGAGGTGAAAAGGGTGACCTGGGTCCCAAAGGAGAAAAGGTAATGGCCTTTGCACGGAATGATAAACTACAACGGAAGCGGCAGCCCCTTGTGGGCTGTCCAGCTGACTAGCTGGCTGACTGACTGAGTGACTAACTGGGCTCTTATCTTGAAAATGGTGGACCACACTCTTCTACAGCCCTCTTAGGCCCTCTCTTAAGAGATAGTCACTCTATGTGTCACTCTCTTCACAGGGTTTCCCGGGATTTCCTGGAATGCTGGGGCAGAAAGTAAGTACTTAAAAGTAGTAAGAAGAGGGCTCGGTAACAAATTAGACCTTCTACACACTACACAAAGAGCTCTGCCTCTCTGTCCATCAGGCGGAGAAAGTGGGTTTTTCCATGGAAGGTTCTGGTTTGGAAGAGGAGCAAGTTGCGGTGCACATTGATGAGAGGGTGCCTACATGGTCTGAGACCTCCCTCCAGTTCAGTGGGAGGGAGAGGACACCCCATCCGGGTAGAGAGACCTTTCTTTGCATCTCCTACCTCTCAGGAAGGCATCATGACAGAGGGATCAGATCTGAGCTGCCATGGTCAAGGGCCCCAGTGTGAGGCACAGGCATCTTTGGCCTAAGGCCATTGCTGGCAGCACTCAACTCCGACCTTCTTCAAGGGAGCCCTCAGTACGTAGAGTTATTTTAGTTAAATTTTTTATTTAAACAGTTAAATATTTAGTGGGATTTCATGGATATCTAGCTGGGAACAAGGCTTACTAAATATGGAGTTCATTCAGTTGACTTGAAGAAAAATATCCAAAAACTAACAATAGAGGGGTGTGTAGATACGACAAAAATTGTGAAAGTGGCAACTGACTGGCAGATTTCTGGAAACTTCTACTTAGGGTTAGGGTCTGGTGAAGAATGGGGGGTGGTGAGAGGTGTCAGGCGATAAAGAGAGAACGTGAGAGTGTACCTAACTGGCCACTGAAAACACCTCTATCTAACGTTGTAATGGTGGTTCCTCATGCTGAAAGCCAGTTGACCTGGGAGGTTGTCATTTTTCCCCAAGTCTCAGAGCATAGTATTCTTTAAACATGCAAATGAATGCTTTCTTAGAATCCTAATTGTTTTTCAACTTTATCTTAAAGTTTTCTTTTCCAAACTCAAACGATTTTTGTCTGATGTTCAGCCAGGAGAACGTATTTAAATAATTTCAGTCATCTGACAGTAATTTATTATTATTTAGCACTGCCTTAAGCAGTTCCTGCTATTCCCTAGGTGGAATGTTGGGTTAAAAATAAATAATTACATAAGCAAGTTAAAGGAAACATTAAAAGAGAAAAAAAATAATTTGATTTAAAAATATTTAGGCTAGGTTTTCATTCAGTGCAAGAGTGAACATCAAAGAATAATAAATTATTGTGGAATTAAGTATGACAGCTTCTCTGGCCTCTGCACCCTTTACTAGACTTGCCATCTAGAGTTCTCTTTCCCTTTCATGGCAGGCTGTTTTGAGACAAAGATGGTATGATAACAATAATTAGGTCTTAGAAATTAGATCAAGAACTTACTGGCTGCTTCCAGTTGATGAAGAGAGGGGCCAAACTTCCTTCTGCCAATCTTTAAAAAGAAACAAAAAAACAAAACCAAAAACCACTTACACTGTTTATGCTGCTGTTTTGTCCAAGCCAGACAAAATACCCCGAGACCCCCTCTAAACAGCTGAGGAGAACTGTACAAACCTCTCTGTAGCCACATAGAATCCGTGTTATCCTCCCACACTTTTGAAATGTCTAGATGCTGGAGGACATGACAGTTGGGAAGAAATCACAGGTTTAAGAACAAATCTTGGTGTGGCAAGATGTTGATGGCTTAGATAGGGACAAATTTGTTACATTGGCTGAGTGACAGATAATTTCAGAGCTTTATGCTTGGTCCTTACTCTGTATTAGTTTTTTCTGAAATTTTCTATTGTGTTTTACTTCCTCTGACTTCCATGTGGAGAGCCTTCTGGGTGTTTGTTGTTCTCTCTGAGTGCCTGGGGTAGCTCTTCATGGACACTGGCTGCTGACTAACAGAAACTCTCAGGGTTGCTCTTGCTAAACTTAGCTTGGTGGTGGTGCATCCTGGGCTCTAGAGGGATAACTGGAGGTAGGAATGATGTTCTGTGGGGTCCTTGACCCAAAGAAACAACAGGTGGCCCTGCAATTCCAGAAGAACACAGGGCAGGAGAGAAGCTATAATGGAGAAATGGGTTTGACAAAAAGTTGGCCTTAAGCTACGGAATTCTGCAACTGGTGCGTTTGGCTCTGATAGCTCAGAGTAGGGCTTTTCAATTAAGAGTACTGTTGACATTGCTTTCCGTGCCTTTTACAATAATTATGTTGAGCATATGAATATATGTCTGGAACATTTTTCCCCACAGTTTTCATCTAACTCAAATGAAACTGAGCTGGAACTAAACCAGTTTTTATAGAAGAGTAGGCAAATGTATAACCCTAAATAAAGGTCCTTACATGTGGAGAAAATTTCCAAAGATGATAGTTGTCAAAACTGTGTTCAATCATTCAAAAACTCATAGATTGGAATTCATGCTAAAAACGAAACACCATACAATTTCGACCAAAAGAGAAAGCATTTTTCCCCGGCAGCGTGCCATGTCACAGGCACACATGTCACTGACATGCAGGAACCTCCTACTTTGGCCATTCAGGATTGTGATTTGGGACACCAAAATGTGTGCTGCCCAGCAGCTGTCTCTCTCGGATAATAAATAACCCACCTGGGGTAACCTTCTCCTTCCCTTCCTCTTCCTTGAAAAACCTATCTCCCTTTCACATGACTTCATCACTTTCCCAGTTTCCCACACTGGCCAGTTGCAAGAGGTGTAGAGTGATCAGGGGCACTGCCCTCATGACCAATGATTGGACGGACCTATAGAGATGTGCCTGCTCCGCATGCCCTAATTCCTTTCTTGCGTCCCTTTCTCCTTTCCAGGGTGAAATGGGTCCACAGGGTGAGCCTGGGATAACAGGACCCAGAGGGCCCAGAGGAAGACCAGGCAAACGCGGCAAGCCGGTAAGTCTCCCAGGGCTTGCCATGCCCCTGAAGTCAGACCCTCCTGATGTAGGCAGGTGGTGTAGAGAGGCAGCCGGCTGAAGCCAATCAGGAATATTCCCTAGGCACAATCCCCCGTGTCCTCGAGGCTGGCGGGCAGAAAGAGCACCACTCCCAGGAGCTCCTGTTTCTCTAGGCTAGCTAGGGGTTGAAGCAGGTGGGAGCGAACGCTCCATTCAAACCGTGTCCAAGGCCGGAAGTAAGAGTAGATCTTTGGTTCATGAGAATGGGTCTATCTTAACCAAAGCAACGGCGAATAGAAGCCGGATCTGGTTGTTCATCCAGAAGACTTGCTTTTTGCCTCAATGCCCTAGACACAGATGGAGTCTTGGAGAACAGCCCAAATATCTCCTTGTGGTTGAAGGGTCTTCTGGGTCTCAAAGATACAGTGGTTTTGCCCAGGCCCCTGAGAAATCAGACCCCCAACTTGTAAGTGACTCCACTCTCCTTATGGGCACTATTAAGGGCTTAGGGAAGTTGTCCATTCTGAAATCCCCCTGGTCAGAAGGCACGGGTGTCAAACCATGTGATGTGATAGGGAAAGGAAAGATGAAGGCCCATTTGCCTTAGCTGGCTTTAGAGCTGTGTTGAGTGCCTCAGAGGAACTCCTCATCTTTTCTCTAATGGACAGGCATTCCTTTCCTTTTTTGGTTGTCAGTTTGTAGGCTTTTTACTTCTTTTCCCATTACAAGTGTAATATATGCTCATCACAGAAAACCTGGAAAATTCAGAAAATAGGAGGGAAGTCATCTAAAGGCCTAACACCCAGACATCACCATTTCAGCGTACTTCCTTCCAGTGTTATTTCTTTGTGAACTTTCTAGTTGTTCGTGTCTTTTATATCCAATATATAGTTGTTGTATCCTAAAACTGTAACTTGAAATCACAGCATACACATTTTTGCTCATCACTGCGCATACTGTTTTTTTAAGATTTATTTATATGTGAGAGAGCGAGCGAGCACACACACATGTGCACAAGTCAGGGGTGGGGAGGTACAGAGGGAGAGGAAGAGAATCCCAAGCAGACTCCCCACTAAGCACGGAGCCTGACAGAGGCCTCGATCCCATGATCCTGAGACCACGATCCGAGCCAAAACCAAGAGTCAGACACAACCGACTGAGCCACCCAGGCGCCCCCTCATTAAGCATTTTTAAACATCTTTTTAAAATGTCTGCAGTCACATTTTGTAAATGAGTAATCAGTAGATTGCTTGGACAAGAGAGGCCCAACCAAATTATATATAATGCTGAGAGGTGAACATCTTTGGGTGCAAACCTTTCTCCATTCTTATGTTTTCATTCTTTCCTTAGGCTAGATCCGTGGTGCTCAAACTTTAGTGTCTGAGTAAGCTGGGGGCCGATTAGATGCAGGTTTTCTGCCTCAGGTGCCATGGTTGTAGTTCCAGGTTTGCCTCTCATCACCCCCAGTGCCTAGGCCTTACTTCCCAGAGCATCTGATATAATTGACCTGGCTTGGGGCTCCAGCATGGGTGGTTGTTTTTTAAAGCTCTCCACATGATTTTTTTTTTTTTAAGATTTCATTTATTTATTTGAGAGAGAGAGTGAGCATGAACAGGGGGATGGGCAGAGGCAGAGGGAGAAGCAGACTCCCCACTGAGCAGGGAGCCTGACGTGGGGCTCGATCCCAGGACCCTGGGATCATGACCTGAGCTGAAGGCAGATTGTTAACCGACTGAGCCACACAGGTGCCCCTCTCCACATGACTCTAGTAGGTAGCCAGGGTTCAAAACAATGGTAACAGTATGAAACCAATTCTGGTCTTTTCCAAGCGAACTTAGGAATGACACAGCCTCCAACCTGAATACAAATTCCACTATAACTTCTGAAGTTGCAGTAGTCCAGTTCAGTTTTCTAAGTCTTAAATGGCTGGCATGTCCATGACTTCACAGTGATGCCACAATTCCCTAAAAACTTGGCTCAGGAAAAGGAGAAAAAAAAAAGGAAAATCTTTTTCTTCCCTACTGCTGATTCCATGCAGAATGTTTTATGCTTGGGGTTCAAGAAGTGTGCTGGCTTCGGTCCTTCTGGTGTTTTTCTTGGACAGTGTTTGTCTTTTCCTGGTGACGGCTTGAGACAAGAAGGCTATTTCCTGACACTGTTGAGAATGATTCAGTCGGAGCAATCTTAGAACTACCCCAGGACCATGTGTGGGAGCTGAGAGAAATGAGTTCATCCTTCCTACAAGATGTTATAAACAAGCCGAGTGCGCCCCAAACCCTCCCCGCCTGTCTAGACAGCAGATACTTTAGTTGTTAGCCTTGGGAGACCGCCATGGTCCTTTTCTTTCTTTTCTTTCTTTTTTTTTTTTTTTTTAAAAATCCTGAATTAGTTTCCTACCATAGGGTCTTATACATTGAATGTTGCTGGGCCAGTGGTGTTAAGAGTTTCTGGAGGTTATCATAAGTCGATCCAACTCCTGGAATCAGAGATCTGGAAGGAACTTCGGGAGATCCAAATTTCAGAGCCAGAAGGATTGTAGAGACCACCTCATCCATTTCCCTTGGTCTAGCCACAAGGAAACTGAGGGACAGGGCAGCAGAGTGACCCCCTCAGCCAAGCAAGCTTCCAAGGCAGCATTGGAACTTAGAGAGCTGAGACCTGCTTTTCCCCACACATCTCTCCTCACCTTCATGCTTCAGCATTTGCCTTCAGCCAGGCTCGGGGAAACTGCTCTTGACTCTATCATACAAATCTTCAGTGAAGGAGACAGAACAACTTCCTTGAGGGACATCACCAAGCTTTGTGGCAGTAAAGTGAATAAAGAAGAATGCCTTTCCTGGAAAGCACTGCTCAGTGAGTCCTGCTCATAGAGACATGGCTTATTCTAAACAAATGACTGATACACAGAATATTCCATTATTGTTTGGTGTCAGAATCAAGGAGTGCTTCCAGCTCCTTCAAGCTGTGACATTTCCTGTGTTCATAGTCAGCTGATGTGGCTTTTAGAAAAACAAGCCTTAACCGTGGCTATATTAAGATGGTGTGACCTCCTTTGCTATTCTGGGACCCATCTTAGTTACCAAGTGTTAGCCTGGGCAAAGGCTTAAGAACTCCCTCCATCAGGATGGAATTGGAAATAAACTCTGACCTCACAGGTCCCATATTAAGAATTTAAGAACTCCTAAAAATAAATAAATAAATAAGAATTTAAGAACCCCTTAGACATTGCCAGGAGAGACTGCAGAGCCATGTTGACAAAGCGGCAGGTCGCGTGTCACTGTTGTGATTGGAAAAGGAGTGCCCTGCCACCCTGCTTCCCAGATTTGGGGAAGATTATGTTTCATTATCTTGGGCAGGCCTGCCAAGGCACAAGTGTAGAAAGGGAATCCAGGTCAAAAATGTCCTGCATCAATCACTGTCCTCTTTAGGCCCAGCGCAAGAGCAGACAATTAGCAAATTGTCTGGGGGAAGAACCTACAGACGTTGGTTTCTGGGGTCATTCCTCAGAGCAGCCCTAGGAGGAAATCTTTGCTCCTGACTCTCTCAGAACAGGCAGCAAGGAGGACATCCTGTGTGGAATGGCTACAGCTCCAGGTGTGCCTCTCTTTAGGAAATCAGGCCTTTTCTAACCACATAAAAAGATGAAACCAAGCCAGTTGCTATGATAGTCAGCCTCACCCCCCCTTCCCCCGCCAATGCTTGGTTCTACGCAAACCACTTTTTCTTTTTCTTTTTTTTTAATTTTATTTTTTTATTATTATGTTATGTTAATCACCATACATTACATCATTAGTTTTTGATGTAGTGTTCGATGATTCATCGTTTGTGTATAACACCCAGTGCTCCATTCAATACGTGCCCTTTTTAATACCCATCACCAGGCTTTTTCACCTCTGGGAGCTTTATTACTCTCACAACAAAGCTGTGAAGGTGTGTGTTTAATATAATGGCCCATTTTATAGATGAGAAAACTGAGGCACAAAACAATGACTTGCATGATCCGGGGTCTCATGGCCAATGTGAAAACCCAGGTCTCTTACTTCCAGCTCAACAGAACTACTTCCCGTTTGTGTTGTCAACATCTTCCTCCTCCTTCATTTAATCTGGGAACAAGATAAATTCTGGCCCACAGGGAGCCTATGTTTCGTAGAGAAACATTGATGAAGGGACCGCACAAATAATGGTGTGTTCCTGACCTGGGTAAATGCCGGGAAGAAAAGGGGCCAAGTTCAGAGAGCCTGTGACCAGGAGAACTCACTTGGTCTGGCAAGGTCTAGCAAGGTCCGGGAAGGCTGTGCTGCAGTGACACTTTACCTGAGAGCTAACAGCTGGGAGGGAGTTAACCAGGTGGAGGAGTGGACAGGGAGTTTGGGCAGGGAGGAGGGAAATAAAAGGCATGGTGCTCTTGAAGACCAAAAATACCAGAAGACTGGAACAAGATTGGAAAGGCCAGCCATGCAGTGCTTTGTAGGCCGAAATAAGGATCTGGGTCTTTATCCTGAGAGCAACAGGGAGCCATTTGTTGGAAACGGCTCTTGTAGTAAAATTGAAATGGTCTTGACGAGCAAGCAGAGGCCTGAGTCCTAGGCAACAAGTCTGTTGCCTCAGTGCTAGGTGCCTTGCATGAATCACTGCTCTTTCCTGGGCCTCTCTTTCCCCTTCTGCCTGGTGAGGGGAGTGGGTTGGACTGGTTCCTTTCAGCAGTCATATGCCATGTTTCTGGGAGAGAGCAAGAAGTAATGTCTGCAAACTTGTAACCGTCACAATCTCAAATATCACTTGCCCTGAGTTTTTGTTTTGTTTTGTTTTTTAAGTAGGCTCCATACCCAAGGTAGGGCTTTGAACTCACGACCCTGCAATCAAGAGTCACATGCTCCACCGAATGAGTCAGTCAGGTGCCCCTGCCCTGAGCTTTTTAGGACCTTGATGGTCAAAGCCTCAGGTGCATCCTGCCCTGGGCTCCTGCAAGGTGGTCCCTGATTTAGACATAAATGGGGAAGGAGGTTTGCCCTGTCATGTTATAACAGGCTCTGCCTTTCTCTCTGTCAGGGGCAGAAGGGAGATAGTGGAGTAATGGGCCCACCAGGCAAGCCTGGGCCTTCTGGTCAACCTGGCCGTCCAGGTCCCCCAGGCCCCCCGGGCCCCCCATCCACAGGTAAGAGCTACATTGCTTCACGTGATCTACAGTGTCGCCCTCCTGGCCAACCTCCCCAGAGAGGGCACAAGGAGATGCCTGCAGAGATGCCTTGTGTTTTGAGCTAGAAACTACTAGAGGCACTTTAACATATTTATAATTTCTCCACAGTTTGGGTCTTTCAACTTTAACACAAGAGAGGTAAACACCATCCTGATTCTGTTGTAGGATTTTAGAGAACAAATAGAGGAGAAAACAAAGGGAACCCTGATTACACTGGTGATGTCATTTTATACTTCAAGTGAAAAATAACCGGCACATATTTCATCAACAAATACCTCTTTCTAAAAAAAAACCTTTCACAACTCCAAGCAGTTCTCTTAAACCTAGAAGATGGTGTGGCAGAGCTTTCTGTCTTACGTAGTGTTATTAAAGAGTCCTTGTTAGTTTATACTGAACATATAAAGAAATCATAAAAAGAAATCAAAGTCTACCATTGAAGAGGGATAGAAACACTGCTCCCTTGCTTACCTTGTTTAATTTGATGAGCTAAAGGCTTTATTTAGTTTGTACCTTTGTCAGCTCCAAATACGACCTTTCATAGCACATTGTCTGTATAGACACAGCATCTCTGGGCCTGAGAAGACTGTTTATTACATAAGGTCCTTTGTCCTCAGTTATACAAAAGGAATCCAAGCAATTTTTATTACCATTTCAGTTCAAGGGTCTGTTGTAGTCCTCATCCTCCTCGGTTCTGGCGCACGTAACATTCCCCTCAAGCCCCATGATCATGAGCTGCCAACCCCAGGGACTGAGAGTGTGATGTGAGGCCTGAGTTTTGTCTTTGGAAGGGACTCTCTTGGCCCTTGGGGTATTGAGCAGCTCACAAAACTGAGGAGTAGCCAGGATCATGGCGGGGGGTGGGGGGAGGGCAGTGTAGATGCAAAGAGAGGTCATTAGGCCAGTCCTCATTTTGTGTCTGTTTGTAAAGGCCAGCCCTCATTGGACTTGAACCTCAGTTCCCTCCTGGAGTCTGAGGTTGGGTGAGGGCAGGACCTGGGGAACCCCAGCAACCTACTCAGATGCCCATTGTTTTGTTTTGTCAGGCTCCAGGGGACTGCCACCCCATCCCTTTAGCAGGGCCGTTGTAGTTCTGTTTTCCCTCCTTGGTCTTCCAGCTCCTTCTTATTTAGCCTGGTATGCACACCTCCCATTCCCCACACTCTGTCCTCTGCCAGAGCCCAGCATCACCGCCCTTTACCCGCCAGCCAATTCTGCTCTCTGTTGAGCTGGAGCATATTCCTACAGTCTCTCTGGGTCAACATGGCCTGAAATAGCATCCCTATCATCCTCTGGTGCACCCAATGAAACCATCTCCTTCCTTCACAGCCCTCTCCTCAGCAAGGCCCCAACAGGGTGTGCCTCTTTCCCCTGGGCCCAGGTCACATATTGCCTCTCTGCTGTGGCCCTTCACTGCTAACTCTTTCTGTAGCTGTGTTTCATCTTCCTTCTAGATGGCAAGTCCTTGAGGCAGCGTCTATGGCCAAGTCGGCTTTGCATCCCCATGGCACCTGGCAGGTGGGATGGGCAGGACCAGGTACTGTAGGCATTCACAGACCCGGGCCATTTGGGTTCTCAATCTGTCCCCTCTGCGTTATTGCATGGCAGCCAAGCAGTCTGTTTCTGACTCATGTCCCCTTCCTGTGCCTTCTTTTGAGTCACTTCCTTTCTGGGGATCCTCTCAGTGAAGGGACTGAAGAAAATGGGGCAATAATCCTGCTCTTTGGGAACATTTGGGGTAGGGCAGGGAAAGAAGAGGAGGGAGGAATTTAAAAGAGAACTTCCCTGGGCCAGGGGCCAGTTGGATTATTATCAAGAACGGGAGCAGGCCCCAAAAGTGATGCCTGAGACTACCTTTGAAGGCTCATAAAAGTCCCAAGCCCACTCAGGAGAAACATGTGTCTATCTAAACCCAAAATTCTGTATAACTGCTTCCCAGAGTTCTAGGACCCCTGCCCCAAATCCATCTTGGGAGGTGCTTGGTCTCTGTGGACCACAGGTCAAACAACCCTGGTCTTATCCAACACTCCCTTTATAGAAAAGAACTTTGAACCTCAGAGAAAAGGGACTTCCCCAAGGTCACAGAGCTGACTGGTGGGCCTAGAATTAGTCTGTGGCTCCTGGGCCTGAGACCTTTCCATTTAGCCATGTGGCCTCTGCAGAGGCAGAGTGGAAGCTAGGGGTGATGTGGAGACTATTCTGTGGTGCCTCCCCCTTCTCCCAGATTTCCCATCTCAGGCCCACTCCCACTGCACAGCCCGTGGCGGTGGGAGGCTCTCTGGGCAAAGATGGAAAGCCAGGGCCTCTGGCTACAAGGGATGATGGATCAGCCAGGCCCACTAGGCCAGCTCTGAGAGGCCGGGGTGGGGAAGTTCGAGTTGCTGTGCCCGTCAGTGCCTCCTGGCAAGAAACCAGCAGGCAGGGGTGACAGATGTCCTCTAACAGCTGAAAGGAAGCTGCAGGAAAACTGCAGTGGTGGCAGGAAGCAGGCACCTTGCCCCATCCTGTCGTCCTGTCAGGAGGCCACCTCTGGTTCTGGTGCCCAGTGCTGTGGGGCAGGACGGTGCTGGGGCCAGTGGAGAGGGTGGGAGCTCTTTAGTACCCAAGTTAGAGAGAAAGAGGTGCTGGGAGGCAGGGAGGGAATAAGGCAAAATGCCTCTAGGATGTAATTTGCAATAACCAAATTACAAATTTGGCTGAGTCCTTCCAGCACCCAGACAGGGTCTAAGTGAATCACTGTGGTACCTGGGAATCGCCAGCTTCCTGCAGGCATCAATATTCTTGGACGTTTGTCTCTTGAATGGCATAGCATTAAGTCGAACATGAATTGACATTTCAGCATCCCCACTAAACTAGCGGGATAATGGGACAAACTCCTGAATCGCTCTGAGGCCACGGATCTGGAGGAGTTGTTAGGGGTCACAGAGCCACTCTCACGTCCTCGGTTATAGAAATTCCCACTTCAGTTTCCCCACGTGATGAGTACCCAGAATATTCCTGGGCTAGTGGAGTCTCTGTCTCTCCAGGCTGTGCTGAAAACATCAGAACACAAGACTGGAGCTCCTCCTGCAGCACTGGATGCAAGTTTCTACCACAACCTGGGATAAAATGTTGGCAAGCCTCCCTTCCCCCCTTGCTGACATTCTGATCTTGGACATATCTGTTCTGGAAGATATGTGTTCTGGAAGGGTTGTGGGGAGGGTACTCCCATTAGGGTCTCCTCCTCTAGCTGAAGCTGCTTCCTTGGGGTCTTGACCAGACCTCTCCCCTGGGGTCATTTTATTTTCTGCCCTTCTGGGATCTGCCAACTGTGTCCCCAGTTGTTGGCTCCCCTGGAAGTTATACAGCCTGAAAGCAAAGACTTCCTGGTCTCCAGACTCCCCTTTACTTTCCCAGGAGGAGGCACATTTCCTTTCTCCGTCTTCCCTCTCTTTCCTCTCTTGTTGGAGGGCTCTTGCTCTAGCTCTTTCCAGCCAACCCGAAGATGATCTTTAGTCTTTTCTGAGGACCAGTTAGTCTACATTCATTCATTGATTCGGTCATCAAGCCCGTATCCTGTCCCTACTGCATGTCCAACCGTGGTAAACGAACACAGGTACGAACCTTGCCCTTGTGGATCTTACGTTCTACTGGGGGAGATTGACCTTAATCACCTCATCTCACAAGATACAGAAATCACAGACAGAAGTGCAGTGAAGAAAAGGCATGGGGAGCTGTGAAACTGTATCTAAGGTAAACATGCCTGAGTGTGAGCATTCGGAAGCTTTCCCTGAGGATGTAATATTGGAACCCAGATCAGGAGGAAGCTAGGAGGTATGGAGGGTGAAGAGAGAACAATCCAGTGGGGGAATGGCTGTGCAAAGGCTGTTTCCTTAGACCAGCAGTTCTCAACCTCAGTGTACACTGGAATCAGCTTGAGAGCTTTTAAAAGCCACGGATGCCTGGGTTCTATTCTCAGCATTCTTGATGGAATTGGTTTGGGCTGTGGCTTGGGCATCAGGGCCTTTAGAAGTCAGGATGAGAACTACTACCCTAGCAGGCCACCCACACTGCAGGGAGTAAATTTCCTAATCATATATGTTTAGGACACTCAGTATCAGGGGACAATGAGTAGGTGGAGCATTTCCAACGTGCCATTTTCTTCCAGAAGAAATTAAAAAAATCCACCTTCAGAAATTCCTTTGTAAAGATCTTATATATAAGAACAAAATAAAATGAATAAAAATAATAATAAAAGCTATCAGTTAGCGATGTGTTCATCAGCAAGAAGTCCTTGTTAATAATAGTCTAAACAAAAAGGGGATTGTTTTTCTCATATAACAAGGAAGTCCAGAGGTGGACAATGGCTGGCTTTGGTTTAGCCTCTAAGGGTCACCACTAGGGTCCCATGTCCCATGAGGTTCTGGTCTTTCCTGTGTGTTGGCTTCTCTTCTTATACTTGTTACTTCATGGTTGCAGTGTGGCTGCTGCAGCACCAGACATCTTGTCTGTCTTCTAGACAGGAAGGAGAAGGAAACTGTCTCTTACCAGCAATGTTTTTCCTGTATCAGGATAGACTTTCCCAGATGCCTACCCTTCTCCTATCGCAGACCTTGAATGCAAGGTAGTCTGGGAGGTAGAATGACTGTTTCTCAAGTATAGAGAAAGGGAAGGGAGAAGATACTGCAACACCCCTCATGGTTAAGGGACCCACGGAGAACATCACCTCCTCCACATCTTGGAACAAGAGTCTCTTGGAACAAGAGTCTCTTTGAACCTCTTCCCCCAGGACTACCCTAAAATACTGTGGACTTTGACCTTCTTCCTGTTGTGAAGTTTGCTCACCTCTCCCAGGACTATTTGGTTTTCTCTTCCTTCATTCAAGTGACTCAGCAATCTGTTACTTCCTAGGACAACTTGTGATGGGACCCAAAGGGGACAGAGGATTTCCCGGGCCTCCAGGAAGCTGTCTTTGTGGAACCCCTATGAATGTGAATAACCCTTCCTACAGGGAATCCACGTTTGGGCCCAGTTCCCCGCACGTTCCTGTGGTAAGGCTCCTAGGAGAAATCTGGGCTGGTTCTCCATCAGGACCTCTCACCTGACCCTCTCAGAGCTTTGTAAGAGCCTTTTAATAAAACGGATTTCCCCATTATACTTGGGACACACTCATTATGGGAGACTGGAAAATAAAGGAAAATCAAAAGTAGGAAACCAAATTGTCCATTTGGTTGTGGGTGCATTTTGGAGTATTTTCTTTGTCTTTTTTTAAGAACAAAAAGTTATTTAAAATTTCAAGTAAATACAAAAATGGAAAAAATAGTGTAATAAACCTCTGTATCCTTCACCTGAATTCAACATTTATCAACTCCTGGCTAATCCTGTTTCCTCTTTACACCCACTCTCTACTGCCCACCCTCCCTTGGGTTATTTTGAGATAACCCTGGACATCAGTTCATCATTTGAGTGGACACATAATCATCCATCCAACATGCAGCTGTGCTGTGATTTATTTAACCAATGTCTTATTGTCGGATATTTATAGGGTTCTCCCAAGCTTTTCACTAATGTAAATAAAACTGTAATGAACACCTTTGAGTATAACAATTTTGTTAAGAATCATTTCCAGATGTTGAATTACTTGATTAGATGATACCACCTTTTTATTTAAGTCTTAGGGGCATTTTAAATGTTTAAAAAATTTAAGTCATGGATAGTCTTTTTTTTTTAAAGATATTTATTTATTTGAGAGAGAGAGAGAGAGAATGAGCAGTGGGGAAGGGCAGAGGGAGAGAGAGAGAGCAGGCTCCCCGCTGAGCAGGAAGCCTGATGCGGGGATTGATCCCAGGACCCTGGGATCATGACCTGAGCCGAAGGCAGATGCTTAACCAGCTGAGCCACCCAGGTGCCCCAAATCATAGATAGTCTTACTGCAAACTCAGACAGTTGGAACTGGATTGAGAAGATGTAGGCATCAAGACCTTCCTCCCTATTTCAGGAGGAATGCTGGAGCGTGATATGCAGACGCCCCTCCCATAGTTAATGAGCCCAGGGATAGAGATTCTGCTTCCTCCTCCAGCTTTTCCCTGCCCATTATAGAAGTGTTTTCTGAAATCTTCACCAGTGTGTTCTCTGGCAGATTTTTGTCGTCAACAACCAGGAGGAGCTTGAGAGGCTGAACACCCAAAACGCCATTGCATTCCGCAAAGACCAGAGATCTCTATACTTCAAGGACAGCCTTGGCTGGCTCCCCATCCAGGTACCACGAGGCAGGCACTCTGGACATAGCCCACCCCGGAAAGGGACACAGCATTAGAGGAAAGAAGGGCCAACAGTTGGGCCTGGCGCAGAGCTTTCTGCAATATGTTCCCGAAGAAGGCCTGGGCATCCTCCCCTGCTCTGCTTCTGAGTGGTTCTCCATGCCCCTGCTCCCCAGATGGAACCTCCTCTCTGAGCCAGGGTTCCAGATGGGCTCCCATCCCCACCCTGCCAGGCCATTGTCTTGATTTGACCCAGCTTCCCTGTCAGCTGCAGAGCTCTGAGCGGCAGGAGAGGAGTGCCTCTCCACCCCCCACCCCAGGAGGAAGCCCCCACAGACCCAGAGCCTCTGGCCCCAGTGCCAATGACCCACCCTGCCTGCGGTGCCCGGCATGACATCCCTGGTCACTGTCATGTGTTTCTCTGGCCAGGTGACCCCCTTCTACCCTGTGGACTACACTGTAGACCACCGCGGCTCCTGTGGGGATGGGGTCCTGCAGCCCGGGGAGGAGTGTGACGACGGGAACAGTAACGTGGACGACGACTGCATCAGTGAGTGGGGCCCAGCCAGGGAGGTGGGGGGCTGAAGTGCAAACTGCCACAGGGTCGGGGAGGCTGAGGGCTAGCCCCTGGACGATTCTAGAGCCAGAGAGGGGACACCTGGGCTGGTCCCATTCTGGCCACATGTGGACCTCCACTGCCCAAGCATGTTGGTGGGGGTTAGTGTCAAGGATCTTGCCCCCAGAGAAGCCACCAGTCGCTACCTTTTCCTGAACCCTACTTCTGGGCAAAACCCACATTCCAGTCCACATTCTTTATCAAAAGATAAAGATGATGCAGAGTGAGAGACAAAAGGGAGAAGCCAAGAATTTGAATCAGGACAGAGTTACCAGATAGAGCCCTAGTGGCGAAGCGCTTTCGTGGGGCAGCTGCCTTCAGGCTGATGGGGTGCTACCAGGCCAGGCACGCAGCAGCGCCCTGGAGGGTTTGCTTTCCTTCTTTTGTCAATCATGCCACAAAAATAGGAGGGGAGACAGAAAGCAGGGGATTTAGAGTCTGACAGAATTCTTGGATGCTCAGAGAGGAGGCTACTCAGTGAATAGGGGGGTTAGAGCCAGTTCACAAGCTCTGGGTCTCACTCTCCTCAACCGAAAAATGGGTATGACAGCACTGATGGCTCAGGTCTTCAGAGATTCTGTGAGCTAATGTACACTGGATCATCTGGGGAGAGTAAGGGTTCAACATCCCTTCACTGAATTATTTTCCGGTCCCTGCTGTGAGGAGCCAGGCCCTGGCTCAGGGCTGGGGATGTGCAAGTGCAAAGTCTCCTTCCTTGCTCTGGGAAGGCTGACGACGGTGCAGTGGAGTGAGGAAGGTGTGCACAGGGATGGATGCAGGGACAGAGAGGAGGCTGGCGCCCCCGCGCTGGAGCTGTACTCCCTGTGAAGGAAGCCGGGATGGTGCTCCCTGGCATGCCGGCTTTGCCTGGAGGCCCTTCTGCCCCGGCGCAGACACCGTCCAATAGATCACACAGCAGGAAGGAACTGAGGGGGTCTCAAAGCCCCGTAAAATGGGGGTGGGGCTCGGACTCCAAGACCCTTCCCTTGCGTGACAACAGAGACCCCACTGAAGGTCATCTGGCTCCCCAGGGACACAGGGCCACCCACCCTGGAAGGTCTCTGGAGAGAGATAAGAGCCACCTCAGTCATCACTTGTGCCCAGTGCTCAGTCTGCTGATCCTCACTTCGCGGGAACCCATAGTGCGTCCTGTGAAGAGGAGGTGGTGGCCACGTCCCAGGCTTTAGATAGGGATATGGAGGCTCAGAGAGGCCAAGTGGTCTGTTCTTGGTCCGTTGGGTACTGAGTAGCTGCAGTGGGCTAGAGCCTGGGTCTCCTTAGTCTCTGGTGTGGGATTTGGGGGTCTGAGGGGCCGTCCCTGGATGCATCTGAAGCTTTATGGAAGTCCATTCAAGAGGGTGCATGTTCTGGGGGGATCCTTCAGGCCACACAGTCCTTACAGGCTGAGGTAAGCCTGTCCCACCCTAGCCCCCTCTCAGGGCTACTTCCTTGTATCCCTCAGGCTGTCACCGGGCCTACTGTGGAGACGGTCACCAGCAGAAGGGCGTGGAGGACTGTGACGGCTCTGACTTTGGCTACCTGACGTGCGAGACCTATCTCCCAGGGTAGGGATCACCTCATGTGCTATTCTGACACCCTGCCTCCCTCTCTGCCTGCCTCCTCTTCTTTTCTTCACAAATATTTTTTTTAGCGCTTATGTTCTTTCTACTCTCTAAACGCTGAGGTATGGTGATAGCTAACACGCGGTCCCTGCTCACTAGGGGAGACAGGCCATAAACACATAACCACCATGTCCCTCTCAGAGTGCCTGAGTGCCACCGAGGCCGAGCTGAGACAGTGACCAGCTCCATCCTGGGCCCCTGGGGACCAGCAGTCTCTATTTCAGCGGTTGCCCCTGGATGAGCAGCTCCCATCCCCAGTGGCTACCATGACCACGTTAGTCTTCTGGAAAGTGGGTCTGGAGGAAGCCCAGTGGAGAGTGGAGGGACCAGGGCATTCCCAAGAATCTAAGCATCTGTATAACCTGAATTCTCTGGGACAACCCCTGACTCCCAGGCCTGTGGGTGCAGATGAGATCACAACAGCATTAATATCTAATTTTGCTGGCTCGTGGCTCCTCCAGGAAAACCCCGGGAACTTAGTATCCCCTTCAAGGACCTCTCTAGTTATATCTGGGACTCTCCAGTGGGTGTTCACGTTGCTCAGAATAAGTATTCTAGTGTCTTGACCTCCACGTTGATGTCTCCAAAGACAGCTGAGGGCCACTGGCCCTATGACATGCAAAACGGCACCACATTCCCCTTAATCCTCACAAAACCAGAGTTGTATAGCATTCTAGGGGAGATGGGAAGGCTGTTCCTCCCTCAGTTTCTGCTTCTTCCTTGCCTCCAGAGTGGATCATTGGCCCCTCACACCTCTTAAGTCCCTCAGGAGTCCAGTCTCTTCAGCGTTCCCTTCCAGCCCTGTTCCTTGGACCAGGCCCTCCGCAGGGCTGGGAAACAGCCACCAGGCCTGTCGTTCTGTCGCCTTCTCTCTGCTCTCTCTTCCAAGGAGGTCTCCTCAATGCCCACCCCCTGAACACACACCAACATACCAAACCAGGCTGGGAGAACTACAGACCTATAGTCACCCCAAAACAAGCACTTTAGGCTTGGTCAGGATGCCCCCTCCACCTGTATCTGTGTGTCTATATGTACTTCCCTATCTCCAAAGTGTGGAGGGCTCCTAACATACATCTCCGAAGTATGGCAGGCTCCTAACCGGCCAGAGAGTTGGCAGGTCTGAGCTGGTTGGTTGATGGCTTCATGGAGACAACTCAATATAGACAGCTGAACATGGAGTACAGGATTGCATAGAGCCCAGGGCTTACCCATTGGCTCACTGCGATTACTCGTCTAATCTCTAGAAGCCTCAGAGAATGCTTGTGAGTATGGGTATAATGTATAACACACGGTCTCAGGATTAGCACTTGGGCTTACAGAAGTATAAACTGCTGTCCAATATGGTGGCCCCCAGTCACATGTTGCTATTTAAATTTAAATTAATTAAAAATAAAATTAAAAATCTAATTATTCAGTCACAGCAACCTTATTTTAAGAGCTCAGTAGCCACATATGGCTAGCGGCTGCCATATTGGACTGCACAGAAATAGAACATTTGCATCACCACAGTTATGATCTAATGGACAGCACTGAAACCTTTCAGGTCTTGAGAAGGGAGTGATTCTCTCAAAGATGCTGTGTTAAGAACAAAGTTACCAACTCTTTCCACCCAGATCCCTCAGCTGGGCTCCAGGGGAAAAGTCCCAGAGGCCTGGACTCAACTGCCCCAAGCCTCTTACCCCAAATGAGAATGAGAACAGTCCCTCTGGAGCCCTTAGGTAAGGTAGCAGCCATGGTTGCTGTCTGATGAGCTTTGACCAAAAGTCACCGGAGGTGGCCTTTTAGAACCTGGCGTGGTCATGAGGGCTGGGCAGGAGCTCCCCTGCCCACTGGCCCATGAGCGCCCTGACCCCTGTCTACCCCCCTCAGGTCATATGGAGACCTGCAGTGCACCCCATACTGCTACATCGACTCCACATCCTGCCGCTACTTCACATGAGGGCCGCGAGGAGGAGGGCTGCGTCTTACGTAACCGGCAGCAGCTCCTCCACCCTCAGCAAATTGACTTCGCGCCATCCTGGTCCAGTTTCCACCACCTTCGTGCAACAACAACAAGGACAAACTCTTGCTGCTAAGACATGCTTGTAACTCAGTCCAACTGGAAGAACTTAGGACTACTGCATCCTGTCTTAATCCAGAGTCCAGGAAAACCTTCCACGTGCCTGACCTGGGAACTGTTCCCCATTGCTACCATCTGGTAGCCAAACCTACAGTGCCCTTTCTCTTCTGGAATGTTACTGACCCAGACCATGGACTTGGCTTAGAACTGTTAGCCCCACCTAGACCTGCAGGGCTTTTTGAATTTGTTCTCATCCCACTTGGGGCATCTGGTGTACAGGCTTCTCCACTCCTCTGACCTCTGGAAATGTGGGCATTCTCACCCAGGGCAGCCGGCTGTCAGGTCTCTCCAGGCCCGTGAACCACAAAGCAGGGAAGTGGGCCCGTTCTCTCAGAGTGGCTCCCAGCTCTGGACCCACTGAGGAACCCCTCAACTGGCTATGGCCCAGCACAGCCTCATGTGGATACAGCTTCCCCAAGAAGAGACCCAACTGTGAAAAAGTCCTGAGAAAGCCACCAAAACGGTGCTCTGGCCCTGGAAGAGGGTGGAGGCCCAGCTGGGGTGCTCAGCATGTGAACAATAGCAGATCAGTGGCCTTCTGCTTCTCAGTGTTTCCCAAAGGGATAGCCCTTGTGGTTTCACTGTCCCTAGCACCACCTTGACCTTGTGGCTCTCGGCACCTTGACCTCTGTCTTACAAATGCCCCTTATGTCCCTTTCTTGTTCAGGAGATTCACTACCAGAGGGTGACCTCCTAAGTCTACACCTGGGAAGGCTTTTGGTGTTTCCAGTCCTTAGGAAAGCACTACCCTGGGTTTCCCCACGTGAGGCCCTATGACTGAGTACCTGCCCTAGGCAGAAACCATTTCTCCTGAGCTCCAGCTCCTGGCTACCTGCTGACTCCTGTGCGCATCCCGTGGCCTTCCCTTTGTGTCTCTGTAGTGCATTGCCTTGCCCTCGTGTCTGTGTGCCTGAGCCCCCCACGTTTCTGCAGGGTCATTAGTCTGGCCTGTCTGTGAGCTGCCTTATACCACCATCTTTCCCGAGTGGGGCTTGCTTAGCTTTGGTTCGCAAAAATGTCTCCCCCACAGCAGGCCTCAAATGGGATTTGTCTATTTGTTACCAGATGGAGGGACACTTTGGGGCTTTTGTACGAAGCTAGTGTGCCTGAGTCCTAGGGACTCAGTAGACAGGAGCTTCTTGCCCAGCAGACCATCACGAGTGGTCTGTAGTAGATGGGATCAGCCCAAAGGTGATGTCTTTAGAGGTAGGCACACTGGTCAGCCCAGTTCCCTCAGCCTCTACTGCGCACCTTGGGGTGATATTGCCCCCATGTAAAGCTACACCTTCATGCTGGGATCTCCACATGGGAAAGCAAGAAATACAAGCAGTTTGTTTCCCCCACTGTGGCTCTCTTTCCCTTGGGGTTTTGGGCCAGTGTGTCAGCATTACTGTTTGGAATGAGGGGTCTGAATTCACTGCCTCCCAGGCTTTGCAAAGGGTTCTAGAATGTGGAGCAGTACTATCCCTCAGGGACAAGGGAGGAAACCAACGTTGAGAGAGATAAAGGGACTTACCTAAGGCCACAAAGCCTGCTCTTGCTAACCCAGCGCCACTCCAGCCTTATTTTAGGACCACATTTAAAACAAGATGGAGCTCCAACACTGCCCTTGGTTGGACCTGGCCACGAGATACCCTGTCCTGGGTCCCTTGCCTTGAAGGGCACCATTCTGGCCCTCCTCTGGCCATGATCCTCCCCACAGGGCAGGGAGTCTATGAGGCCAAGGTGACCTTCCCACTGTAGCTTGTGCACCCCTCTCCCAGACCATGATGCAGGTACCCGGGAGACCACAGTTCCCACCCAGGTGGTCCTGAGCCTGAGCAGTCCTCTTCGCCATTGTCTGTCTTCCTGAGTGTGACCTGCACACACCTGGGTGGCCAGGGACAAGCTGTGTTTAGAGGTTGTAGATGGGGCTTGGATATGTGGGCTGGGGTTTCCACACAGATATACACGAAGCCCCTCTCAGTGTGGGTTGAGCCTTGTTCTCCTTGTGCCACCACGGAGCTTTGAGGGATCTAAATATTCCAAATGCAAACCCAGCCTTCTAGGTCTTACGAAAGTGTGACTGTCAAGTAAGCAGAGAGACATATTTAATAATAGTTTGTTAGTTTGATTCTAACGTAAATACTTAGACATGTGGGGTGTGAGCCTCCATCTGGGCTCTTGTAACCAGATCCCACGATATTAGAGGTGGGCCTGTCTCTGACTATTGCAAGGGGTTTCCGAACGGCTCTGAAAATGAAAGGATTCAAAGCCACTTGTTTGAAGTATATATGTAACAATAGTAATCCTCCCCCTGTGGCATTGTGATTTTTTTTTACTTAAATTCAATTAATTCACATATAGTGTATTTTTAGTTTCAGAGGGATTCAGCAGTCTTGTAGAACACCCAGTGCTCGTGACACAACGTGCTGCCCTCAGCCCTCCCCTGAAATGCTGTGGTACAGGGGGCAGCTTCCCCAGGACCAGGGGTACCTTGTGAGCAGGCCAGGTGGCCACAGAATAGGTAGCCAAATGTCTCCTGGGAGCACCTGCTGGCCCTGTGGGGAGCCGAGGTGCTGCAGCGGGGAGGGAAGAGCACCGTATCGGGAGTCCTGACACTGGGGCTCAGACTTGGTTTGTCACTTCTCACAGACTCCAGCTCCTTACCTGGAAGAAACTGTATACAAGTTTCTTTCTTCCAGCCCTAATATTTTGTGGGTGGGGACTCTGTCCTCCAGCAGTGACAGGGCATGCCTAGGCGTGGTGACGGATATCCTCAGCTGCTCCTGAGGCTGTCACATGGGTGGCTGCAAATATCGTAGGGTCTTCAGAGCTGCAGCTGAATCACCAAAAAAGGCTATGCCGGTTTAGATGCTTTTGTTGGTGGGTAGCAGAAAATCCAACTTAAATATAATATAAACCACAGGGTAGAATTTATTGGCTTATATAACTTAAAAATTCCAGTGGCAGAGTGGAAATCACTCATGGTTCAGTCAAGGCTCCCACTCCATTTCTCTGCTTGAGCTGTCCTATCTCCTATTAGTTCGATCCTTGGGTAGTCACAAGCTGACTGTTGCAGTTTCAGGCTTACATCTGTACCCTATAATATCCAGAGGAAGAGAGAACGTCTATTCCAGTGGCTCTCAAATTTTTTTTTCCAGAATCCCCCCAAAAATCTTACCTTGAGCCTCGTTGCCTGCTTGGGGTCACATGCCCATTCATTTGTTATTGTCGAGAATACCACCTAACTGGATTATAGCTGGGTTCCTGAACCCAGGGAGGCAAAAGGTGTAAGATTATTCCTTGCCCACTCCCTGGGGATTCTCCAGAAGCACATCAGCTGTCTAAGGAAGGGGCGGCTACTGGACTATATAGTGGGGAGCAGGTATGGGGTGAATGGGTGCTGGGTACACATCACAGTGGTTGTCTCTGGTTTTGCTTTTCCTTTTGGCAGGAATAGGTGCTGAGCCTTTGGGGCAAACATTTGGGAATACTCCTCACATCTAGAAGGCTCTTGGCTGATTCTGACAGATCTACTTATAAGAGGTCGACTCTCCTAGGGTGCCACAGGTTATGAAAGAGGTGGTATGGTTTGCTTTTGTGAAAAAAAGAGAGGATCAGATTCACCTGTCCGGGTCTGAAGCCTGTCACCAACTCCCTGTTTAATTATCCTGCATAATTTGCTTAACTTTTCTGAGTTTTTCCTCGTCTTTATACTGGGTTATTTCAGGGTTGTGTTGAATTTTAGTGATAATACGGTTAAAATTTCTGAAACCTAGAAACTCTTTAGGGAAGGTTAGGTTTTATCTGTGTCATTATTATTTAGTGACTCAAGCCAAATCACTCACCTCTTTGGGACCTGGGGTTTCTTTCTTTCCCCTTTGAGGCTGGTCATAAGAGTTCACTTTTATATATATATATATATATTTTTTTTTAAAGATTTTATTTATTTATTTGACAGAGAGAGATAGCAAGAGCAGGAACACAAGCAGGGGGAGTGGGAGAGGGAGAAGCAGGCTTCCCGCTGAGCAGGGAGCCCTATTAGGAGCTCCATCCCAGGACCCTGGGATCGTGACCTGAGCCCAAGGCAGACGCTTAACGACTAAGCCACCCAGGTGCCCCAAGAGTTCACTTTTGACAGCAGTTTGGGCCACAGCCTTTACAACAAAGCAGTGAAAAAGAGCAGCAGTTCTCAAACTCTGCCTGGAGCCTCGTTGCCTGTTTGGGCCCGTTTGGGAATCTCATCAAACGAAGAAAGACAAGATTATGGTAGGACTTGGGGAGGGGTGGAAGTGTAGGTAGAAAATGAAAGAAGCATTGCGGGGACAGGCTCAAAGCAAAGCGGGCTGTGTATAAAGGGGTCAAGATCAAGCCTGGACTGGGAAGTGGACCCAGGTCCTTATTCTTTGGAGAACTGCAAAGTTAAGAAAAGCATGGCCTGTTGTGGCAGAAAGTCCTTATCAGGATTTCTAAATCTAGGGTAGAAATTGAAACCGCTTCTCTGTGTCAAAGTGACTCATACGGCTCAGGTCTTCCAGGCAAGAGTGGAAAGTTTCGTTCTTACTGATAGGATTGCAAACTGCAAAGTTTTGACAGCCCAAGATTTTAGTCACAAAGCTTGACAGTGATTTGGTTCAGGTGGCAGGAGTAAAAAGCAAAGCTGGGGCTGTCACTGAAAAGAAAGCAGTAGTCACTCAAAGAAAAGACTGATTATGATACTGTAGGCTGATGGCTTCCTGTTACCTTTGCAGCTTTATCAGTGTCTGCTCCGGCAGTCTGATGAATGACAGGGTAGAGAGCTGACTTTTCCCCTCTCAGTCTGGACTGGTTTTTTACCCTGTCACCGGTAACGGAGGCCCAAGCTCTGTTCAACAGATCCCCAACGATCCAGTCTGTGGCTAGGCTTCTCTAGGTCAGCCCACAGGCTCCTAACATAACCAGGGAAGCGTGGGGAGGGGGTTTGGCCCCAGACGTCTTTATCCACCTGCAAAGCCATTTGAGTGACAAATTTGTTAGCAAAGTAAGGTCTTTAGAAAAACGTTAGTTACTAGTACTTAGGAGAAGCAGTGCTTGGGAAGATGGTAGGACAGATTTTCTAAGCATTATGGGACAGATACACTGGTCATCCATCACTCTGATATGGGCCTGGAGGACACATGGGTCAAATTGCTTAAGAAATCTCCAAACCTCATAATTAATGGGCCAACCGTGCTCCAGTGACTGCTTTACTTGAGTTGACCCCCTCTCCTTTCCTCCCCTGTAGTGGAGTGAACCAATTTCAATGGAATTCCGATCTTGCATTTGTGTGGTAATAATGAGCTCACAGATTGGCAGTTCATCAAGGAGACTGTTATACTTCAGCAACCCACAGTTACCACCCACGGGCCCAGAGGCTCCAGGAGTGTGGTTTCCATCTCCATTTGTAACCACTCTGAGAGGTTGCAAATTACACAAGAGTAATGGGTTAAGGACTCCCCACCCCACATCATCCAGTTCCTTGCCCTCCCCTGCCCCCCGGGGGGGGTAACAGAGGAAGAGAACTCACACTGCCTTTATCAGAGGGGCTTCCTCTCTGGGGGTTCGCCTCAGTTCTTTGCAGCCCTGGACAGTTGACTTTTGGAGTCAGACAGCTCAACAAGAAACCACCTCCCTAAAGGAAAAATGGGCTATTTCCCCTGCCCTCTGTCCCCCTTTGTCCCACTACCTTTACAAAAAGAAATAGGGGTCCATGTAATAATGAAATCCTGCTGCCAAGATGCTGGTATCTCAAGAGAATTGGTCATTATTTTGGTCTTGCCATCCTTCCACCCCCTCAATACCTCTTCTGGAATTTGGGTTTCGATGTTCTGACTCATACGGAGCACCGCACGCCACTGCACGTGCTACTCCAGGTTATTGTCCACCCACCACCTAGCACGGGAAATTGAAGGCAGTCGTCCTTAGTCATGGATCATCACTTGAGGCCCATCACAGGAGACTGTCTTCTTAGGACAGAGATTTAAAGCTTTAGGGTTTATAAGGATGACCTGAAGGCTTGTCAAAACAGATTACTGGGACCCACTTCAGAGTTTCCGATTCAGCAGGGTGGGACTTGATAATTTCTAGTTCTAACAAGGTCCTGATGGTGCTGGGCCCAGGGACCACATTTTAAGAGCCACTACTCTGGGGAAATGTCTCATCTGAGACCAAATACACTGGGGGAGAGGAGGACTTTGGGTAGATGGCTTTTTTTATACTCTTCCATTAAGGAGGTAGGGTCTTTGTCCCTTCCTCTTGAATCTAGGTCGGCTTTTGATGGCTCAGACCAATAGAATACTGTGGATGTGATGCTGTGTGACGTCCCAGGCTAGGTCATCTATGGCCAAGCAGCTTCTTGGGACACTCATTCTAGGGGAAAGCAGCCATCATGTAGGAAGACCAACTACCTAGAGACTGCCGTGTCAGAGAGGCTGTGCTTGACAGTCCCAAATGAACCTGCTTCCAGCCATCCCCACCGTGGTGCCAGACGTGTGAGTGAAGCCAGTTTGGATTCTCTGGTCCTGCCCATCTGCCACCTAAGGAACACTGGGCGACCTCCAGTGAAGCCCCAAGAATTGCCCAGCCAAGCTCTATCCTAAATCCTAGCCAACAGATTCCAGGAGATAAAATGGTTGTTGTTTTAAAGCCACTAAATTTTAGGGGAGTTTGTTCCTTAGCAATAGGTAACAAATAGTGCTTTAGGTTGGAAAGCTTAGAGAGGAAGCAAACTACTCTGAACAGGGCAAAGTGCTAAGTCCAGAGGGGCTGCTGGCTTGGGTTTGGTGCCCTCTGCAGGAACCATGAATAGAAATTGGCCTTAACTCCTACGTGGACTTTTATTTATCTGCCCAGGAGAAAAGTCAGGCTGAGAGGGGCCTTAGTGATTGTATGGCCCAGTGTTCTCAACCGTGGTGGGTACGTGGGTGTAGTAGACTGACTGCAATAACCGCCTAATTCTCACACCTCTCCGACGTACTTTGCAACTCCTCGCATCAGCTGCTGGAAGGCACTGTATTTGCCCACCCCTTGATTCTGAACTTGACCCTGCAACTTGCTTTGGCCAATGACACGTTAGCAATTGTGACAGAGGCAGTGGTGTTTTCTCTCTCAATCTGGCACCTCTGCCTCTGCCATGACAATATGCCTACGCTAGGCTGCTAGAGGATAAGACACATGGAGCCCACCTGAACTGGCCAAGGCCATCGTGGATCAGCTGAATCTGTCAACTGCCAGACATATGGAGCCCGGTCAAGACCAGACTGTCCAGGCACTCCCAGTCTAAATCATCAATCCAGACTTGTAAGCAAAATAAATGCTTATTTTAAGCCACTGAATACTGGGATGCTTTGTTACATATCATTGTAGAGGCAACAGTTAACTCAGGATCAAAGTCCCTTAAGTGATGAATGTACACTGCCACTACCCCAGAGAGTCCTGGTTCAAGTCTAACTCCTATTTCCACCTGAGGAAACGGAAGTCAGTTGCAGAATAAGCAGCCTAGTTCTTTCTCTCTCTCTTTTTTAAAAGATTTTATTTGAGAGAGAGCAAGCACAAGCAGGGGGAGCAGCAGAGGGAGAGGGAGAAGCAGGCTCCCTGCAGAGCAGGGAGCCCCATGTGGGGCTCGATCCCAGGACCCCGGGATCATGACCTGAGCCGAAGGCAGACGCTTAACGACTGAGCCACCCGGGCGCCCCTAGCCTAGTTCTCTTAATGTGTAATTGTAGTCAATCCAAATCTATGGAACACCCATTTGGTGAAAGACACCAGAGAATTAAAAGGGTCACTGCCCACCTAGAAGTTTATAGACTACCTGGAGCCAAGACCACAGGGCTGATGTGGGCCCTGCTGCATGTGGAATGGAAGCAGGAGGCAGGATCACTTCCAGCCTGTGATGTCTGTGTGGATGGAGGAGTGGCATGGCAGTGCAAGTGGAAGGAATCTGGTGAGCTAAAATGACTAGGCTATGTCTAGGCATTCAGTTTAACCCGTGCATGGTTCTCAGATTCAAAGCTAAGCTGCCTTTCCAGTCCAAATAATGGCCTCAGGTGCCATTTGGCTTGCTAAAGACAACCTTTAGTTTTGAACTTCACACTTTCAAGACTGAGGTGTTTATCCTAATGATCATAAACACCAAATTAAAAAGGAATCCATTTAGATGAAGTAGGCTTAAGTATAAAGGATTCTTAATAGAATCCTACATTTTTCATTGATTCCTAGTAAGAAAATAAAATCCACCAAGACATGGAGTGTATTGCTGACCTTTTTTTTTTTTACTTAAATATAGTGATCTTTAAGAGAATAAACCAAAAAAAACTTTACACAGCAAATATTTTACATAAATGTAAACATGCACATCTACTTCATAATTATGCAAAATAAACTTTTAGGCATAAGATTTTAAAAATAATTAAAGAGTAAGACAATGAATCCAAGACAGATAGGACAGAAGCAACAAAAACACATCTCATAATGCTTCAGTTGGTCTTGTCTTCCAACCTACTGGTTAAGGCCTGAGCTTCAGAAATCCTACCTTCCTTGCCAAATGGAAACATCCAGTTTGGCTGTACCTAATATACATCCACATAACAGACTATTATCTTTCAAAATAATGTAATAAATACATCTCTCACACACACACATACACACCCCCCCATACATACACCCTACTTAACCAGCCTCTCAAAAAAGATAGCAAGGATTTTGGAATTTTCAAGTTTCCCCACCACTGAAGCACACACATATTAATACCACACACAGGAAAAAAAATGATTCTGCTATAGAAATAAAGTAGTTAATGAGTGGCATCATCACAAATCTCTAGTTTGTATTAAGTTTCCCCAAAATCACATCTTTACTGTGGCTTGCCATGGCTCCTTGGGTACCTCGGATTTAAGTCTTTATACCTTGCCTAATGACCCACAGTATGGTAGACGTTATACAGGACAAAGAAAAGGCAATTTTAACAATTCAGTTAGAGATTTCAAAACCATGAAAATCAGCATGGATCATTTCCAGCTGTCTCCAAATGCTTGGAATGTTTTTTCCATGTCTACTCTCTGTACTCCACTGGCTGGTTTTCTCTGCCTCCTCCCCACCAGGCTATAAGCATCTGAATGTCTATTCCTGTGAACACCCCAGGGAATAGAGATGAGAATGACAGTCCCTGCTTTTAAGGAGTTCACACCAACCCGAGCTCAAGCAAGAGGAAGGTCACACCAACCCGAGCTCAAGCAAGAGGAAGGTCAGTGCGTCCACACAGCACTCTAGTGGGCTGAAACGAGCAGAGGAAGAGGCCACGAGGATGGCGTCTCCAGAGCGTCAGGACTGGGGCGTGGGGGGCGGGGGGTGGATTGAGAAGGCACAGAGGCACAAAGAACAAGTCCAATGAGGCTGGCACGAGGTTACACATGAGACGTAGTCTGTGAGGCCAAATTCTTGATTTCCAAAAAGAAGATTCCTTGTTCTGGTGGGTAAAGCTGGAGGGCCGGGGGAGGGAACCACCAAGGGCTTTGTGCAGAGAACAAACTGGAAACGGGCTAGAGGAGAACGGTGCAGTGTCCGGTAGGACGGGTGACAGAGGAAAGGGTCTGAAGCCCAGAGAGCTCGACTCGCCAAACCCAGTGCCACACGCAAGCATTTCCTATAGAGCCAGACATCCTGACCCAACATGCCAAAACCCACAGCTCTTGTCTGTATAAATCAAGACTTTGGGAGAACAAAAAAAAGAGAGAGAGAGGGCTTTAAGTAGATATTTTTAGTTCAAGTTCCTGGAACCTGCCCCAGCTTGAGCAAGTTAAGAGTTGTGAAACAAGTCCCACATCCAATAACAAGTCAAGTCTCCCAATCGTGACTTTCACCTTCCCTGAGCTGTCATTACCAAGGAATTATAAAACAATTATCAGTTCATTATAAATTCCTACCTGCCATTAAACGCACTGAATCCTCACGATGGGCTGAGCACCCAGCACAGAGTACTGGTGTATTAGCCTGTTACCTGTACTAGGTGGGGTGGTGTGAGTTCGCCACGGGATGACGGCGCTGGGCCCCCATCTCCAGCTCACCGGAGCCCCTGTGCGCATCAAACAGGTGGCTCTGTAAGGTGCGACTCTCACCAAAGCCCCCACCGTGAATCATCTCATTCCTTTCCAGGTCCAGACTGCTTCCATCCACTAAGCGGGGGATGCAGAGGCCATCTTTGAGTGGAGGAACCCAAGGAAGGAAACTCAATTTTAATGTTTGTGATACCCACTGAACCAAAGTAAATGGAAATTTCTCAGGACCTTCAAACTGTATTCATTCAAATTACAGAAATGGGCTACTCCATACTAATCATGGGATGATTTATCACACATTCCCTAAATATGGAACATTTACTAGTGACCACTTTTCTGTAACAGATTCATTTGGAAACTGCACACTGCAAAAAGGCAATCTTGTGACTTTCTTCTAGTTGTATATCAAAAGTACAAACTGGTCTGGGAGTCAGGCACGAACAGTGGTAGAAAAGCAGGAACAGAAATGCCTTCTCCAAGAATGTGCTCATTTCCTATTGCAGAACTGCATCCTATCTAGATTCTGGGTTTTTGAAAACCCGCTGCTGGTTCTCTTGTTCGGAAAGGTTCCTTCACTACACCTCTCTTCCACTCCTACCCCCCTACTAAAATGCACTGAATGAAGAACGCTTAGCACGGATCTACAGAACTAAGAGCCCCCATGTGACTGCATCTCACGCGTCAGCACGGTGGCTGCTGGTCTGACCTGCTCATCCAGCCTCAGGTATTTAGCGACTTTTTGGATCAGAATTTGAGTCAGAAGTACCCAACACTTTTGTCTTTTGCAATCCAATAAAAGCTCCGATGTACAACTATCAGTGTCATGTATAAGAATCTCCAGTTCCAATAAATGAGATTCAAGGGAGAGAGCAGCAGGGAAAGCCTGGACTGGGGGCAGGAGACCGGCCATCAGCCAGCCGGAGGCTTCTCTTTCCTTATTTGTAAATGAGGGGGTTGAACTAGCAGAGCTCCAGGGTCCTGCCTGGCGGACGCTCTAGGACTCCTCTAAGTCGGTTCCTACACAGGCTTATCAGGTTGGGTCTGACAAAACTTCCTTACCACTTTGTCTCAAAAGCTGTAAAGTGGTTTTAACATACTTTTATGCTGCAGTGTGAGGTTTCCCTCTCTCTCCTACCCCTCCAAGACCAGGTTTCATTTCACTGGTGCAGACCACTTGGCCAAACTGGTGGCTGCTGAGGTTTAAAACGGAATCACTGGCCCCCTAAAGATAATGGCCTTTGAGTAACCTAGACCAGGGCACATTGGTCTGTTGTCTATGAACAGTGTTAACCAAATAGAAATATAATTCTGTTAGTTCTTCCATAGTTCTACTTTGCAACATGAGATTGTTCAAAAATTACACGAGAAAATCACCCATCACCACTAAGTTAAAGACTTGAATGTCTGAGACCTCCATAGCCTCAAACTCCTACACAGTCACTGATCCACAGCGTGTCCCTCTCAGCACGGGGCTCCGTGCGAGCGCAGCCTGGTCCAGCAGCACATCTGTGCATGAGAAGCTGATTTCGAAAGATCCAACTCTAGTCATCACTGTCACTGCCAGACTCACTCAACTGCAAGTCATTTCCTATAAAAAGAAAACAGAATCACACCAAAAGTGCACAACTTCAAAAGGACTTCCCCACAATTCTTTGTTTGACTGCCTTGGTTATCACACTATAGTAAAACCAAGCCAATTCCACTTAATTAGGGAGGAAAATCAATTTGGCTCAGTGACAAAGCTGATGCAGTCAACATTTTTAAAGAAATGCTACTCTTGGTAGCTGCAAAGCACAGCAATGCTGCTCACTGGGATAGAACAGGCGAGGAGCAGGCCAGACAACTTTTAAATGTCTTAATAAATAGCAAAAAAACATTTATAAATAACTGATTCACCATCTAGAATTGTCCACATTAGATTGCTTTATAAAAGCTAAAATAACACGGAGTTAGGCTTCCTGTTAAGGAAGCCGAATACTGTTTATACCAGGAACATGCTCATCCAGGATCCCCTCTGGGACATCCCTGTCCAGGAGATTCATGTTACTTTAAACCTCAACTCAACTAGTGAACTTTTGTAAAGCCTCCGATTTTTGTTTAGTGTGCTGAATTTAGGAGTGAAGAACAGAAGTACTCAACATTTCAGTCTCAGATGATAATAAAAATAACAGGACCCCAGCTGATACCATAAAAGTGAACTACAACATGACCAATTGCTAATCCCTGGGCCAGCTCTTCTCAAAGTTTGTTCTGAGGACCCTGGGTTCCCTGGGACTCCTTCAGGAGGGTACTTCCTTTTCTACTCCACACCTGTGCGATGCCAGATTTTCTTCATCTACATCAACCTGAACAACTTACGGCAATAGACTGAATGCAGAAGTGGGTGTAGAATCCAGCTTTCTACTAAGCTAGACATTAAAGGGAATTCTAAAATTGTAAAAATATGTTACTCTTCTTATTAAATATTTTCTGATTGGAAAATGTGTTCTTCATAAAAATGTTACTTTTGTTAACATGTGATGGTTATTATTGTTACTTTAAATGAATTACTGAATATATTTTAAATATTTCTCAGTTTTAATTTCTAATATGATAAACATTGATAGATCTAAGCCACATACACAAAAGCTCTTTGGAGTCCTCAATAATTTTTAGAGTTAAGAGCTCTGAGACCCAAGAATGTGATAACTAATGTTCTAAACTTAAGGAAGTTTACACGGGCATGGCAACCACTGGTCACTCCCAATCAGCTAAGCTGAGCATGATCTCTTACACAATAACATGCTGTGCATTTAACAGGTCAGTGTAAATGGAGGTGAAAATCTAGTTTTGAAATCGCTTATATGATTGATTTGATTCAGGTTCAAACTGATCCACTTATTTATTTTTTAGAAGAGAAAATATAATCTAGGTTACTGTTCAGGAAAACGATCTTATAATGACTATATATTTTTATATCAGGGTTAGCAAATTTGCACTATTTACTGTGATTTTAGGGTTTATATGTTGGTTCCCGTTGACAATCCTGGTTTAAATAACTCTAGTGCTTTACTGTCTATGAGATATGCAGTTAAGGTCTTGCTATTTGAAGAGCTGCAGAACAGGATGACTTGGAGCCATAAAGAGCTAAAAGGATTTTAAGGCACTGGTAGGCAGGTAACACCCACGGTGCCTTTTTTTTGCTCTTTCTTTCTAAAAGGAAAGAATAATTTAGCATTAACTGGACAAAATAAGGAACGGACTTAAAGCCACAGTAGCTGTCTGGTACTTTTCCACTGTGAACACCAGACTCCCAATGTGAAGCTTACTCTCCCTAGCCACCTGAGAAGAACACCACCAGAGCACACCCTGATACCCAGAACATAGGCCCACAGTGCGGGGTAGCCCACAGGGTCCTTAACCGGTATCCTAACGGTGCTGAACTCACTCAAGGAAAAGAGCAGGGCCTTGAGTAGTGTTTCTCCAGTGGGGGTGGTTCTGTCCCCCAGAGGACATCTGGCAATGTCTTAAGATATTCTGGGTTGATACAACTGGGGCAGAAGAGAGGAAGAAGGGCACCTAGTGGGGAGAGGCCAGGAATGCTCTTAGCCATCCTACAATACACGACTGCCCCCCGCCCCACAAATATTTACCTGGCCCACAATGTCTCTAGTGCTGACGTTGAGAATTACCTTTGCCTGGTCCACAGTAGTAGGGTTAACTAAGCTGGCATCCCCACTATTGCCTCCTCAAAGGCAGTCATGCCCGCTGAGAGCATTCGTTAGGATTCTGGACAGAGAGGGGCAGAGGGAAGCAGCACTCTCCCCACATCCGATACAAAGGAATTTGTCTTTGCTCTTGTTTTCTTCTGCTTTACTTTAGTATCAACTGCACTGAGAGCCACCCAGACACTGCAATGCCACTTTCTCTCCCTCTGGCCAAAGGCTAGTTGGTTTCCAAATATATCCTAATGGCTGGGGTTCCCAAGTCTGCGGGCTGTGGGTCACCACAATCTGGAGACCTGGGTTCTTGGGACCTGTAAAAAGACCCTGAGGCAGGGGGCAGGATGGTGGCAGGCAGCACCCCTAAAGCCTGGTAAATGCAAAAAACAAAGAGCCAAGCTGTTCATGTTTCAGCATTTTTCAGAATTCACAAAACCTAATTTGTGCCACTGGGGGGAAAAAAGAGAAAGAACAGACTCTTTGGTTTTGTACTTCCCTTTTTTTTACTGTTTGGCAACTTATTCCTTTCTGCTCCAAATTTTCTTGGTCAGGATCCTTTCTTACGCCTTAAGTATCTTCTGGTGTGAGGTAAGCAGAAGCCTGATCTCTGGCCTGACACGCCACCCCGCCTGAGCCAGAAAGGGAGAGCAAACTTACTGAGCGTGTTCATGAGCTGGTTGCTTCCCTGGGGCCGGCCAGTTCCATTGGCAGCGGCTGGCCTGCTGCTGTAGGGCTGCTGGTGTGCAGGCTGCGGGGGGGATGCCGGGCCGTTGTCCTCAGCGCCGCTGCTGGAGCTGTCCTCGTCGCTCCCTGACGAGCTCTCCGACTCTGAGGAACTGCTCCCGCTGCTGCTGCTCATCTGCTCAATAATGTCAACTTCGGCTCGCAGCTCTGGGATAAAATGACATGACAGGGGTGAGCACAGCAGCCCCTCTCAGGGCCACACACTGAAACTGCTGTAAACAGTGAAGTGGCAGGACCAACAGCAATGAGGAATAACTTAAACTCCTGCTTCTTAACTCCTTAAAAACGTACAAACAAAATGACTAAAACCAAAACCAACAAAATCAAACTCTGTCTTCAGAGAGACAATGAAAACATTAACTTCACCCCAAATAACCAAAAGGAAAACAGTTTCAGATAATGGCTGTTCTGTGTAAGAAGTGAATCGAGTCTATCTGCCTTATCTGCTTAAAAAAAAAAAAAAGGAAAGGAAAAGAAAAGAAAAGAAAAAAAAGATTGTGAATTATGGGAGTAAACACCAAATAAGAGAAATAGTATGCTAAGGGGTTGAAAAATATTTGATTAGACACTGGAAGATCTGGATGCTTGTTTTGGATCTACCTCTACCCAGCAGTGAGACCCAGGTGGGAGTCAATGAATTTTCCAAGACACGGCAAAAATGAAAGGCCAGAGCAGGCGGCCTCTGAGTCCTTTTCAGCTTTCCTGTCCCACAGAGAAACTGAGGCAGGCAGGGGGAACCAAGGTAACTGAAGGAAAACGGGGAAATGACATTCTTCCTCGGCCCTCTTTCTATAGCTCACCGGCAGCCACCCCTGTCAGGTACTACATTTTCTACAGATGAACAGCAGGGAAGGAAAAACATGTTTTCCTAACCTTTCCAAGTCACTGAGTACATTAAGGATACATCAGAGGATACATTAAGATGCCAGATTTTCCTGTCCAAACATACCACGCGGTTTTAAACAAGTATGGTTCCTTTAAGCATAACTGGCAATAACTAACCACTCATGGTCCAGTTCCTGTTCAACTAAAGTGAAAACTTTAATAAACAGCATTCGAATATCCATGAGGAAAACAAAAACAGGAGGCTTAACAAATGTGCACTGTGCAGAGAATGATTCTGTTTACTAAAAGAGCACACTTCTATAAGGTAGAAAAGGCAAATTTCCCAAGGACAACTCTTTATCTTTCCCTATCTACCACTGTTACAGATTTACTTTTGTTTCATAGAACTTTAGAAATCTGAAATACGACACTTACCCTCATAACTTTCTAAGAGTCTGGACAACTAAAACCACCCCCTCACTGTACGGGGAGAAAGTCAAGGTGATCCTGGCCTCGGGTCTATATTGGAGAAAGCCTGATCAGACCTCTAGGTCTTTCTAGGCCGTGTCCATTTCCAGGTCCCCATGGCACTTTCGTGTTCACACGCTTTGTGTTAGTACAAAGCATTGGTCCTGGATATGGTCCTGGATATATTGGTCCCGGTATTTTAGATGTTCTTCTGACCTAGATACTATACTAACATTGACACATCTGGTTTTCACCCCAACACCTTGGAATTCTCTTTTCCCAAAGCCTTAGAAGAGTGTCGTATAGACCTTTGGATGGCAGTCATGCTTGTTTAATATCCGGGGCCTCTAAGCAGAAAGCTGCAAAGATGGCCACCACTCCAGTCACTGTTCCTGGGCCCCCCTGTCCAATGAGGCACATGGCAACAGCCCCCACCCGCATCACCTCTGGAATGGTGAACTCTGCAGAAATGTTTTTCAACGGCAGAAAATGCCTGTGCCGTCATGTGATCGCCACAAAAACACCAACATCCCACTCCAAGCTGCTATCGTGTTCCAGAAAATGCTGCCTACCTCTTTTGATGTCATCCAGCTGGGGTTCAGGTGAGGGGTTATCTTTCAAGGGAGAAGTTTTGGGTCCAACTGGAGGCTTTGTTGGAGCTCGGAATGGCATAGGTGGTGGAGGAGGTGGTGGCTGTGATGGCTGTGGGGGACGAGTGGGTTGCTGTTCCATTCGAGCTTGGATTTTACTGCTCCCCTCGGCTCTGAAATGAGATGTGGACATTAAGCTGGAGAGGCAAAAAGAATTCTCACATCTGTTCAGGGGACCAAGTACCCACAGGTCTCTGCACAACCCTGTGCTCTTTAAAGACTACTTCAAAATACTGATGTTTGTAATTTTATCACATGAGCTACTCACTCAACACCCGCCTATTGCATTCCAGTACTTCACTCTGCACCAGAGATACAGAGATGAACGAAACAGACTTGCTGTGCTCATGGAGCTCACGTTTTAGAGCAGGCAGGTAAAACCAGTATGCAGGACACAATGCGATTATGAGAACCCTTTTTACTAGGAGACCACAGAGTTATTTATTTGACCTGTGTACAATATAAAGTTATAGTCACAAGTGTATGAGTTACTAAGTAAAACCAGCTCTTGAAATACTGGCTAGTTTGCAGATTTTTGCACGCTCTATTACTGCTTGCTCATCTTGTCATGAGCCAGCTCTTGCGGGCAGACAAGCAAAGCATTCCACCCCAAACTGAGAACATTCTATTCATTAACAATTCCTTTTATAAATGGACTAGCCCAGCAAACTTTGGGCTTTTCAACTTTGTTGTGCACACAAATCACCTGAGGAGCTCATTAAAATGCAGATTCTGACTTAGCACGTCCTGAAATTCTGCACTTTAAAAAAGCATCCAAAGGGCACCTGGGTGGCTCAGGGTCCTGGGGTGGAGCAGGGCCAGCGGGGAGTCTGCTTCTCTCTCCCTCTGCTCATCCCCCTGCTTGTGCTCTCTCTTGCTAATAAAGAAAAGCTTTAAAAAATAAAATTAAATTAAAAAATAAAAAAGCATCCAAGTGATAAAATGCTGCTAGTCCAAAGATGACAGTGAATGGTGAGAGACACGCCCACAACCATCAGCTGTTGGGGTAACGGTGGCACTGGTTCACTGGTTCGGGGAGGTAATTAACACAAATATCTCCCAGGCGGGAGAGGAGCAGGAACTTGGAAGCGCACCCCCAGGGTAGGGCTCAGCTGTGGTGCTGGCCTCCAGTGAAGTCACAAGCTCACTAGTAATCAGTCTCTTCAACTGTGCGCTTTTTTTTAAAGGATAACAATAGCACCTTTCTAAAAGTTATGTGTCAAGTTAGGTAGGATAATGCATGAAAGCATTTGGCACAGTGTTCAGCACATGATAACCCAATAAACGGTAGCTATGGAATGAGTACAGAAAAATGGCTTGAGAAAGCATAAACAGAAAAACATTAATCAGTCTGTAACACTCTAAGAGTTCATGACTATACTAAAATAATTGCTGTATCACAATGTGAAAAACAGAACCACTGGGTTGCTTCTATTTATGGAATAAATTTTGACTTTAAAATCTAATTGGCCTCATATTAGACATGTAATACCTGCTGAATTAAGTATTAAAAGAGCTCACTATTTAAAAAAAAATAGGCAAAACTTTATTTTGGTAGTCTAAATACCTCAAATGCATCTTGTGAAAAATTAATGTTTTCAATCTAATAAAGAATATATATCACTCAATGATTCTTTCATAATTACAAGCCTATGAGTTTAAGTCTTATTCCGTTAGGTGGTATTATATCAGCAATCATGGGATTAATAAAATGGATTTAATTGTAAAGTACATCCTCTTCCCCAGTGGCTTCCATGTTTCAGGTCTTAAAAGCATCATTTCTTTTTATTGCCTTTGAGGAAGCGGTATTTTACTGACTTGTCAAGAAGACAGAGGTAGAGCTGTTGAGATTACCGATAGGACACTGAGTACCCAGACGCTCACCTCCTCATAAAATAAACAGATAGATAATGCAAAGATATAGAAACCCTGTATCAATCTGCACCTGCTTATTCACATACCTTGTTTTCTTGACCTGAATGCTGCTACTGAGTTTCTCCAGCACATATTCACCAGTGTCGTGATTAATGATAAGTACACAGTCTTTCTGATAAGGTCGTTTGTTCCCCTTGAACACAGTCATTGGTGGTGTAGATCCCTAAATTCCACAAGAGTAGAAGACAATCAAACTAGACACACCAGTTATAAATATCAAAATGAACTTACAAATAACTATCTCATCAAATCTTTTATCAGAGCTACTCAAATAGAACAGAATAAACAGATTTCTATTTTAATTCCTCTGGCTTCCTAAGCAAAAAGAAAGGGGAAATAATATAGCAAGAATCTGTAACTGTGCTACTGCTTCTCAGTAATAGAGAAAGGTAACACAAATTTGCAAAATTACTGTACCTTTTTGAGTCCTTAGAAATAATGGCAAGGTGTGAACTGATAAAAATAATTAGCCATTACTCAGTATTATACTGAGTAGAACTTTCACTATGAAAGTAAAACCAGTAAGTGATCGCGGTATTTCCTTGTAATTTCAGAGTCCAGGGCTTCCCCTCAGGCCCAGCAACCAATACAGCATTCTCTAAGGGCAGCTCATTATTCTGCTTGGCTCAGAGTAAGTACATCAATGCCACTTCATCTGCCTAAGCCCTTCAACTGCTACCCTGCTGCTCTGAGACCAAAGCATAAAATCTTTAAACCAGACACCTGGCCCTTCTGCCTCACCCTGTACCTCTCAGCCCTCGGCTCTGCGGAATCCAGAGCAGAAGGTGGCTGGCCTCTCAGATTCTCAAGCTCTTTCTTGCAGGGCTTTACCAAGGCTTCTTTCTGCCTGCAACATCCTGTCCCTTCTTGTTCAATTACTCAACCTTCAAATCTGCTCAAAGGTCACTTCCTTAGAGAAGCCTTCCCTGATTTTCTAAAATGCTGTTTTTTATATTTATTTAATTCCAGACCATAAGCTCCCCAAGGGCAAGAAATATGCTCGTGTTGCTTAAGATTGTATTCTCAGTGCTTAGTAATGGGCCAGCACACAGTAGGTGCTCAATTAATATTTGACATAAATAAATAAATAAAAATTAGTATTGGCAAGTGTAGGATTTAATCCCTTGTATAGAATCAAAAACTGCTTTGTTCTTTGACTCCCTGTTCATAGGGTAAAAACTTAAAGAGTTGGAAGGGAACTTAGAAACCATTTATCTAACCCCTTCATTTTACATTTGGCAAATGAAGATCCAAAGGGAGATGATGTAACCTGCCAAAGGCAACAAGTAATGAAATAGCAGTTGGAGCTGGCAGACAAGTAATTGTTCCTCAACGTGAAGCTTCTTGTCCAGAACCTTTTCATTCTATCACTGGTTACCAAGACCTTATTATGTTCCAGCACAGGACTGTGACATGCAATGACACATGTTCATTAAGAGCGCTTTGTTTGATCCTTTAAGCTTTCTGATTACAGTGTTGCCTTGGGCAAAGCTTCAAAAATATCTCTCTGCAAGGGATCTCAATTTAGCTTTTAACTGGGTTCCTCATCTCTAAATTAGCTGACTGCTCTGATCCTCTGGTTCTTGCTTGAAACTTTCAGCCTACACTTCACCTTTTGCCAGATGGATAAAATATGTCAATCCTGCTCCTGCCTGCCTTAACTCATGCCTTGCCTGTGCCACACTCCTAAACAGCTGTTGCTATAAATCAACACTTCATCTAGGGCTTTGCTCTTTGGAAAAAAAAAAAAAAGCTATGCAGATCTAAAAGAGAGGCTAGGTATCCAGATAAGAACATTGTCTACTTTGTAGCAAACGGGAGAAAAGGGAGCTTGGGGAAAATGGCCAAGAATCATTTTTACTCAAGCACCTGGGAAGCATGAATTCCAACCTACCCCACCCCCAAAATTCCTTTTTCCCTTACGCTGGAACTTTAGAAATCTAGAGGTTTTTAAATAGTAGGAAATTCAAATGGCAATAAATAGAATATGAGGATTCACTGCGATTCCACAGTGCATAAACTTACAGGGATATGTGGCAGTGTAATTGTGACTTCATCTCCTTTGCCAACCTGAAGCTCTCCTTCACAAGAAGTATCTATAGATGCTGGCTTAAAGTCATCTAAAGGGAAAAGCAAAAGAGCATTTATCCACCATGTTACTTATACTAAGCCTCCTGGGCATTCTTATTTAAAAATTTAAATTTTTTTGTTACTCCAGATAAATGGAAAATACAAATTTAGAATTAAAAAAAAAAAACTATTTCATTGTGGAAAACCCTGCATATACAAAAACGAAGAGAACAGTACAATGAGCCCCTGTGTACTATCACCCAACCTCAATAATTACCAACTCAGGGACAATCTTGTTTTATCTATACCTTCCACATACTTTTCCTCCCATCCCCACTGGATTATTTTGAAGAATAAAAAAGCTAGAACTCATATACCATTTCATTAAGCAAAGATGCTCCCTTCTCCCAAGTGACAGATGAAAATTAAAGCCTTGTTATCCGTAAGGTGTTTTATCAGGGTTCTTGTGGACCGGATCAAAAGCAACAGAGCATATTAAGAAGATTCTGTGATTGTTAAACCCTATATGAAACATGAAGGGCCATGGTACCACATCAGCTGATTTCATTTTGCACAGAAACTCAAAATTAGGATTTGCCACACTCAAGTTCCAGAGCTTTAACAAAAATACTCTTGTGAAAGTACAGAGCAGATGGTTGAACTGTACCTCCATAGGTTAATCCTGCCCATTATCTCTCAACTGCTGCTGAAGTACAACATGAACAGCCATCTTACTCCATTCTGACATACGCTGGCCTCAAACTGCAGGTCAGGTGCATATGTGAAGCGTCCCAAATTCCACACTGCCCTTCACACTATGAAACCATCAACTTAGGAAACTACTCAGGAAATGATGCTCTTATCACATTCCCAATATCCTCCCCCTGAAAGAGCCAATCTGCTCTCAGTAGGAGACATAGTAATGGTATGGCAAGTGACAACAGAAAGATGGAACTTCATTATCTAACACGCCCTCTTCCAATGTGTTGAGTCACATTTATTAGCTCCTTCGACAAAAACAAGTCTCAACCAGCATTAGTACTACCAAGACGGGAAACCAGGAGCTTGTGAATCACACAGGGATGTTCAGTCAGCCCATTCTGAACAGCCAAAACTTTACCCAGGACATAGAGTGGACGTGCCCTCCCTCAACAGAGTCTGTAATCACGTAGAAAAGGAAGGTCCAGCATAATGACTATTTGGCCATTATGCCTCCTCTCCTCTGCTTCCAAACATAGCTCAAGCTTTAACTTATTCCAGGCTCACGAATTCTAATTTTATTCTTCACGCACATGAGACTTGGGACTGAGTTAAAGTCTGGGTTGTACAGGTGACCTCAAAAGACAGCAGAGTCAAACGAGGCACGGAAAGCCGGAGGGGGAAGACTGATGGAACGCACAGAGGATGAGGATTCTTTGGCTGCCGAGGGGATGCAGCGCAAACTCAGGGTGACCACAACAAAGACGAACGAGGAAAGAAGGCTAAGGAAGACAGAGGAGAAGAGGAGGGAGTCGATGAGACTCCTGAGCAAACGGGAAGAGTCCTTCAAACGTGGAGGACCCTGTAGGGTCGTCAGAAAGGGGGATGGATTAGACGGAGAACTGGAGTCTGACGTGGGGTCACAGCCTTTCGGTACTAAAGAGGGGTTAAGTTTCGCATGAGGAAAGGCTGGGTGGGCGGACGAAAAAGAAAGGGGCCAAGAGCCTTCGGAAGAAGTATGTGGGATCACAAGACAGAAGAATAGTTGGGAGTGGCGAAAGGTTTGGTTTGGGAGTGAGCTGGAAGGTGGGGGGGGGGGGGGGGGGGAGGGGCCCCGGGGGGCCTCTGGGGGAAGAGGGAAGGGAGCTGACGTAGGCAGGGGTTCCTGGGCTTTGGAGGGCCGCGGGAAGAGGAAGGAGTCGGGCTGGCAAGAGGAGGGCGCAGCGGCCGAAGGGAACAGAGGGAAGCTCTGGCTTACAGCGAATGGTGTGGAAAGAGGCCCGTGGCCGCTTCTCGAAGCTCTCCCCGAGCCGCAAGCAATGCTCCTCGCGGTCCAGCAGCGGGTTCGCGGTCCCGTTCATGGCCCCGCACGAGCCTCGCGCCCGGACCAGCACTCTCCTGGCGCGGCCGCGGCCCCGGCTTCCCGCGCCAGCGTCCGGGGGAACGACGCTCCCTGGACAGCGCTCCGGAGCGCACCGCGAGCCCAGCCGGCGGCCACCCGGGGCCGGAAGCAGATCCTCTTCTCCGCGGCGGGGTTGGGGAAGACTGCGCGGAAGCAGGGCCTCGGGACTTCCGGCGTCGGGGAGGGACCTCTCAGTTCGTGGCGGAAATGGCGGGGGCGGTGCCATGGCAAAGGATTCCGCCGGGAGAGGTCCTCGAGGCGAGTGTGTCCCCGCGCGGCGGCTCTCCGACTCGGCTTTCGAGGCCGGGGCCGGGCTGAGGGTTGAGTGCGTCCGGCCCTACCCGTCCAGGTGGATGTAAGAACTGATGACGGTGAGCCCCAGCGCGGCGAACTAGATGAACAGGGGCCCGAGAGCCAGTATGGCCGGCTCTCCGCAGACCCTGGCGGCCGGGGCGCCTAGTTTCTCCCGAGCGCCCTGAGCGCGACGGATCCTGCCCTGCGCGTCATTAGCCTCTTCTCCTTCACGCGTTAATGGAGAAGCAAGAGCCTCAGCCCCTGGAATGAGACGCCCCTTCTGGTTCGTGAGGAAGCTTCTTGCGAGTGCGATCAGAGACTCGGGCCGCAGGGCTTAGCTCCTAATCTCTCCCCCCTCAAAGTGAGTCTCTGATCCTTGGGAAACGATGACTCCACTTGACCACCCATCGCCAGTTCAAGGAGTTCTCGTGATTGTCATAAGTCGCCCCTTTCACAGGCCCTGAAAATTGATGTGTTTTCTCAGTCAGTTCTTGGGCGTGTCCTTTTTCTGAACTAAACCGATATAATAGTTGACTTGTTCTGGTTTGAACTAGAGTTTGGTGCGTGAGAGTGCTGGCCACTGAATGTAAGCAAGCCTTCTGAAGGTAGGGACTATGTCTTGGTCTTTGTGACCGACCTCTTGTGTAGTGGGCCGGGTTTTGTGTAGAGTCAGCGTCTAGTAAATGGTGAATTGAACTGTTTGGTGAAAGAACTGTTCTAGAACCACTAACCTAGCGTCTTAAAAACTGTTCTAGGGCGCCTGGGTGGCTCAGTTGGTTAAGCGACTGCCTTCGGCTTGCGTCACGATCCTGGAGTTCCAGGATGGAGTCCCATGTCTGGCTTCAGGGAGCCTGCTTCTCCCTGTGACCACTTCCCGCCCCCACCCCCACTCTATCAAATAAATAAATAAAATCTGAAAGAAAAAAAAAACAACTGTTCTAGAACCACTAACCAGAATCTCCTCTTTTTTCCTGCAAAAGCGTCCAGTGCTGCCTGAGGCTTGAACCCAGCCTGAGAAACCACACCTGAAAAACCCTGCCTCTGTCTGCAGTATCAGCTTGGATTCCTCAGGTTATTCAGGGATGGATTATCTTCAGCAGTGTTAAATATATTACCATCAATTTAGGAGATGGCTTCTTTGCAAAGGAAAGGGCTGCAGGCAAGGATTCTCAGCTCTGAAGAAGAGGAGAAACTGAAAAGAGATCAAGCTTTGGTGTCTGATTTTAAGCAGCAAAAACTGGAAAAAGAGGCTCAGAAGAACTGGGACCTTTTTTACAAAAGAAATAGTACTAACTTCTTCAAAGATAGACACTGGACCACCAGAGAGTTTGAAGAGCTCAGATCATGTAGAGAGGTAAACTAATACTGCACCTTATTTGAGTTGTTTTTCATTTCAAATGTGAAGAGGAGTGTTTATTGCATTGCTGTGGGGAATGTGAGGTAGAAAATTTACGAAGCCTGTCAAAATGCTTTGTTCCTTAGACATACACTGGTTGTAGGCAGTTTGCTAGTTCCTGGGTTATATAATCCATAGGAAAGAGAGCTTTAGTAGACTTTTTTTTTTTATTTCTCAAAGCCAGTCTGAAAGTCGTAAATATTAATTTCATACTGGGTGACTTCAGTGACAGATGCAGCTTCATAATAAAGATGATTAACACTTTACCATGGCCCTTTTCTAGAACTTTACATGTGTTCTGTAACTTAAAGCCTTATAACACTGTTGAGGTAGGCATCATGATTATCCCCACTTGCTGGTAGACGTGAGGCACAAAGCTGTCTAAGTGATTTGTCCAGTGATAGAACATGGATGAAGGGAGAGATTTGAGTGCAAGCAGTTTAGTCCCAGAGCCTGTTCTGTTAGCTGTTCGGCGGTATTTTCACCATACCAAACTACCCAATGTTGGACAAATGAGGTGTCAATGTTAGCTTTAGGTTATCAGTTCACTTGTTTATTGTCGGCTTCCTGGGGGCAGAGACCTTGTCTCTCTCGTGTTCTAAGACGTAGTTTGTTTCTCTGTGATGCAGATGTAGCATACTGTGATTTTGGGTTCTCTTTCCTCAGTTTGAAGATCAAAAATTGACTATACTTGAAGCTGGCTGCGGTGTCGGGAACTGTTTATTCCCACTGTTAGAAGATCTGAATATCTTTGCCTACGCCTGTGATTTTTCTCCAAGAGCAGTTGAATATGTCAAGGTTGGTGCTCCATCCATGTTTTCTGTTGTGTTGCTATTTTCTTAGATTTCTCGGACCTGCGCTCTCTACCCATTTGCCTAATTCCTGTCCTCTCTTTGAAGCTAACCAGCTGTGATCACCATGAATGTGTTTTTCCTGTTTACATACAAATATAGTACCCACCAAAACATAGCTTTATTCAGAAAAGTAGAAAGAATTATCAAAATGACACCTAGATACTTACACCCAGATTTACTGATTGCCAGCATTTCACCACATTTGCTTTTATAGACTTACTTCTCTGCTGAACTACTTTAAAGATTTTACTTATTTATTTATTTATTTAGAGAGAGAGCACACGCCCACACCAGTGGGGGAGGGACAGAGGGAGAGAGAGCTTAAGCAGACTCAGTGCTGAGTGCAGAGCACTACGAGGGGCTTGATCTCAGTGACCCTGGATCATGATCTGAGCTGAAATCAAGAGTTGGACACCTAACTGACTGAGCCACCGAGGTGCTCTTGCTTAACTATTTTAAAGTATAGATGTCACGACACTTTTCTCCTAAATATGTCTTCCTACATATTCAAAAAAATAAGGATTTTTGCTGTATGAGTGCAATACACTTATTATTATATCTAACAAAAGTAACTGTAATCCCCTAATGTCATTAGTACCCACTACAGATTCAGATTTACTCAAATAGTCCCAGGTGTCAAGGACTACATCTTGTAGCTTTGATGAGCGTTTCAGAAGCATTCTTCATTTTTGTTACTGTGTTTCCGGTTTTCAGTATGTGTAGTTGATTCTTTTTGTAGTTTCTGTTTCTCTGCTGAAATTACCTATCTGATGTTGAGTTTTGTCTTTTTCATTAGAGTCTTTAACGTATTAATCAGTTATTTTAAATGCCCAAACTTTTAATTCCTATATCTATGTCATATTTGAGTCTGGTTCTGATGATTACTTTGTCTCTTCAGACTGTTTTTTTTGCCTTTTGGTATGCCTTGTAGTTTTTTGCTGAAAGCCAGATATGTTATATAGGGCGGTGGATACTGAGGTAATAAGGATTTGTAATAATCTAGACAGGAGTTGAGCAGTGTTTGAAATCTGTTGCTATAGTTACCTGTGAGGTTTGTTTTTATGGACACCAGAGACTTCAGACTCCTCTGGTGACTTGGTTCATGTCTCCCCTTTTGACTTTGTGTCTTCTCTTTGTACCGTCGCTCTTGCAGCTTTCCCACCTGCAGTCCACTGTGGTTATTAGCACTGGACACTTGCTGGTAAGGTGTGGGAGAAGGGATTGTTATCTAATGCTCTGATTCTCAGTTTCTGGACTGTATAGTGGGCCCGTGTCTCAGGAGTGTGGTCTTCACAGTATGTCTGCTGCTCCAGGACTAGAGCTTTTCTCTCCCTTCCCTCCCTCAGGAGGTATGTACCGGTGTCCTCCTTTCTGGTGTTGGTGGCCATTCTCTCTTCAGATTAAGACTAGGTTTGGGGCACCTGGCTGGCTCAGTCAGAAGAGCATACAGCTCCTGATCCTGGGGTTGTGAGTTTGAGCCCCACATTGGGTGTAGAGAGTACTAAAAAAAAAAAAAATTAAAACTAGGTCTGAGCAGAGTAGTTTCTTTCCTCCAGTGGCAGTGGTATTCCACCAGTACCCTAAGTCTATAGGCCTGATGACCTTTCCCCTGCATTTTAAATCTTTTCTTCCTTAAAGGAGATGAGAAAGGCCAGCACCAAGGTGAAGCACCATCCTCTCTGTGAGAGTCCCATGATGTTCCTAGAGGAAACATCCACAAAAGGATGGGAATACCCCTATTAATTCAGCCCCCAGGGGCTTCACACTATAACATCTGTACTCAGTCTCTAGCAATTTGTCAAATTTCTAGTTTTGTCTTTCCAGCCTGGAGGCTTCTGCCTCAGGTAAGCAAATGCCTAGGTCCTGTCTCTCCTGGAAGGCACTTGTCCGTCTCCATATTTTGGAGTAGCTGGTGGTTTTTTGGCCTCTGTTCTTTGATAGGTTCACAAAAAAATCATTACTTTGCTCTCTGTCCACCGTTTTTGTTACTAGGATGGGAGCTACATTTTTATACCTCTATACATCTTTGAACTGAAACCAGAAGACCTCTGATTCATCTGGGTAACCAATCATCCTTTAACACAAGTATAGAACTAGTTGTTCAAACACAATAAATTGAGTAAGAAATTCATTTTTCTTCCCTGACAATTGTCACCTTTATTATCTATGTTTTTTGCTATATTTGTCACCTGTCGTTTGTCATATGCAATACTAAATTTCTCTATATAGAGGGGGTCTGTTTTGGGGACTCTGTTCTGTCTCAGTGATTTATTTGTCCCCATTCTCAAACCTCATTGTTTTATTTATTTATTTATTTTTAAGATTATTTATTTGACAGAGAGAGAGACACAGTGAGAGAGGGAACACAAGCAGGGGGAGTGGGAGAGGGAAAAGCAGGCTTCCCGCTGAGCAGGGAGCCCCATTCGGGGCTTGATCCCAGGACCCTGGGACCATGACCTGAGCCAAAGGCAGACGCTTAATGGCTGAGCCACCAGGCGCCCCAAATCTCATTGTTTTAGTACTACATTTTGTAATATGTTTTGATGTCAGTAGTGTACCTCCTCCTTCATTGTTCTTCAATTTAAAAATTGACTTGGCTCTTCCTAAAGATTTTTGCTCCCAGGTGAATTAAAATTTGCCTTGTCAAGTTTTTAGAAATCCATTGGTATTCTGTTGAGATCACACTGGATTTAGAAGTGGAATTATAGGTGGAATTGACATCATTTCAATATTGAATCTTCCCATCCAGTACCTTTGTATCTGTGTTTGAGTCCTTATTTACACTACAGAAAAGATTAATATTTTTTATGGTGCTCTTATAATGATTTATACTTTATGATCTCTTTCTTTATGATACTCTTACATATTACGTTTTCTTGTAATGCTCTTAAACCCACCATCCACCATGTACAGGAACACTTGTGGCAGAAAAAAAAAGAAAAGAAAAGTTAGCTTGTTGCCTCAAGGGAAAATATGCCCCAAAGAACTATGGGAGCATCTGCATGAGTGGATTTGGAAGGACCTCTCAGAGGATTTAGACTTGTAGTGGGTGACTCAGAGGAGGATTAAGGAAGCCCAGGTCAGTTTTGAATTATCATTCCTTTAGAAATACGTACTTCTAGAATGCTCAGCTTTGAATATGTGATAGCTTGTGTTCTCTTCTCAAAGATGATTTGTTAAAATGAAATCTTGCTCCTCATAGCAATATTGAATACTACATGCTTTAGTGTACAGATGCTTCATTACTCAGTTTTACTCAATAATAAAGTGATCTTTGATATTTGTGCAGCAGTGCACAAGTGGAAGTAGGATCTCCTTTTATTTTTTTCCATTGGATCTCTTTTTGATGCTGTATTTTTCTATGTGTGTCAACATGGATGTTGCATTAAAATTCTTTTTTTCCCCCCCCCTTCTTTAGCAAAATCCTTTATATGACACAGAAAGATGCAAGGTGTTCCAGTGTGATCTCACCAAAGATGACCTTCTGGAACATGTGCCCCCAGAGTCTGTGGATGTTGTCATGTTGGTGTTTGTACTCTCTGCCGTTCACCCTGATAAGATGCACCTTGTCTTACAAAATATTTACCAGGTTAGTGATTTGGAGCCGAGAGGTTGGACATCCTGATCTTTTTGCTTAGCTCCCCTCTGAGGGTCATGTTTAGATTCGCAGAGTCTCCTCATTCCCACTAGGTATAGGCCCTATAGTCAGTGTATGGAAAGGGGTTCTCCTACATCAAACATTCACCCTAAATTCTGATCTGTCTGGTAGCCATCACTGCTCTTCAGACCTTGGCCTGCCTTGGAGCAAGGATGATTTTGCAATTATCTGGGCTCTATGCATGGAATAACATGCAGATAGTCCCTGCTGTAAAGTGAGGGGAGGGTATGGTTCGGTGGTCAAGAAGCACCTGGCGTCAGAGTGCCTAGAGACAAGACCTGGCTTCCCTGCTTAAACAAGTTCCTTTACCTCCCTGAGCCTCAGTTTCATTACCTTTAGAATATTGAGATACTAGATTGCATGAAATATATGAAATATGTATAAAGTGCTTAGCATAATGCCTAGAACATGGTAAGGGCTTTTTAAAAGTCAGCCATTGTTGTTACTATTATCATTATTAGAATGGGGACAACCCAAACTGGCCATCAGGAGGCTGCTGTAGCACTCAGGAAGTAAAGCGACACTCTGAAGTCATGTGACTCAAGACAAATCACCTCACCTTCTTCCTTGGGCTTTAGTTTCCTTGGCTGTAAAATGGGGGTGTCTCTCGGAGTTGCAGGTGAGATCATGAATGAAGCTGCTTTGTAAACTACAGTAGAATTTCTCTTACATCTATGGCAACAGTGTTGATTCATTTAAAGATCAACTAAAGAAATCGTAAAAAAAAAAAGGTACATTCTTACCTTAAACATTTTATTATAACTTAAAATATATTAATATTCATTTGTTACTCTTTTGATATAGAGCCACAGCCTTTTCTTTGAGTAGGGGGCTGTTTATCATCTTTCTTATATAAACCACACATATAGTAGAGTTTTGGTTTCTTGAAAGCAGAGTGAAGGGTGCCTGAGTGGCTCAGTTGGTTAAGTGTCTGCCTTTGCCTCAGGTTGTGATCCCTGGGTCCTGGGATTGAGCCCCAAGTTGGGCTCCCAGCTCAGCAGAGAGTCTGCTTCTCCCCCTGCCCCTCCCCCTGCTTATGCTCTCTCTCTCTCTCTCTCTCTCTCTCTCAAATAAATAAATAAATAAATAAATAAAAATCTTAAAAATGGAGCAAAGACTTAAAAACAATTGGAAGGTAATGTGAGGGCAGATTCTTTTATATTTTTACGCAGACTTCTCCTTGCTTCTCCCACACCTAATTAGATACAGTTTGTTCAGTGCTTCTTTATCAAGTCTTTCCAAAAGTATTGAATGTACTTTTCATAGGAAACAAAATGCTCGTTTTTTGCATATTGCACTGTTTATGTACTCGTATATAATTCTAAATCTCAGTACAACTGGCATAAGCAAGTTTGGGAACCAACACAGGTGACCCATGGTAAGCACGCAGCTCACCTGGGGGCCACTAAAGCACAAGGGCACACAGCCTAGAAAGCCTGTAAGCCTCACCTGCTTCGTGAGTCGGGGGCTTCAGTCAGTCTGCTTTGTAAAGGGAGAAAAGAGCAGTCGGCAGGTTGAAAAAGTAGATGCTTTAAATGTTTTTTAAGAAATTCAGATATTGCTACGTTGGTTTCAGCTCTCTGTGAGGTTTTGTAAGGTTTTTTTCGCCTTACTTCCCCTTTCCCTGCCCATGGTATCTGAGCAGATGAGAACCCAGCATGTCCCCACAAATGGGCACAGAACTGAAGCTGGGTGAAGAGGGAGGAGAGGGCATCAGGGAAGAAAAGGTAGGATCACCTGATTTGAAGGTCCAAGTGAGGGCAAAGGATGATTAAAGATGGGCAACTAGAGAGAGAGCTGGAAAGATGGTTTTGGGGTTGGCCAGGGTGGCTTGTATAACATTGAGAGACTGGAGAGGTTATACTTTTTGCTCTTGACAAGACGTGAGGACAGTACCATGGGAGTGAGTGGTCTAGGAGGGAGGAGGACAAGATCTAGGAAGAGAGAAGCTCAAGTCATTAAGAGGCCAGCATATTTGGAAGGACAATCTGCGTGTATTGAAATTGCTCATCAGAACTAAGAATGGAGTAGTATTGAGGACAGGAGAATAAACCAGAGGATACAGTCAATCATGAAACAGGGATACGACCCTGAAACTCGTAGATGACAGTAACATTAAGGGATAGCAGATGGTATAATCTGATGACAAGAGATTCAGGGCCAGGGGGTTTAGGGAGGAGAGAGAGTACACAAGAAAGTAGCAGTGAGAAGCATGGAGGACACCAACGTCATGTCCAAGTCCAGTGGTACAAGGGTGAGTAGAGAAAACACAGCCCTGACTTGAGAGGTTTCGGGGAAAATAGTGTCCTCAGGGGACAGTCTGTTAGCACAAGAATCTGAAGGAACATTCAAAAGAGGTGGATAACAGTGATTTCACTGATGAAGGGTTTCAGGGATTGGGGAGAAGTAGGAGACAGGGACAGAATAAGGAGTATCTAGAACTTCACGGGAGTGAGAGTGCCTACTGTCATTACTTCTCTTCAGCATTACACTGGAGGTCCTAATCAGCTCAAAAAGACAAGAAAAAAAAAAGACGGAAAAAATAAGGATTAGAGACAAAACTCATTATTTACATATAATGTAATTGTCTAATTAGAAAATATTAAAAGACTAAAAAAGTATAAGATGAATGTAATGTCACTGAGCTAGACACCTAAAAAAGAGTAACATGCGTTGTGTAATTTTGCTTTTCCATTTAATATTACGTTTCATTTATTTTTTTGTTTGATTGTTTCAGGGGTTTTTGGTAGGGTGTTTTGTTTTGTTTTGTTTTGTTTTGTCCCTGAGGAAATTGACAAGCTGATTCTAAGTTCACAGGAAAGAGCAAAGGGTCAGAACACTCCTGAAGAAGAATGACATGGGAGAAATGTATACCCTACCAGACATAAGGACTTACTGCTGCAGTGATTAAGGCAGAATGCTATTCTGTGGGACAGACAAATTGAATGTGATAGCTTAAAAATCTATCCATGCATAAATGGAAATCTGCTATATGATGGAGGTGACAATGACAATCACTGGGAAAAGGAGGACTGTTGAGTGAGTGCTGCTAGGACCAGAGTGTTCATGCAGAAGAGAGTGGAATTATCCTCCTCACATCCTCTACAAAAATCATTCTCACAGGGCGCCTGGGTGGCTCAGTCGTTAAGCGTCTGCCTTCGGCTCAGGTCATGGTCCCAGGGTCCTGGGATCAAGCCCCGCATCGGGCTCCTTGCTCAGCGGGAAGCCTGCTTCTCCCTCTACCACTCCCCTGCTTGTGTTCCCTCTCTCGCTGTCTCTCTGTCAAAGAAATAAATAAAATCTTTAAAAAACAAACAAACAAACAAACAAAAAACCAAAAATCATTCTCAGGTGAATTAAAGAATTAAATGGAAACGATAAAAGTTTAAGCCTTTCAGAAGAAAATACAGGAAAGAATCTTTATCACCTCCGAGTGGGGAAAATTTTCCCAAGACACAAAGCATTCTAAGCATAAACATGATTGTAATAAAAGTAGGAGTTTCTATTCTTCAAAAGACAATATAATACAAAGGAATTTAAAAACCACTTGGGGAAAGTAATTTGAAGTCTATAGACCTGAATATGTGAGGAATTCCTGTGTAAGAAAGACAAGCAAATTGATAGAAGAATGGCAGACTTCAGTAGTTGTTTTACTGAAGAGAACACACATAGGAAAAGATAACCCAGCAAGTGTAAAATAAAACCCCAGTAAGACACCGTTAGATTACCAAAATTAGGAAGTCTGACAAAGCCAAGTATTGATGAGGATATGCCTGTTCTTGATTTAAATGGAAACATACACTATACTATCTGTATTTTAATAGTAATGAAATGTTATATGTATTGTTTTAATTGAGTTGAGCTGTCTCAGTCCACACTTGGCCCCCAGCCCCTGTTCTAACCTTTCTTGAGTAACAGATTCCATTTTAGCAATCCTTTCTATTTTTACCCCCTAATAGAAATCTTTCTGCTGATCTGGAATGAGTTCACAGCAGTAGTGGATTGCCGGCTCTCTGCCTCATACATAGTGACTGGCTCGTTGATTTGAAATCATGTGCTTCATCAGGAAATTACCAGAAGGAGGAGGGATCTCTCAGCCTCTGACAATAATAAGACACCCTTTGGGCAGCTCGAAGCCTTGTGTGAACAACCACAGTAATAAACTCTTGTAAGGTAGATGTAATTACTGTAGAATGTTAACAGCAGAGAATTTTTTAAACTACGTAAGTTTAAACTGAAAGACAACCTTAAAGTTGAATTCCCTCATTTTTGGAGTAGAATAATCAAGTAAAAATAGACAAAATTTGTCATCAGACGACCTGGCTATTTGTCTACCAATGCCACCAAACTTGCCTTGAAACCTCAGGCAAGTCACTTTTAGTCTGAGCCTTCCTTGCTGTAAAATGGGTATAATAGACCTATCCTACCCTACTACTCAGAGTTGTTTGGAGAATGAAAGAAAATAACGGTGGGAGATGCCTGGTTAGCTCTACAGTGCCAGGATCAAAGGAGGCATTAGTATCAAACTTACTATTTTACAGACGAGAAAACAGGGGTGAAATTACTTGTTCAAGGTCATTCAACTAGTTATGGAAGAACTGGGATATGAATCAAGATTTCCAAATTCCTGAGTGAGTGTTCTTTCTGCTGTCCCATGTAGCCCTTCCTTCTATAATAAGGAGTAAGTCTTTTTCATATAAATTAAATTTTTCAGAATTTTCTTGGCAATTATTCACATTTTTTAAAACTTAGCATTTCAGACTAAGCTAAGGTAGGATGTATTCATCCAGGAGGCTCTTTACGGACTATATTTAAAATGCATGCTTGTATTGATAGAATTTACTAAATGAGAAAATCTGCGGCACACTTGGAAGTATTAGGGACGATCTTTCATACTCTATTCAGAAGAGGAAGTATGTCAAACTGCATCAGAAATCTATTGTAATAGTATATGTCATGTCTTAAAAATCTTACTGATGTTGATGAATCAGAATAAGATTCTGTAAAGTCCACTCTTACTTGGTAGTGTTAATGCAGTTTGAAAGAATTCTCACATAAAAAGTAAATGTCACAGTGTGTGCCACTTACTTTTTATTCTGAAAAGCATATGCTGTTTGCTTTGTAAGATAGAGCCGTTTATACCCACACCCTGCTGATGCCACCTCCCTGTTTTTGAGACCCTAACCTGTGACACCTATCTCCGAAAGGCTTTAGTGAGGGACTCCCAGTTGGGCCTGCCGCTAATGCCCTTCCCTACACCACTGCACTGGCCTGAGGATCTTCTACCAAGAAGCACAGCACAAGGGAAGAATACTCAGTTACCACCACCCCCCAGCCTCTCTTTCTTGTCAGTAATGTGAATAGAATTAGAATAACACCTCCCCCTTCCCCCACCCTCATCCAGGTTCAGGGCGAACAGATGTCTCTGATTCTACAATATGCTGCCCTTTGACCCAAATATGAGTCTTGACACCCCCACTTAGTGGCCAGTGTATGAATTGTGGACAAATCACTTACATAGTTCCCTTATCTCACATGAGGCTAATCATCACTCCTTCCTCCCTCCTGTCTGAGAAACTGCAGCGTGCTCTCAGCTGTTACTAGCATGGTGGGCAAGCTGTGCAGAACTGTAGCACAGTGAACCCTGCGCTGAGACTCAGAATGAGGAGAGCCAGCCAGAATCAGTAAGAAGACAAAATGATGTATTTTTTTAAAGAGACAGTTTACCAGGTCATATACTAGGAGATGGCTAATAAAATGTTGGGAGAACATGCTTTAAAGAAGATAAGACTGTTTCATTTAGTGTCAGTAGCATTTTAATTGTATGACACTGGACCTTGTAAGTGCTCGAGAAATATCCCTCCAATGTATGGGGTCCTGTAGGTGTTGCTATACCTTTGATCAGGAGGCCCTTTTTCCCTCAAACTATGGGTGGTTCAGTCTGGTTCTTTTCATACTTCTCACTAATGTAAGTTATTTTGATCCCTAAATCAATCAGATTTTATTTTGAGTAAGTTTTATTTGAGCCGTCAATATAAGTGCCACCTGCTTTTGTTTCATAGGTATTGAAACCAGGCAAAAGTGTCTTGTTTCGTGACTATGGGCTGTATGATCATGCCATGCTTAGGTTTAAAGCTGGCAGCAAACTTGGAGAAAATTTTTACGCTAGACAAGATGGAACCAGATCATATTTTTTTACTGATGGTAAGGTTAATGAAATTTGCTTTTATTTCTGTTTACTTGCTTGCATTATCACTGTGGTACTGGTTGGGGGTGGGGGCAGCAACACAGAGGGCACATGCACAAGGTCCTGGCTGGAACCATCTCTGGGGCACACCACTCACCCAGCACCTGGGATGACAGGGACATAGCTCTGACCATGCTGAGCTCACAGGCCTCCTCTGGTGACAATGTCTTGTCAGCGAGCCTGGGTTAATGGACAGGCTCTGCATGCCACATGTATACCCTGCCAGGAACCGTGCTGGAAAAGGGGGAGGGCAAAGCAGGATTGTCACTTCAGTCACAAAACAGGTAGAGCAGGGGCAAGCTGGCTGGTTCAGTTGGAAGAGCATGCAACTCTTGATCTCAGGGTCATGAGTTCAAGCCCCATGTTGCATGTAGAGATTACTTAAAAAAAGTAAGTAAACACACACACACACACGTAGGACTACATATTGCCTGGAGATTACCTTCCCAGGTCACACAGGCAAGAAACCTTTGTAAAGGTGTTAAGTACACAAATTTGCTATAAAAGGGTCTTTCAAAAGTCATTTTGATAAAAACATCCAAACACTGATCATTATTTTGGTCTTACACCAAAATAATTTTAAGCCTACCTAGTAATTTGGACCATAAAATAATTATCTTCTTAAACTATTTTCACAGACATTTCCATGTCTTGAAATATTCTTTTGGGTTTAGAATGAAATAAAAAATGAGTGATTAGCATTAAAACTGCAAAGTCATAGAAATGTCAGGTGAAAAGTAAAAATTTAATGTTTCTGATTGATGAAATCTGAGTCAACCAATTGTAAATAATTGAGAAGATGCAGTGATGTCTGCAGAGTGCTTCGGAGCACATTTCTGCAGAGTAATGCTCTTACTAATAAGAGTATTTTCGCCGCATAGCCATTCTATTTGTTTCATTTAACATGTAGAGATGGATTATTGGGGTTAAATTTTCCTTAGGGTATATCACCCAAAAGTAATGGGTTTCCCCACTCTGGTCACAGATGTTCCTCCATCATGTTCAGATAGATGAGGTGTTTAATGTAAACACATTGAACACATGAAGACTTTGTATGAATATAGCCAGTTTGGAATTGTGTTTCTTTTTACTTGGACTTTGTATTTGGGGACTTACAATAAGGGGGTAAGGTGGCCGCACTCCAGGTTGTCCTTAAACTTTTCTGATTAAATTATTTAGTTGGAAGTTTCTATTTGGGAGTAAGAAGAGAAGTAGGAGTGTGTTACTTTCCAAAACAAAAATCTATTAATTTTAGCAGCGGAATTTTTGTTACATTTAAAAAAAAAAAAAAATCCCTTCCGGCACCCCTGCCCTCCTGTTTACCACTGCAGAGCCCATGTGGTAGTATCATCGAGACCGTGAGCATTGTTGATCTGCTTGCCTTACAGAATTCCTGGCTCGGCTCTTTACGGACACAGGTTATGAAGAAGTGGTGAATGAGTATGTGTTTCGTGAGACGGTGAACAAAAAAGAAGGCCTGTGTGTGCCAAGAGTGTTCCTTCAAAGCAAATTCCGAAAGTGTCCTAAGAACCCAACTCTGAGTCACAAGTCCTGACCTTTCATGAGGTTGACATTTGTGCCTCCCCTTGAAGAGGGAAGTTTAAAGTCACTCTTTATTTTGGATATTTTTATATTTTTTTATAATGAGGACATGTAATTTTTATATTAAAAAGTAGCAAGTGTCTGTGTGTGTATTATGGAAATGCAAATAAAATTGCAAGGCCTGAAAAGTGAAGTTTTACGGTATAATGTAATGTAGCCATGCTGTCTGACTAAAATTCCACGAAGGGGAAAGCATAAGCACTAAAAGAGATCCTTGCCATCGGTAAATGTGCCATGACTCAGTAAATGTACCTCCAGGCAGCATGTCAGGCAATCCTGTGGGAAAATGAGGCCAAATAGACTAAAATAACACATCCAAATGTATTTTTAGCCTGAAGGATTGTTCTCTTTCTAGTGTCTCTCATTTGCCCATTTCTCTCTGCTTCCGTTCATTTATGTGCCTCTTCAAGACCAGTGTTTCACAAATACAGCTTTTGCTATGACTCAAGAGCCCACCATGGCGCCCTGCCTAATTCCTGAGACCCTCTCTAACTGAGCCAGGACCTGGCCACACTGCCTCAGTGTGTGGAGAGAGGGGAACGCCATCACCTCTCCTCCCCATCTACCCGAGGCAGTTTCTCCAGGAATGCAGTGGATGGACCATCCCCATCAAGGACAGTCCGGCCCCATAAAGGAAGGGCCGCAGAGTTTTCACTTGGAATATTTAAGGTTGGCGTAATGACATACTACCCACCTTGGACATTGACGTTGCGCAAGGTAACCTCTCAGTGACCCACTTTAAAATACGTTTGTTGTAAAGTCTACTTAATGGTGTGACGTAGTCCATCAGAGTTTTAGCCTTGAGCCAATGGATTGGATTAAGAAACAAAAATAAGGCTAAGCATAATAAAAACAAGGCTTCAGTCCCACTGCCTCTGTGTCCCCCTGTTGATTCTCCCCAGGCAGACCTCTATTATTGCACCCCAGGTTAAGACAGTAGAGCAGCAGGGATTTCCACGGGTTGGGTGCCCAGGGACCCAGGGAAGCAAAGCTACAGTTTAGTAGCAAAACGAACATTTGTTAAATCATAGACTACAAAGAGTCCACCAATGTTGCCTTGTCTTCACAGACAGAAAGCAGCTCCAGAAAGGCAGTGAGTACTAGTTAACAGTATTATAGAAAATAGTTTAAGTACCATAATATTATATAGTCAGGTATATATATTATGTCTAGCATACATATTATACTATACAATATATATCCTATACCATATAGTATGAGGTATCTCTTTTTGAGTTTTTGGTATATACTACATACAGAAGTGCTAATAAAGTTGTATCACGTGATTTGGAGTTTGGAAAACTGGGTTCAAGTGCAGGACTATGCCCCCCACCAGTCACCAGCTTTTCAGAGCCTCAGCTTACCCATCTCTTAAGGCTGAGCCCCTGTGACCTACAGGGTTGCAGCCAGTGCTAAATGAGATCATTCACTTGGGAGTGCTTTGTTTACTAAAAAGTGCCAGCCACATGCTAGTTATTTCTATTAGTTTGTATTCCCCATGAAAACGATCTCTCCCATTATTAAATCCTAATTCTTCTTCCAGAAGGCTGTCGTTTTTAATCTTGGGTTCCTCAAAAGGGCCTGGGATTTGGATGTGCTGCCGCAAGGTGGTGCTAAATACTCAATAATCGCATTGGCCTTTGTTCTCATTTTAATCATGGTTCTAGCATGTCCATTTTTATTGTTGTTGAAAAGGAAGGAAAATGCTTACAAATGTGTTTTCTAGGTCAACTTAATCTCGTAAGATCAATTTTGGCCTCGCTGTGGAAATAAGAAGTAAGGATTCTTTTATCCAGCATTCAATCTACTTTACCTACTGAAGGGAGTTTGCTTTCAACTGAATTTGGGCAACATTTTAGGCAGTAGGCTCTGAACGTGTCTGCAAGGCCCCCACCCCTCTCTCATCCCTGAATGGTTCTGTGGATTCATTTTTACTGTTGCTAGGGATTAAGGCAAAGCAAAAGAAGGGACTGCAGCCTGGATACTTGTTTGCCTCACACTATTATTCATAGTTATCTTTGACAGCATTTGGTTTCCTATTTCACAGTAGTCAAGCAAGGAAGGGAAAATTGTGAAATAAATCATGTGCACCAAGAGAGTGAAACGGGATCATGTTTGCTGTTGGGGAGCCAATATTTAATATAAACTTAAATAGCCTCTGCCTCTGAAACCAAATATTCCACTAAAAATAAAATTAGTTACTTTTCACTTTTCTGCCCTCACATGTGTGGCATTTCATTAGATAGTATTTGCTAAGTACCCACTGGAAACAGGGTACTGTGGGATTGCTCTGGCTGGAGTACAGGGTTAGGGAGGGAGAACAGTGTGGGTAGGGAAGCAGCCCAACCATATCTTCACTAAGCCAAAGTGTGACAGCTAAGGAAAACAAGCACAAACACTCTGAACACCAGAGGAAAGAAAAAGAGGAAGAGAAGCAATGGAAAACCTGAGGGTGGCAACTGTCACCGTCACTTGGAAAGGATATTTCCACAGTTTTCAGTAGAGATGTCATATGCCCTGGTGTGGGGCATAGCCATGGAGATGAGAATGTGATTCAGAGCTCTTACTTATGGTAACTTCCCAAGCACATCTAGAAAAATATCATGACTAGCAAAATGAGATCATTCCTAGAGGAAATACAACTTCTAACAAAATGGTCAGCTCTAGTTAGAAACAGTTACTCAATTGAGACTCTCTTCTTTACCTATCAAATGAATAAAACTTAAAAAGTGGTAATACTTAATGCTGGTAAAAGGATAGAGAGACCAATTACGGAGATACAAAAAGTATGGCTTCTCTAAAACAGCACTGTCCACTAGAACTTTCTGAAATGATGGAAATAATCTCTGTCTGCATTCTCCAATATGGTAACCACTAGCCACAAGTGATTACTGAGGACTAAGGCTAGTGGCCAGTGCAACAGAGAAACCAATTTTAAAATTACATATAAATACAACTGTAGTCACATGTGGCTAGTGGCTACAATAATGGACAATGCAAGTCTAGAACACAAGCATCGTGTAGTAAATTTCATAAATCTATACATAATCTTTGATCCAGTAATCCCATGTTTGGGAATCCAATTTAAAGAAAAATAGAATAGGAAATATTTATACAAACATTTTCATGAAAATGCTATTTAGAGCAGTGTAAAGGTGACAACAGCTTAAATATCTAAAAATAGGAGATTGGTTATATAAATTATACCATAAATTAAATATTGTACAGTCATTAAAACAATAATTAGAAAATGCTCATTCTATAATATAAGCAGGAATATAAAAATGTAGAGAAGAATAGTTTCAATTATGTTTAATAATAAATATTATAAAAGGATACGTAGATATATTTAAACAAAACACCTAGGAAGGAACCAATTTAAAATGGTTAAAATATTTAGTTCATAGTTGTTCAATTATAGCTGATACTTTTTCTTCTTTATACATCCCTGAAACTTTCATGTTTTCTGTAATGAGCATATACTGCTTTTACATTAAGGGAAAAAAAATGTCATCTACCATCCTCAGAACTCCTTTCCAAAACTCACAAGTTAACTAAAATCCTTGTGACAAATCTGCTAGAAATGCCATTTCAACCTTTAAGATTCTTACCACCAGAAGCTAGAGGACACCTCCCAAGAGAGAGAATGGGTGTCTTAGGGTATTCTCTTTGTTCCCAGGGCTCTGGAGTCATGGTGAGGTGCCTCAGATTGCAGGGTTTTCATCTGTTGGAATTTGGAGATGCAGATACCGCAGTTTGGGGAAATTTACTCAAATTATTTATTTACAATGACTCCTCACCACTACCAACACATGCGCGCGCACGCGCGCGCGCACACACACACACACACACACACACGTTCTCTTTCTGGAACTCTTGTTATTAAAACATTGAACTTTCTGAACCAATATTATAACTTTACAACCTGTTCTCTCTTTTCCCACCATCTCTCTTATTTCATGTTTTGCTTTCTGGGAGATTTGATTCAGTCAGAATCCTCCACTGAGTTGTTAATTTTTGCTTTCAAATTTTTAAATTCCAAGAACACTTTTTTATTCTTTCAATGTTCATTTTAAAAAGAACAACTTGGTCTTGCTTCATAGATGCAGTGTCGTCTCTCTCTCTAAGGCATACATTCTCCACGGGGGCACTACTGTCCCCCAAAGGCACAAAAATTGGTTCTTTAGGGGTTGGCAAAAAAACCTAGATATTACAATGATTTGTAGCCCTTCAAAACTCAACCCTATCTGACAAAATCATATTCTTTAATATTTAATTTCTCTCATTAGGAAAAATAAAATTGAATTCTAATTTTTCTCCTTAGAGGTGTGATTTAGGTTTTCATCTCCCCGCATAGTCTCCGTGAATTGGTCTGGGCTCTCCAGAAAAAGAGAACCAATTATAGAGAGATAGATAGAAATAGAGATATATACATACAGTATATATCTTGAACAACACAGGGGTTAGGGGAACCAATCCCTTCTGCAGTCAAAAATCTACAGTAACTTTTGACTCCCCAAAGACCTAAGTACTAATAACCTACGGATGGCCTTACTGATAATGAACAGTCGATTGACACATATTTTGTATGTTCTATACTATTTTCCTAAAATATATTCTATACTATATTTTTATGATAAAGTAAGCTAGAGAAAAGAAAATGTTAAGAAAATCGTAAGAGAAAATATATTTACAGTACCGTGCCTTAAAAAATCTGCATATAAACGGACCCATGCAGTTCAAACCCGTGTTGTTCAAGTCTCAACTATGAGAGAGAGCGAGAACTACTATAAGGAATTGGCCCACACACTTATGAAGGCTAAGAGGTCTAAGATCTGCAGTTGGCAAGCTGGAGGCGCAAAAGAGCAAATGGTGTAGTTCCAGTCCAAGCCTGAAGGCCTAAGAGGCAGAATTGTCAGTGGTTGAAGTTCCAGTCTGAGCCGGAAAGCAGGACAAGACCAATGTCCCAGGTCAAGACAGGCAGAGAGAAAGAATTCATCTTAATCAGCCTTTTATTCTATTCAGGCCTTCAACAAACTGGATGAGGCCCACCCACATCAGGGAGGCCAACCTGCTTGACTCAGTCTACTGATCCAAATAGTAATCTCATCCAGAAACGCCCTCACAGACACACGCAGAAATAGTGTTTAAGCAGAGACCTGGGTACTCTGAGGTCCAGTCAAATTGACACATTAAATTAACCATCACAGGGGTGCCTGGGTGGTACAATCAGTTAAGTGTTAGACTCTTGGTTTCAGTTCAGGTCCTGATCTCAGGGTCGTGAGATCAAGCCCCATTATCAGGCTCTGCACTTAGCGAGGAGTCTGCTTAAGACTCTCTCTCCCTCTCCCTCTGCCCCTCTTTAAAATAAATAAATAAAATCTTTTTAAAAATTAAAAATAAATTAACCATCACACTGTTTTCTCTCTTTTTTTCCTTTCCTGTTTTGGTCTCTATCTTTAGGGGCTTTTCTCAGATGTGTGGTGATCCTTGGTTTTCCAATTATGTTTTAAAATGGGGAGCTTAAAAGCTGCTAGGAAGAAGCTCTGAGCATGAGGGGGAGTTGTCAATGTGGGCTTCCCCATGTGGTGATCTGACTAGGCTGTTGCTTTGTATAACCTATAGTTTGCTATCTTTAGGTCTCTCCAGAAAATAATCTTCCAGCCCCTGCCAGGTGGATACCATCCTAGCTACCCGTGATCTGGGAGCCAAGCCAGTGGGGAGAATCTCAACATTTGGTATGTAAGCTTTCACTTAGTTTACTGGGAAAGTTTTAGTGGAGTGCCATTTACAATATAGTACTCCATCCTCAGTTTTGCCCCATGTCTCCTTATCCATAGACATTTGTGTTTGGCCTCTAGTCTTGCTCTGGGGTGGGGATCATACACTTGTCTGCCATGTGGACATGGGGACGGGGCTTGGGGGGTATATCTGCTCCTTAAGACCTTTGAAGCAGTCCTTCAATTTTCAATCCTGTCCACACCAACACTTCTAGAAATAGCTGGTACTGCCAAATCCTGAGGCATAAAACCTTTGCGAGTTCTCAATGCAAACTGAGTTGCTCCTTGTCTTTCATCACTACTGACTTAAGATTCAGCTTCTCAAGTCTACTAGGTGGGTTGCTATTCATCCTTCTGCTTTCAAGTCCCCCACATTTTGTCATGTCTTTATGACTTTATCCTGTAAAAAAAAATCCTTTTGCTGTTATTTTAGTGGGGTTTCCAGAAGGAGCTGAAATAAGGGCATGTACTTAATCTGCCATCTTTATTTTTTTAAATATTTTATTTATTCATGAGAGACAGAGGGGGGAGGAGAGAGAGAGAGAAGCAGAGGGAGAAGCAGTCTCCCAAGGAGCAGGGAACCCAATGCGGGACTCGATCCCAGGACCCTGGGATCATGACCTGAGCCAAAGGCAGACGTTTAACCATCTCAGCCACCCAGGGGCCCTAATCTGCCATCTCTAACCAGGGGGGTTGGGAAGGAAAAGGCAGCCCATAGATGGAGGGACCATTTGAGGAGGAAAGAGGTTGGAATGATTGCCAAGTGCAAAGGGGCTGAAGGATCTGGAGGAACAGAGGCAACTCGGGGATGCTGAACTTGTTGGCATGTGCTTAGAACTAAAGATAGGTTAGTTACAGGCATTCCCTTGGGCAGAGCCCAGGATGTTGCTGAATCAGGGTCAGGTCACTATCCAGAGAGCTGCTTCAACCTGTGCAGTACAGATCAAGGACCTTAGCAATGGCCAACTTTTTTCCCATTAACTTAGTTTATAGGCTTCCTTCCTAGGAGAGAAGCTAACATATCTATAAGGATGTCTTAAGAAAGATGTTTATTAGCAGCATTATTTGTGATACTAAATATTAGAAACAGTCTAAACCAGGGCTCAGCCACTATGGCCCATGGATCAAATCCAGCCCTCCTATTTCAGTAAGTAAAGCAGAGCCACACCCATGTACACATTGTTTATATTTCCTTTCATGCTGTAACAGCAGAGACTATGGCCAGCAAAGCCTAGACTATTTACTAACTGGTCCTTTAAGAGAAAGTTTGCTGACCGCTGCTCTAAATGACTAGTAAGAGAATGGATAAGCCAACTAAAGTACATCATACGACAAAATAGAATATAATCCATGAACATTATATCTAGGAAAAAGTTTTGTTTTTTTTTTTTAAACCGGTAAAAAATACGCATAACCTAAAATTTACCATCAACCTTTTTTTTTTTGAAAGTTGGGGGGCAGGGGCAGAGGGAGAGAGAGAATCCCCAGCAGGCTCCACACCCACTGTGGAGCCAGACCTGGGGCTCGATCCCACAACCCTAAGATCATGACCTGAGCTGAAGTCAAGAGTCAGACACCCAAATGACTGAGCCACCCAGGTGCCCCTACTATCAACCATTTTTAAGCGTATAGTTTGGTGGTGTTAATTATATTCACATTGTTGTGAAACAGCTTCAGAACATCTGCAGATCTGAAATTCTATACCCATTAAATAACATTTCTCTTTTCCCCTCCCCCTCCCCAGGCTCTGGTAAGCACCATTATACTTTCTGTTTCTATGAATTTGACTCCTTTAGATATCTCATATAAGCAGAATCATATAATTGTTGTCTTTTTTGTGACAGGTTTATTTTACTTAGTGTAATATCCTCAAGGTTCATCCATGGTGTAGCATGTGACGGGATTTTCTTCCTTCTTAAAGCTGAATAAAATTCCATTTTGTGTATATACCACAGTTTGCTTATTCATTCATCTGTCAGTGGATATTTGGGTTGCTTCTACCCTTTGCTATTGTGAATAGGCTGCTATGAACATAGGTGTACAAATATCTTTGAGACCCTGCTTTCATCTTGTCTGGCTATATACCCAGAAGTAGGATTGCTAGATTGTATGGTAGTTCTATTTTTAATCTTTTGGGGAACGTCAATGCTGTTTCCATAGTAGTACAATTTTACAATCCTACCAATTGGAACAAGGGTTACAATTTCTCCACATCCTCAGCAACACTTGTTATTGTGTATATTTTTGATAGTAGCATTGTAATGGGTATAAGGTGATATCTCATTGTGGTTTTGATTCACATTTCTCTGATGAGTAATGATTTGAGCATCTTTTTATATGATTATCGACCATTTGTATATCATCTTTAGAAAGATATCTATTCCAGTCCTTTGCCATTTTTGTTGTTTGCCATTTGTTGTTGAGTTATAGGAGTTCTTTATATATTCTGGTATCCCTGCTCTTGCTAGAATCCTTTCTTGGTTTTACAAGGGCTTGGGTGTTGTAGCTTTCATCTGGTGTCTACAGTTCTCACAGAGATATCCTGGTCCATACATGGGGTTAACTCTTTGTCTCTGTGGGGGGAGAAGAGCCTGTGGCTTCCTAGTCTGTCATCTTGCTTATGTGACTGTCATAGGAAAATGTTTTTAGCATTTTAATACAATGTTTATGTTTCAATGTTAAGTTTAAAAAAGATCCAAATGTAAAATTACACAGTCTGTTCTGAACTATATAAAAACATTCATAGAAAAAATACTGGTAAGAATGCAGTACAATAAAATGTTAATTCTTTTCTGTACTCTCTAAACATTTTACAACAAATTTATATTCTTTTATAATCAGGAGGGAGAAAGGCAGTTTAAAAAAACAACCACAGGGGCCTGGGTGGCTCAGTCAAGTTAAGCATCTGACTCTTGATTTCGGCTCAGGGTCATGATGTCAGCTCAGGGTCATGATCTCAGGGTCGTGGGATTGAGCCCTGCATCGGGCTCTGTGCTCAGTGTGGAGTCTGCTTGAGACTCCCTCTCACCCTCTCTCTCTACCCCTCTCCCCACTCCTCTGCAAGTGCTCTCTCTCTCAAATAAATAAACAAACAAACAAATAAAATCTTCAAACAACAACGACAACTAGAAGCTCAGAAGTAGACCATGGGTACTGGGAAAGGAATCTTGTATTCAGGAACCCAAAGAGCAGAGAAACAGTGTTCTGAAGGTGTGTAGGATAGAGTTAGGAAAAAGAGAACAGGACAATGCAAAGGGTAAGAAAAAAATGAGTAGTAGTCAGGCAGCACCTATGGGAGGGTTGGGTGAGGAGAAAAGAAATAACCTTCTAAGTCAACCAAGATGTCTGAGGAGCTGCCCCTACAACCTCCTCATTAGATGCATACTTTGTACAGGAGGACTCCCTCTCACTGTGACATCCCTATACCCTTTAAACATAAGGGTCAGCATGAGGCATGGGAAGCTCAGGGGAAGAGAAAGGGGAAACACCAAGAATTTCAGTCCTTAGTGTAATGACAGTCCAAGGTTGCCCAACTTGAGGGAATTCCCAAGGATGATGGTCCCAAAGGGTGACCAACCATCCCAGTTTGCCAGGACAGCCCTGTATCACAGGCAACTCCTTAGTGCCAGATGAACCTGGGCATTAGTTCCCCTAGAAGCCATGCTCTATCCTGCACGCGCAAGCAAGTGAGCGCAGGTGCACGCATGCGCGCACACGGAGCTTTGGCTACATTTATGAGGTAACTGAGAATGGACTTTTTTTTAAGTTTTTAATTTTAATTCCAGTGTAATTCACACACAGTGTTATATTAGTTGCAAGTGTACAATATGGTGATTCAACATTTCCATACATGACTCAGTGCTCATCATGATAAGTATGCTCTTAATCCCCTTAAATTCAAGGGGATTACCTGTTTCTCCTATCTCCCCCTCCCCGTAACCATCAGTGTGTTCTCTATAATTAATATTCTGCTTCTTGGTTTCTCTCTCTCACTCTTTTTTCCCCTTTGCTCATTTGTTTTGTTTCTTAAATTCTACATATGAGTGAAATCATATGTATTTGTCTTTCTCTGACTGGCTTATTTCACTTAGCGTAATATTCTCTGGCTCCACCCATGTTGTTGTAAATGGCAAGATCTCTTTCTTTTTTATGGCTGAGTAGTATTCCGTTATATATATTTACCACATCTTCTTTATCCATTCATCTGTCGGTGGGCACTTGGACTGCTTCCAGAATTTGGCTATTGTAAATAATGCAGTAAACACAGGGGTGCACATATCTTTTTTAATTACTGTTTTCATATTCTTTGGGTAAATACCCAGTAGTGTGATTACTGGATCATAGAATAGTTCTATTTTTAATTTTTTGAGGACCCTCCATACTATTTTTCACAGTGCCTGCAACAGTTTGCATTCCTACCAACAGTGCACAAGGGTTCCTTTTTCTCCACATCCTCGCCAACACCTGTTGTTTCCAGTGTTGTTAATTTTAGCCATTCTGACTGGTATGAGGTGATATCTCATTGTAGTTTTGATTTGCATTTCCCTGATGATGAGTGATGTTGAGCATCTTTTCGTGTGTCTATTGGCCATCTGAATGTCTTCTTTGGAGAAATGTCTATTTATGTCTTCTGCCCATTTTTAATTTTTTAAAATTTTTATTTATTTATTCATTTATTTTTAGATTTTTATTTTATTATTTATTCATTTTGAGAGTGAGAGAGAGAGAGCACGAGCAGGGCAGAGAGGCAGAGGGAGAAGCAGACTCCCGACTGAACCAGGAGCCCAATGTGGGGCTTGATCCCAGGACCTGGAGATCATGACCTGAGCTGAAGGCAGATGCTTAACCATCTGAGCCACCTGGACACCCCTATTTATTTATTTTTTTAAAGATTTTATTTATTTATTTGAGTGAAAGAGAGAGAGAGAGAGAGGAGAGAGAGCATGAGTGTGGGGGAGGGGGGGAGGGAGAATCAGATTCCAGGCTGGGCGGGGATCCTGATTCGGGGCTCAATCTCAGGATCCAGAGATCATGACCTGAGCCAAAGGCAGACGCTTCATTGACTGAGCCACCCAGGCGCCCCTTTTTTTATTGGATTATTTGGCTTTTTGGTGTTGTTTTATGTGTTCTTTATATATTTTGGGATTCATCTTTCATTAGATACTTCTCCAGTGGACAGTTTGGTGAAACACCATTAATGAATGAGTACTTTTATGAAAAATAGAGAGCAGTTCTGCTCTGGGCAAATGCAGCTTGACCATAGCTTGGTATCACACTGTGTAGAAGGCGCCTTCTAGCAGACACAGCCCCCAGCCAGAGTACGCAGCTTGGCCAGCAGAGCCATGGCTGCCTTTCGGGTCCCAGTCCTTTGTGCAGTGCACAAACCACACATACACACTAACCCACACATGCCTATGTTCCAGACGTCTCTAACATCAACAATGCCAGAATAAAGAAAACACTTTCTTATTCATTGAACTATATATTTTTGCCTAGAGACTCTGCCATGTGTGTGAAATCCAAAATAGACACTGGATTTTTTTTTTTCACATGTAGAATAAGGACCTGCTAGAAACAGATGGAAAATAAATAAATTAAAAGACACCTGGGTATGGTAGCCAAGGATGAGGCTGGAGGTAGAACTCGGCCCTTGCATTCTGCTGCTCCAACTCCAGAGAGGAGGAAGCCTCCACCAGGCACACTCATGGAGCCTACCTCTTTCTTTTCAGCAGACTCTTTAGTCATGCTCCGTGCTGGAAGGGTCATCTTTTCAGAACTTCACCACATCTTCAGGATGGCCACGGCCTCCTTCTCCCTCACTCCTCCTTCCGAGTCTCAGATAAAATGTACATTAGACTTTTAAAATATATTTTCTATGTTTCTTATCTTCCCTTCCGCATTTTCCATCTTTAAAAAAATTTTTTTAAGTTTTTATTTATTTAAGTAATCTCTACACCTTGTGTGGGGCTCAAACTCACAACCCCAAAATCCAGAGTTGCATGCTCCTCCAACTGAGCCAGCCAGGTGCCCCTGCATTTTCCATCTTTTTATCTCTTGGAATGATGCTTTGAATAATTTCTTCAGAGCTATCTTCCAATTCTCTAATCCTGTCTTCAGTTGTATTTCTTTTGCTGTTAAACTTATCCATTGAGGTTAGTAGGTACGTGTGTGTGTTTTGGTTATTGCATTTTTTTCCCCTAGAAGTTCTACTTAGTTTTGGGAAGACTCTATCACTGGCTATAATTTCCTGTTCCCGAAGATGTCAACAAAGCTGCCTGTTGATCTACCTTGTTGAATTATTTGAGGCCTATATTGAAAGTACCTTCCTTCAAGAAGTATTTGTGTTTGCTTTTGTGTTGTGTATATGGGCACAAGAGTCTCAGAACACCTTAAACCGAGTTCAAGGATTGATAGTCCCTGACCCAGACCATTGGCAATGGCTACCATAATAAAGAAATAAACCAGGAAAATCAACACACACACATATTTATATGGAAGATGTGAGTGTAGGGCTGTCTGAGGTTGTCACTGGGGTTCCAGGTGCCAGGATGAACTTAATATCTTCTAGGTGGAAGCAGCAATCGTGTCAGCAAGAGCAGGGAGAATAGTGAACTCCCGGGAAAATACAGACATGGTGGGAGCCTAGCAGAAAGCAGTCAAGACCATCCCAAACAGGAGGCAGAACAGCGTCAAGAGAAGTAAATAGTTGAAGCCCCTCAAGTTCTCACCTGATGAGTTACAACTACTCATGAGGCCTTCAAGGGCTCATGGAGTAGAAAGGTCAGCATCATAATGTGATGTAGAAGTCTCAGGTGAACTGGCAAATATGTCAGTCCATGGAAGGAAGGCTGTTTGCAAGTCAGGGGCAGGGGCTTAGATTTGGGAATTTTTTGTTTGAAGGACAATTCTTTGAAGGACCATTTCCTCTCTCTGTGCGTTGGTTTTTCCACCTGTGAGCAAGAGGTGGGAACACAAATATTTTGTGTTCCCACCAACAGTATACAACCGTTCCAGGCATCAGTTTCTTAATGACATCGCTTTCTCCTCAGGGCCATGGACAAAAGTTGTGAACGTGACAAAAGTCGTCCAAATATCAAAGGCCTTGGTGCCAGATAAACACCATGCCCTAGACATCATTCACATTTGCTGAACGTTCTTCAATTGTTGAATTGTAGGAGCCATACTAAGGATATAGTGGTGATGTACCTCCTATCCCTGGCTGGATTCCTGGACATCCTGGGTCCTAATTTTAATCTTTCCACTACATGTGGATAAGTGATACACCTCTATGGCCCTCAGTTTCCCCATCTGTAATGTAAAATGATTGAATTACAGGGTGGTTAACTATAACCAGTTCTGGGATTGTTTCTGAGACTACCTCTCCAGTAACTATTTTAATGGAATCTTCTGGAGTCAGAAACAACTTAAAAGCCAGAAAATGATGGAGTAATTGGGGGTCTTTGGCAGGATCTTAAATTGGAAGCCAAGTATCAGTCAGTCACAGGTGTTGGGTTGATTGGCTTAATATTTTTTAAACTTTTGAATTTGAATTGTTGTAATTACAGATACAGGAGAGCTTAATATAACAAGGGACTCTGAAATGTCTGTGGCAATAAATTTGAAAACCTAGAAAAAACAGACTTCTTGAAAAATGCAAAATACCAAAAACAACACAGGAAAAAGTGGGAGATGGCTATGGAAGAGATTAGGAAGGTAATGAGATTTGATGTTGAAAAGGCATCAGGATGAAATGGCTGGGTAGCTGAATCTTACCTGACCTGTGAAATACACATGATCACAATGTGCCTCAAAATCTTGGCTACTCAAAGTGTGGTCCACAGCCCAGTGGCATCAGCATCACTGGCAGCTCATTGGAAATGCAGACTGACGATCCCCACCCCCAACCCTGACCTACTAAAGGAGACTGTGTTGTTTAAGAAGCACTAGGCTAGGGCAGTGGTTTTCAACCTTGGTTGAACATGGGAATTATCCGAGGAGTTTAAAAAAAATACTGGTATTTGAGTCCCATCCCCAGAGATTCTGACTTAATTAATCAGGTCCAGGGCTTGAGCATCCGCATTTCATTCATTCATTCATTCATTCATTTATTGCCTTCTGTAACGGTCCTCTATTGGGAGTGGTTTTTGTTAAGTTTTTAAATTTAAATTCAATTAATTAACAGTTATATACTATATTTTTGGTTTCGGAGGTACAGGCCTGGGATTCATCAGTCTTACATAACACCCAGTGCTCATTACATCCTGTGCCCTCCTTAATGTCCATCACCCAGTTACCCCATACCTCTACCTTCCACCCCTCCAGCAACCCTCAGTTTGTTTCCTATGATTAAGAGTCTCTTATGGTTTGTCTCCCTCTCTGGTTTCATCTTGTTTATTTTTTCCTCTCCTCTGTTTTGTTTCTTAAATTCCACATATCAGTGAGATCATATGGATAATTGTCTTTCTCTGATTGATTTATTTTGCTTAGCATAATGCCTACTAGTTCTATCCATGTCATTGCAAATGTCAAGATTTCTTTTTTGATGGCTGTATAATATTCCATTGTATATATATACCACATCTTCTTTATCCATTCATCTGTTGATGGACATCTTGGCTCTTTCCATAGTTTGGCTATTGTGGACATTGCTGCTATAAACACTGGGGTGCAGGTGCCCCTTTGGATCACTACAACTGTATCTTTGGGGTAAATGCCCAGTAGTGCAATTGCTGGGTCCTAGGGTAGCTCTATTTTCAACTTTTTGAGGAAACTCCATACTGTTTTCCAGAGTGGCTGCACCAGCTTGCATTCCCATGGGCATCCATATTTTAAAATATGCCTCAGATGATTGAGAATCAGAGATTTAACCTGGGCCGTAGAGAAACACGGAAAGCTGACAAAGAATGTACCCCCCAAATAAAAAAGAACTACAGACTAATCTCATTTATGATTAAAAATAAAATCCAGTGATGATAAAAAAATAATACTATAAGACCAAGCACAGTTTACTTCAGGAACATGAGCTTTAGTGTGCTGGTTTAACAACCAGCTCTCTGGGAAAGATTAAAAAAAAAAAAATGTCTGATTTGTAGCGTTTGTCAATTCCCATGGTGTAAATACTCCCACCATGACTACATGTAAGCATAGTTAATTTTAAGCTAATTTTGCTTCTAGCAAAGAATGGTGCTAATTTTAAGCTACCAACATGATCTCAATCGGCTTGAAAACTCCTGAAACTTTAAACAGTTGGCTCTCACAAGCTGTCTCACGCCACTAGAGGTTGATTCAAAGCTAGGAGAGCCACCAATGAATCTGTTCCATCAACACATTAGAGAGAGAAACCACCATATCATGCCACAAACACATTCGGGGGGGGTTGCCTTGGGGGGGCTTGATCTACACTTGGCAGGGGCATCACCCCTCCGTGTTGTCGCTCACTTGGCCCCTGCAGCCATGTGACTTTGAGACCCCCGCTTTGCTGCCCGCTCAGGCCTAGCCCACACTTGCTGGGGCCGCTTTGCCCTGGGGTCCTGGCAAGGCCTCGGCTTAATCGTGTCATTTGGGGGTGAATGACGAAGGTGTTGCCGTCTCCTCTTCATTTCTCTACAGGCGGAGTTGGCAGGGGAAAGTGCGCTGCTTCCTTCATCTGGGGATATCCTGCCTCAGATGAGCTTGCCCTTTCTCAGCCCTGGAAGGAGTGGAAGAGAGAAGGCGGGGGCCTGCCTCCCGGGCCTGGGAAACGGGCTGGGCTTCCTGCCCCCGCACCGGTCAGGCCTGTGTTCCCGTGCCCTGTGGCTCACCTGCTCTGCCCTGCATTGCCTTACTTTCTTGACTTAAGCAGGCCAGTCCCTCCTTCGGGAACCATGAGCCTCTCCTATCTTTCCAGTAAATCCCCGTTTTGCTTTGATACCCACAGTCCATTTTCATTGCTACTGAACTATTCCTGAGCAACACCATTACTCTGACCCAAGGGGGCTGACTGGCACAGGAATCCAAATTGGTGTTCATCTGTGATGACGCATGTCACGTGTCAGCTGTGATGACAGTGACCAAACAAATCCATTTTCTGGGCGTTGTAACGGGATTCTGGGGCTGTGGGGTCATCGACAGCTACCAGATTCGCCAGCTCTTCAGGGTTGCTAAGGTTTCTGGGATTCCTAAAGAGCTCTGGGAACAATTGTGCAGGGTCATTGCCCCTCAGAGGCTATGTTCCTGGGACGACACCGTGGCAGCCTGGAAGCTCCCTCCTCCAGGCCCTTCTCTCTCCTCCTTGCAGGAATGGTGCCACCCACACCTTCTAGCAAGTGATAGTGAGAAGTTGGGAGAGATAGTGCTACATAAGCTTGTTTATTCTTCGTGGAGCAGATTGTATGTATTTATTCACCTAACGAATAATTACTGAGCACCTATTATGGCCACTTTGTGCTGGGGACAGATGGATATAAACCTCTTCGCCCTATATTCTATCAGGGGAAGGGGAAATGGGCCAGAACAGCCCTAAAAGATAAAATAATAAGATGATTTTAGGTAGTCCTAAGTAACAAGCCTGTAGAGAAGCAGGGAGAATGGGAGAGAGCCACTTGAGCTCAGAAAGTCAGGGAAGGGCACTGGAAAGGGAAAGATCGGAGAGCTGGGCAGGAGGAAGAGCCAGCCTGTGGAGAAGAGGAGGAGCTTTCCCGACGGAGGGAAGGACCACTGGAAAGGCCCCGGAGGTGGGCATGGAGTTAGCACACCTGAGGCACCACAGGAGCCCAGTGTGGCTGCACACAATGAGGGGGGGCATCAGAGGGGTCAAACAAGGGCTGTGCATGCAAGGCTGGGACTAAGCACTCAGGGTTTGGGACTTTCATTCGCATGGAAATGGGAATGGGAAGTGTTAAGCAGGGAGGTTCCTACAATCCGATGGGTGATTTGGAGCGGTCACTGCGGCAGTGGTATGGAGAATGGACCGTGCCGGGGCAATGCTGGGAGCAAGAGACAGGCAGGGAGGCTGCTGCTGAGGCAAAGCTGACCTTAGTCATCCGAAATCGTTCCTCCAAGGCATCTCCACAGTCACAACCTGCCACTGCAACCCAGAAACACGGCAATTATGTGCCAGAAAAAAACCCACATGTATTTATGCTCAAACAATAGTAATTACAGGGCACCTCCTCCTCGTGCCTTCCCTGTGAACTCCTGACTGCTCTAACAATGAACTCCTGCAAGCCAGCCATCTCCTTAGCCCAGCTGCTCTGGCACGGTGGGATGCTTGAAGGCCTCAAGGCTCTGCCACCCACTGCATGCCCCCCACCCGCGTGCGGTGGACTTCCACCACCAACTTGTTATTAGTGTCCAGGTGTAGGAGTCAGGTAGTTTTGGGGATGTAAGTTTCACATACTACAAATTATTGGATTACTTTGACATAATTTATTCGTCTCAAATCCTCCATCATTCTGGAGGGATGTATTCACTCATTCCTTTGTCCATTTATTCACTCGTTCTGTCAACAGACATTGGTCGAATCCCCATGCTGGGTAGGAGCTAGAGATACTGAGCCAGAGGCAGCAATCCCACCCGCCAGTGGGGAGAGGTCATCTGCACCACACCCACCATGACTTATTATCATTTTAAAGTTTATTTATTTTTTTAGTAATCTCTACCCTCAATGTGGGGCTCGAACTCATGACCCCAAGATCAAGAGTGGCATGCTCTTCTGACTGAGCCAGCCAGCCAGGCGCCCCGCCATCATGACTTGTTTTAAGCACAGTTAATTTTAAGCTAATTTTGCTTCTAGCCAAGAATGGTGCTAACTTTAAACTCTCAGATTTTATTGCGACTGGCTCTTCGTGAGGCACCAACACCAGCCAGGTTTTCAGACCACAGAACGAGATACTGCCTTTCTCTAGTAAGAGGAAGGAAATGAAAATTCACTTGTGTTGTGTATTTACTGTGTGCCAGGTTATACTGTTTGCATGCTATGAGATGGCCCATGAGCTGCACAACTAAAACTGAAGCCAGCTCTCCCTGACTCAAATCTCCATGCTTTCTCCACTCCACAGCTTAAAGAAGTAGATCAAACTCAAATAGAAGGGAAGAACTTGGGTAGGTGCTCAGGCTCTCCTCAAAGAACAGTGTGCCCCATACAGATACGAAGGAAGTCACATGTCAGAGATGATAAAATCACAACAACAACAAAAGAATCCCCCAAACACTAACAAAGGCAAAGAAAGAGACATCCTGGAAAAACCCAGCAAGCTGTTCCCGCCTCACAGAAGGAGTCATTCCTGAAAGGCGCTGGAGAAAGATTAGAAACTGGATAGGTTGTGGGGTAATTACTCATCTGAAGTGTTTGCTGAGAGGCGAGGTGGGCCGGATGCAGTGTACTCAGCATCCAGCTGCCTGGGGGAGGAGGGCGGGGGTGGAGGCTTCTCCCTGATTTCCAGCCAAAGTCAGCCAAGTGGTGCCCTCACCTCTGGGGTCAGGAAGAGGAGCCTTCTAGGTCCCTGCCTCTCAACCTTGGTATCTGTACCCATGCGTTTCTTGGCAGGCCAGAGAGTATAAGAAGCCACGTGAGAGAGAGGACAGATTTTTTAGGCATGTCTATTTTACTTAAAAATTTGAGCTATTTTTACTTAAACTTTGATAACAAATGTTAATGTCTGATGCAAGAGGGAGCCAGTCTTCCATGAAAATTTAAGAGAACACAAGTCTTTAAGGAAATTTCATGATTTCAGTGGGCCACTTCCAACTTTGTTCCCAGACTCCCGAAAATCTATGATCTTTGGTGGGAAATCCTGAGACATTCCATGCAGGTCTCAAACTTGTGTCAAATGAACCCCCATCTCCCAACCTCAAATCAGTCTTAACCAACATTAACTGAACTCTCATCCTGGGCCAGATTCTCTGTCAGGCCCTGTTTAAGATTAATAAGATAGCGTTCATGTAGGAGGCCCTAAGATATGTCCACAGTAACCGTGATCTAATAATTTCATTATGCTAGAGTGGAGGCATGTGCAAAGTGTAATGGGCACTTGGAGGAGGAGTGATTAATTTTACCCGGGAGAGCAGCTATCGCAAGAGACTTTGCAAAGAAGCTGAGGGGGAAGGACTCTGCCTTCAGGCTGTCACCCATTCCTGACAGAGGAAACAGGGAGCCCCTGGAAGTGTGGGGTGCTTTGGGGAAGCAGGGAATTTACAGTGGCTCAGTGTAAAGAATGTGGGAGGCACCTGTCGGTGGTGAGTGTGGTAAATTATTGGATTCAGATCACACAGGCCTTGAGTGACATCCTGGGCGTCCTAGATTTTATTCTGGGGACAATGGAGGGCGGGCACTGACAGGTTCAGAATTGGTGAGAAATATTATCAAACCTGTGTTTCAGAAAGTTAATGAAGGTGAAGAGGGGTTTGGAGGGAAGAGGTCTTATAGTTCGGGTTTCTGGAGGCAACCATTGACGTCTATCCTGAGCCCAGCCACTAGGGCAGCTCAGCCCTTTCCTGTCACAGTCTAATGACAGAGATTTGACACATCTGTGAAACCCAGTGACAGAGATTACAGCCATTGTGTGCTCACCCCATAGGATGAATGCCTAGATTGCTACATCACAATTTGGGGTAGCATTTTGATAAATGTATTTCAATATCATTAGTTTCTTCTCTGTAGTCCTCTGTGTTTTCTTTTATGTACTTACAAAAAATTATTCTGGGAAAGACTCCATGGACTTCACCAAACCACCAAAGGAGTTTACAGATCAAAGCCCTCAAACATTTGAAAATGTTAATAGACCATCTTCTTTCCTTTCTCTACATGTGGTAATTCTCTGATCAAGCATTTTTTTTAAAGATTTTATTTATTTATTTGAGAGAGAGAGCAGGGCAAGGAGCAGAGGATGAGGAATAGGAAGACTCTGCCTAGTGCAGAGCCCAATGCAGGGCTCGATCCCACAACCCCGAAATCAGGACCCGAGCTGAAATCAAGAGTTGGACCCTCAACAGACGGAGTCACCCAGGCACACCCCCCCTTTTTTTTAGATTTTATTTATTTTCAAGCAAGCATTTATCAAACATTTCTTACACACTCAGGGTTGTGTCAGAGGCTATTCTCCGGGCATCTGGAACCAGGCTGCCTGGGCTGGAATCCTGACTCCGTCTTTTCTAGCTGTGTTACTTGGACAAAATTACTTGAATCTCCCAGTTTCCTCCTCTGTAAAAGGAGGAAAATAACAGCACTCATTCCATGGGGTTGTTGTGAGAATGAAAGCAGTTAATGTGTGCGAAGCGTTACATGGTATCCAGCTCCACAGTGTGTTTATAGTATCATTCGGGGAGGTACAGTAACCTCAGGTGAGACTACTTGAGAAGAGACCCACTATTTGGTGCAACTCTCATTATTTCGGTTACTTTTCCCTGAGTCCTCCTAAGAATGACCCAGAAAATTCTCCTAAAAAGTAGTAATAGAATCCCTTTAAAGTCCATATTTATCTAAAATTTTAGTAGATGTTTTAGTAGGACTTCCTCAAAAGTGGACTCTGAGGCAAAGGATTTGGGGCAAGTAGTATATTTGGGAACTGATCCCAGGAAGCAGAGGGAGAAAGTGGGGAAGTGAGCTGGGGGAGGGAGAAACATGCAGGTCACCTTGGAGGGCAGCTGGGCCTCAGTCCTCCCGGGACCCCTCTGGGAGTCACCTCCAACTGTCCCAGCCTGGCTGACGGGGCTGGTGGATTTACCCTCATCTCTCTCTCTCTCTCTTTTTTTGTTTGGTGGGCAGCAAAGCAAATTTTATTGAGTGATAGTATAGCGCTCCCAAAGAGGGAGGGGAGTGGAAGGGGTTGCCCCTTAAATGTGAATTTATTTATTTTTGTTATTTTTTATTTTTTAAGTAGGCTTCCATGCCGAGCGTGGAGTCCAAGGTGGGGCTTGAACCCATGACCCTGAGATCAAGACCTGAGCTGAAATCAAGAGTTGGCCGCCTAACTGACAGAATCACCCCAGCACCCTTTATCCTGATCTCTTGAGGGCTGTCCTGGGGGTGCAACTCCCCAGCACTGCTGGCCAGTCTTGGTTGTGGGCCCAGCACACTGCCCGTGGCAGAAAAAGGCCGCAAGCATGGGGACACGGGTGCCTGAGGGAGGAAGCCAGTGTGCTGAAGGATTGTCGGCCGACAATTTCTGCTGCAGCAGGATGGACGAGTTCAACACACCTGGCCGCAGTAAGCCAAAGAAGACGCAACACAGTTTCACTTTGACTTTATTTGATTAAAAATGCGATTGAAAGAACCTGGACTTTCGACTTCTACCCCCACACCCCCACACTTGTCACAGTCTGTGATTTTCTCGGGTGGTTCCTGTAGCAACGTAGGTGTGATTCAGTCTTTAAGAGTGTGTTTATCAGAAATTCTCACCACCCACTCTTCCAAGTCCACACATTATTATGGGTAGACTTTTCAGTGATTTGAGGGGGGGCAGTGTCAGAAGATACACATTATTCTGGTACCTGCTTATTAACAAAGAATACTGAGTTCTGGAGTGTTTCTCTTTAGCTGTTTGTTAATCAAACAAACACCAGGACTTGCACTGCAAAATCTTAGGGCTGTTAGATTCATCTGGTTAGATTTCAGTATAAATAGAGCCACGGGAACTTGCAATTCTTTGAATACATGAATGACTGTCATCGTGTTAACTTCCATAAAAAGCAGTTACATCTGCTCAGTTTCCAGGTGAGAGTGTGTGTGGATTCTGGAGAGGACATTTATCATCATTATTTAGAAAATGTATTTGACGGTAAAGAAAATGCAGAAATCTTCACGCTCTGAGTACAATAACATGTAAATTATGTAAGTTTATAGACAAGAACAGGAAGGTAAAATGGGGAAATGAATATTGTTTTGCCAATACAGTCAGTTTTCTTCTAAAAACAGAAGAGAGTGACATGAAATTTTTAGCGTGCTTTTAGTTAGCCTTGGCAACTTTTCCAGGCTTAGACCAAGCTACTGAAGAATTTTCCCCAGATTTTCTGCCACCCATTTGTGTTTCCTCTAAAAGTAGGCAAAAAAGGGGGGGGGCAGGGTTAGTAAGAGAAGCACTGTGAACATGGATGAACTTCAAAACAGTATGCTAAGGAAGCTAGACACAAAAGACCACCTATTGTATGATCCCATTTATATGAAATTTCTAAAAAAAAAAAAAGCAAAACTACATATATATAGAAAGCAGATCAGTGGTTACCTAGTGGTGGCTGGGAACAGGGATTGAATCTAAATGGGCATGGGACAAGTTTTCAGGGTGATGGAATTGTCCTAAAATTGGATTGTGGTGATGGTTGCATAACTGTAAATGTAGTAAAACCCCTCAAACTATGAGTTTTATGATATGTAAATTATACAATAAAACTGTTAGATACACTGCCACAGTGTTTCTCAAAGGAAATGTCAGCAAAAACAATTTCTGGTTACTACGGGATAGAAAGGCTCCTTCCTTTGCAGATAACCTCCAGCAGCCCCCACAAATAAACTTCTCCAAACACACAGTATAGGGACTGTAGGGGAAAACTGCACTTGCTTTGCAAAGGGTCTTCAAGACAAGCCTCCTGACCTCCCTTCTAACAGACCGTCCTCCAGCCACATCTCCCTCCCAC